TCCAACCTGACAACGGGTGCATATGTCTCGAAGAAATCAATGCCGGGAACCTGCGAAAATCCTTTCGCAACGAGTCTGGCCTTGTATCTGGTGATTTTTCCATCACCATCCCTTTTTAATCTATAAGTCCACTTGCAATTTACAAGTGACCTGTCTTGGGGTAATTCCTCTAACTGTCATGTACCCAGAGAAGTCAATAGATTATATTCTTCATCCATTGCTTTCTTCCAATGATGCCAATCTGGCCTTGTTTTAGCTTCTTCAAGGCTTAATGGCTCATCACTGAGGTTATCTGCAGTCTCCCCCAGACATGCATAGTCTGCTGCTATATTTGCAGTTTCCAAAGGTTCCTGTGTCATTTCGTGCTGCAATTCCGGCAGTTTCGTGCCTCTTGCAGCTGGATTATGGAGCAACCGGTAACTTGGTTGATTGATTGATGCGATCTGGACCGATTTGGTATGTGGCTCGATCACCTTCCCATGCCAAATGGGAAGCTTTGATTTGGTTGCCGGGGCATCAAGGGGCATTTCCCCTTTTGATTCGGCAATTTCGGCAGCTGTGGAATCATCGGAAATGTCATCATTTCCACCTGGAGTCTGCTCGACATTGTTCCCTAACTCCCCCTCGAGCGACAAAGGGTGGGATACAATATAGTCATTGTCTGTAGGCTCTTTAGTGTTGTCATCAAGGAATATAACATTTCTTGAGGTCTGAATCTGTCTGGTCTGAGAATTATAATATCTCCAGGCCCTAGATTCATCTGTAAGACCTGTAAAAATGAATTCCCTTGATTTCGGGTCGAGTTTTGACCTTTTGTTATCTTGCTGCAACACCCAGCACTTTGCTCCGAACTCCTGGAGTGTTGAAATGTCTGGTTTCATGCCCCAAAACACTTCTTCGGGGGTTAGATCATTTTTGATGGCCTTAGTCAGTGATTGGTTCTTCAGGTACGTGGCATATGCCACGGCCTCGGGCCATAGGGATTTCGGCAAGTGATGTTCTTCTAGCATGGCACGCGCATGCTCCATGAGGGTCTGATTGACTCTCTCCGCAATTCCGTTTTGGGGTGGGGAATATGTGGCAGTCAGTTCCAACTGAATGCTATTGCCATGGAGGTATTCCTTCCCATTATCAATCCTCATAAACTTCAGGTCCTCCCCTTTGTGGACTTTGATGTATTTCTGGTACTGCTGGATTTTCTTTTGGATCTCCGTACCTTCTTTTGACTTGAGAAAATACAATATTGTCCTCCGGGATTTGCCATCTGTGAAGCTTATGTAATATCTTTCTCCATGGATACCGTGAGTTCGGGCTGGCCCCCATAGGTCTGAAAATGTCATTTCACCTATTCTTGTGTATTCCCTTTGAGCTTCTTGCGGAAATGGCTCAACATGGTGCTTGGCCTTTATGCAGGCTTTGCAATCCTTCTGGGGCTCAGCTGACTCATCCACATCCATACCCTTGACCATCTTCTTTCTGAATAATCTCTTTACCGATCCTATATTTAAGTGGCCCATCACTCGGTGCCACTTCTGCCATGATCGGGCTGGTTTAATTGCGTGGGCTTGAGTTATTTCTGGCACAATGATGTCAAGGCTATACAGCTTCAAAATCTTATCTCCATGACCAATTGTCTTGTCATGCAGTGAGATAATATCCATCCGGGATCCTTTGAATTTGAGTTCAAACCCGGCATCCGTGATGCGCCCTAGCGAAATAAGATTGAATGGTGCCTCGGGACAGTGAATACAATCCTTCAGTGTAACTGAAGTAGTCTTGTCCCCTTCAACCATTTTAATCTTTACTGTTCCTCTTCCCAAGCCTTTTGACTTTCCTACACCAATAACTTCATGTCCTGGGGTCTCAACATAGTCAGAAAAATGCAATCTGTTCTTGACTATATGTTTAGTTGTTCCTGAGTCCCCCAGCCATGATGACCCTGCAAGCGTAACAAGTGCAGTGTCTGTAGTGCAAAATGCGTAATCTTCTTCATCTGAATCCGATTTGGCAACATGTGCCTGGGTCTGGCCCTTCCCTTTCCCCTTCCATGACTTTCCAGAATTCTTCTTTCCATTTGGGCAGTTTGCCCTGATGTGCCCGGCTTCTCCACATCCGTAACATGTGATTTTTGAGTTAGACTTCTTGCCATGTGCTGCAAGTGTTGTGGTTGGATCAGAAGTCTTTTCTCGTAATCGGATGTCTTCCTGGAGAATTCGGGAGATCAATTTGTAGGAATCTTTCAAATCAGCAGTGTCTACTGATGAAATGAATGAATTCCATGATTCCGGGAGTGATGTAAGCAGTGTAATAGAGAAGTCCTCCTCCTCAACTTTCTGCTTGAGGGATGCCAGCTCCTCTTGATAGGACCTCATAGTCCTAATATGTTCCTCTATGTTTCCCCCTTCTTCACACTGAGCTCTAAAGAATCTCCTTCTAACAAGGACAATTCCCATGGGTCCCCTGGACTCATACATGTCTTTTAGAGCATTCCATGCTTCTTCCGAAGTCTTCGAACCAGCAATATACACCAGCGGGCCATCCGAAACCCGCAACCTTATTGTCGAAAGAGCCTTCCTATCGCTCTTCTTCCAATCTGCCACCAGTGCCGCTTCTGCCGGGGCCGGAGTGCTTCCGTCTGCATAATCAATTAGACCTAAATCGGTTAGGATGTCGATCATCTTGATCTTCCACGTCGGGTAATTTTCCGGGCCCTTAAGGGGGTCAATTCTGTAAACGGACTGGCTTTCCATGTGGTTCTGTATGTGTACGTAATGTACAAAAGTGCGAAGTGGGTAACAGTGTAAGTAGTTCAGTTAGGGCCGGGGCCCATAACCTGTTGGAAGTACAGAGGAGAGTATGTGAGAGAGAGAGTTAAATTAGCCTCTCGAGGGAGAGGCATCGTACTTAAATACAAGTTGTACTACTTCTAGAATTTACTACGGATTACTATATGTGTCTACTATTGCGGTTAAATGTTCATGCTGCTTAGTCATGCCGAAGCTTCGAGTGCATTCTAGCACTAACTCGGGATTGCTATCCCAACAGTGCCAAACTTCTCTGCATCAAAGTTGCGACAGCGAGGGTCAGAGTCTGTGCGACCTGCATATGAAAACATGCATTCTGAAGGCACAGAAGATCCTGGAATGGCAAAATAAATCTCAGTTCTATGTATTAGATAGCAATCAGCAATTTAGCATGATATAACTTCTGAAAGCTTGACCTGAACTTTACCTGAATTTTTCGAGGTTCACGAGGTTCGGACCGGGTCCGAACCGGGTTCAGAATTTTCAAACAGGTCGAACCTCGAACCTGGACCCAGGTGGCTGTGCTGGACCTGAACCTGAACCGGACCTGGACCTGCAGGTTCGGTTCGGGTTCGGACCGGGTCCACACGGTCCTGAACCGGACCACGGCCAGACTACGATATAGCACCTAGTACAACCGTAACGAGAAATTCAAGAACGTTTTTATTATAGGAATCGAGGGTTTCACGCGGGAACGGAATACAGTGAGCACATAGTACATCGATGGGGTGAATGGTGGATAATGGACTCGTTGTATAGGTATCCATAAAAAGCCTCGGACCCCGAAGCGGACGCTCCCGATGACTCTACTAGTAACAACTCCTAGTTTCCGCTTACTACTCGCGTGAACACTCCGAACCTAGTGCCAGCCTTGCCATCATAAAAAAGCAGTTTGGCAAATTTTTTGACTGATTAGACTGTCCTGGATGTACCTCCTCTATCTATGGATTTTTGAGGGAATGGCGAAGGAGCAGGAAGACGGAGGATGAAGCAGACATCGATATCTATTGGACAGCCAATAATACGTAGGACCAACTCTAAGACAAGTAAAATAACATTCTATATAACCACATACAGTGTACGCAAATTATCTGAAGATTCAAACTGAGCGCTGTAGATCGGCCTGATAAAAATCCAATTGGTCAGTCAACTCGATCTGACACGCTGCAGTGACTTAGGTATATTGTTCCATCTTGTGGGAAGATTAACTTATCGAGCAAACCATGAATTTCCAGCCCGAGCGGCAGATAGATATATATTGAACCAATATCATACTTAGATGTCCTATTATGCATTGCAGGCTTCCCATTCTTCAGCATGAGTACTCTACAAGTAGACGTGACCGTTAAAACACTTCCAACGACACTCAACTATAAGACGACGGTCATAGTATGGCGTCCGTGTATCCATTTGAAGACCACTCTGGTGCCTCCCACATGCCGGATACCATTGCCCACTTAAACCATAGCTCTCTGTAGGAACACTCAATTGTAATAAATCCGAGAAATGAGGCCGACATACCGTCCAACGGAGCGAATCTGACTTCACGTTCTCAGGACCACCGCCTCTTCCAAAACGTGCCCCCTGCCCCCCTTGATGCATCAGTAGGCGTATCCTGAGAAGGCATTGCCGATTCTGATTCTCTAGCTACACTCGAAGCCCGTGAAGAATCTGAGTGGACAGTGCTGCGGTCCTTCCTCGAGGAAGTGAGCGGGGGCGGATAAATGACAAAGGGGCAGGGTTTTTTAGGTCTGATTAGGGAGATGGTGATTCAAGAGAGACCGAGAAACGAAGAGCTGGATTGTTGACATATGGGCCTGAAGTACGAGTTATCGTTCTTCAACTTATCTGTTCATTCGGTATGAGACTCACTATTTAAAAGCCAGGAACGCCCTGATGCGAACAAATCTCACTCTCTTCTCCCCGTTGTCAAGTTTAACGTTCCTTACACAAATAAGTATATTTTTTCTATCTGAATTAAGAGAGGAACAAAGGACACAAGAAATCTGTGGGATGGTAGATGTCAACGGCTGTAGTTCTGCAAAGACCACTCAGTACTGGAGCCACGCTGCCTCCAAACGGGCGGTGCTATCGGGCGTTAAGATACCCAATTAATCTCACCGTGCTCGCAGCTAACTAGGAGGTCGATTGCAACAATTGGAGATCTCTGAATAAGGGAGGACGGTAAATAAAAAGTCACTGGTCAACCGGAGCATCTAAATCGGAATGAGTGAACTTTCCGAACTGCAATCCAGAAGTTTCGTCGCGTGGTCCGTGTGTAATAATAAAGTGTTGTCCAGGTTTCTGTAGTGGTGCTATATGTCGACTGATGTTATCCGCATCCTCAGGATCGCAACAGTAAATTTTGACCGAACGAAGATTTTGGCTATGCGAAGAGATCATTGCGATGAGGGTATCTTGGGATGAAGGTATATCGTAACAGAATAGCCGTAGATGCTGCAAATTTGGGAGGAATCCAACAGGAGTAAGGGCATCGAAGGTAGCCCCGATCCAAAGGAACATTATTTCTAAGAACACCAAAGTGTCCATGAATAAGAGTGACTCTCGGATAAAGATCTGATCGTCAATGTTTGATGAACGGAAGACTAACTTGGAAAGGGAACATCGAGAGCGTCGGATGAAATCGTTCACGATCTGGACATCGCGGGTGTTTGCATCAATGTGTGTGTTGGTATGATAGACTGTGAGATTATTCAAGGAAGGTAGGCACAGATGTGCCAGTATTCGCAGCGATGACACAAAAAGGCACCGGACATTGGGAAGGTGAATGTTAAGAGGAAGGGATCGTATATCCTGATCGTCTCTGGGACGTGTCATGAGATGGCATTCTACGAGAGACCAATAAACTCCAAGGTTACAGGCATTGTTTGCATATGTCGCCAGATGAGTGATATGAAGAGGAAGCATGAGATCCCCGACACCGGAGGGGCCACGTAAAGTCACCTTTTGAAGGCGAGGGGCTTCAGCGAAGATACGTTGAGTATTTTCCAACAGGTCCTCTCTTCCGCTTTGTGTTATATCTGAAGCGTTCAAAGTAAAGGATTCCAGACAAGGAATCCTACCGCGAACCACCTTCAACCGCTCCAACAATCTCAAGAATGTATGGAGCTTCAAGGTCCTCCACCGATATGACTCCTCGGCAATTACGGAAAGTGCTTCAACGGCCATATCTTCATCGCCTCCAGGATCGACATTAAACTCTATTTCGAGAGGATACCGTTCCGAATGATGGATCACGACTTTTAGTGCGTCGATCGTATAACCGTGACGAGGCGGGAACCGACGCTCGCCGAGCGAGCCTATTGAATGATACGGAAAGTGAAGTATAATATGCGACCAGAGTTGGTGATAAGATATAACGATATCCCTCCAAGCACCGCATACATGGCTGAGCACCCACGGACCTTGTGAAAAATCCAGCACTTCATCTTTGTGCTTTGCTTTGCCAGCGTTCTGCCACTGCGAGATTTGTATCTCGCGAAATATAGATCGAAGAACGTCGCTGGGAAGACTGTCGGATGGGTGCTAGCGTTGACGTATATGCCGCCAATGACTTCTGAACTGCATCGCAACGGCTTTGCACCTTGGTTTTGATTTCATCGATGCGGTCTAGTAAGGTGTCGTATACCGAGACCTTGCTGTTGCAGGACCTCGATATTGGAGAATATCCAGTCATGGTCGGTATCCAAGAGAGGTCGTGTAGCACGAAGAATACCCGATACGTGTGAGTTTAGATCCTCAGGCGGGAAGACAGGCTCTGGTATGGAACGTAGCAACTGCATCCAAGTGGAACATCGCATCTGCCGCGTCCATGGTGTTTCTAATTCGCTTGTGTTAATCCTCTTTATCACACTGAGCAAAGTGGAACGTACTTGGATATCCCTGAAGCTAACACTGCAGTCCGTTACTCAGGTCTCAGGTCTCAGGTCCGAGGTAAAAGATGATGACAGGAAGACTGGGTTGATTCACTGACCATCTCTGCTTATATAGTTAAGGTAAATAGCGGCAAACCGCTCCTATCGACCTCGACCGCTCATTGTGAGAAGTAATGAAAAATAGGTACCGATCCACCGGCGCAGCCAGACCGTAAACGAACCGCTTGTGGGAGTTTGAGATTGTAATCTAGCGCTTAACCTTTGAACCAAGTCCCATCTTCGATATGACTGGTGGCTTCATTTCTTGATATTTTGAGCAGCGAAATTGACGACAGCTACGAGAAAAATGAGGGTTGACAGGTCTGTCCGACTTCAACGGACTTTGGTATGGAACGTGCAACTGCAGCCAAATGGAGCATTACATCTGTCGCAACTATGGTGTTTCTAATTCTTCTGTTTAGTTTTTTCCGTTGCACTTGGGCAATATGGGACGTACTTGGATATTCCTGAAGCTGACATCTGTCGGGGTAGAAGAGCCGGCGTCGCCGGACCGTAAATGAGAACGACAAGTTCAGGTTCAGTCGGAGTTTGTGATCACTGATCAATGCTTACCTTTGTACTACTACGTTGAACATTAATCTAGAAAAGGTGCGTATATACTTCTATCTGGCTGGAAGGTTAACTTATCGAGCGAACGATAGATTTTCACACTACGCCAGCTCTACCAGTGGCGGCAGATATATGATACAATGTCATACTTGGATGTGTTTCGGCCGGATCCGTTCTTCAGCACAGCGCTCAATTCGGAGACCGCGCCGAGTGGTTAGGTTTGCACTGAACCTGCCCTGTCTCCCTGCTTAAGCTACATTGATTCATCTCGAGTTGGCGTGCTTCTTCCCAAAAAATTCCTTCCGCTGGTTCGGAAAGGACTGGGGGGGAAACACCACCCAATTCAAGCATTCGTTGCTGCGAGATCCTCCAATTTTTGCGACACCCTCAGTAAGACACAACACAGCGTTCGTGCACTCTACTAGGACCTCCTTCATGATTGCTTACTGAAGCCCTAGATCCATTCCAGCAGTCGAGGATGCCATTGTCGGAAGTAAGTATCGCCCACTGCAAGCTAAATTAATCCTCCCAGGACCGATGCACTCTGAAGGGAAGACAGGATGAAGGTCAATCAAAGCTTTCAGTATAATATAGGATGATAATTAGCTGGTTCCAGAATGTTCGTAGTGAGTATCAACCTAGGCTCAGTAGGGTGTTTATCATCCTAAAATGGCCACTTTCAGTCTACGCTCTCCAGAGCCGCTGAACCGCATTTTTGGATGATTCTCACGCAATCAATGTGACAGTAACTTTTTATTTTCTGATATCTTGACCAGTGGCAAAATGGATGAACAGCCGCGAAGAACTGGACTGTATGATTATACTAAGTACTAGTTTCTGCACGAAGGAAGCATTGAAAAAAGTGTCCATACACTGTGACCGTTTCCGTCATAGATTCTCCCCCGACGGAAATGTATCTGAGGGAACGTTTTCCATTCGGCAAACTATTTCGGTCCCGTTGAGGACAGGAGTGCTAGTAGTGCATCCCTGAGCATTAGAAAAAAATCTCGCCATGATATGTGGATGTCCTCATTACGGTCGCTAACGATTTTAACCGTCTATCGATAAGCACTATCTTTCCCTGCCTCGGGGCCGGGAGTTGTGCTGGAAACATTTCTATCGAAAAGCCACTGGAAGGATCTTGCTCTAATTTCTCATTCAGAGAGCACAGCGTATCAATCCCCAACAGCGAACGTTACCTCCATGTCGGATACCAACCTTAGCGAATAATTAAAACACAACTGCCCGCTTTGTCTGTCTGAATGATAGTTTATCTCGGCATCATATGTTTGTTCTTCTTAGAGCGGAATCCTGTCTCTGGCGACTGCTATTATGTGGCATTACACTGAAGGACCAATCTGTCGACATGGTGAAGACTACGACGGACCTCCCCCGCGCGCCATTTTCTTATCGTGACCACGCTTTCGGTTGTGGTTTCCTCGACTGGCTTTATTTTTGTCTTTCCAAGCACGATCTCGGGATTGTTGCTCTCCCTCTTCGCCCCCGCCTCCGCCCCTACCACCACGGCCTCGTCCCCTCCCGCGGCCTCGACCTGCCCCACGAGATGGACCACCTCCACGGTTGCTTTGCACAGGGCCAATCGTAGGCTGATTTCCAGCGAACTCGTGCTTTTGTAAGATTTTGTCCTTCTTAGGCTGGAAGGGCGTAACATATCAGAGACCCGTCATAGATATATTTGAAGTCACATACATTCCGTTCCAGCATTATCCGCCAGCCTTCTATCTGCTCGTCACTCCAGCCTAGAAAGTTATCAGAAAACGACAAGGAGCGGTCGATAGAAGCACCCACCAGTCTGCGCCTTCAGATCAGCACGTCCTTTACTACGTCTGGTATTTGCATCTCTATCGAACTGCTTTGGATCTTGAATATACGCCAGTTCAAGTATGGTGTGGAGCGACTGCTTCGCGGGAGCTGCTTCGGTTTCATCGATGCCCTCCGCATCATCATCATCACTCTCCTCTCCATCACCGCCTACTTTCACCGTAGATTCAAGGTCTTCTTCGTCGAATGCACCGGTCGTTCCGTCATCCTCTTCCTCCTCATCAGATATTTCCTCAGCACGACGAAGAATGTCGGCCTTCATCTGTTCCATGAATGTTCGGTCTCTCAGAATGGCGGCTTCGTCCTCCCTGAAAAGTTACAAAGAAATGGATTAGCTTCTTGTCTGACTAAAAAGCAACAAAGCAGTCTCACCTCTTCTTTCCTATCTGCAGTTGCGACAGGTCCATCTTTTCGTTGTCAAACACGTTTTGTCGATCCTTCGTATATACCAATTCGTTAGACGGCCCGCTTGGCTGGCTTGTCTGTGAAGTATAAACATTATCTTCAGACGGAGCTGTGCCTTCTAATAAGGCTTCAATAAGTTTTTCAGGGTTTCCGCGATAAGGGTATGATGGATGCATGAGGACAGCACTGATGTAGTCGGGGGAATAGTCCGGGAAAATATCCAGGACTTGAGATACTTTGAGATCGATATCTGGGTCTGAGGGTGTTGTTTCCGGAGGGGATACCGCCTTTCCTTTCCCTTTTCCACTACTACCCTTTCCCCGATTATCTACACCAGGTGGGATCCCTGATGAGCGGATTATCAATTTGAGCACCCCAGGTCCCCTCTCCCCCTCTCCTTCAAGAGACTTCAAAGTGCTCTCAAGAACGTCCAGCCTCGCGTCTTTCTCTGATGCATGCCGCAAAGCAGACGAAAGAGTTCTCGAAAGATCATACGACTGCTGATAATCGGCCAAGAGCGGTTGGTTGAGGAAGGGGGTGGTTGGGTTCGCAGACGATGGACGGACATCGAGCAAGGCAAAAATGATATCAAACGTTCGCTCGGATTCCGCCGCCAGCGCTCTTCCTGACGCGCTTGAGAGGTCACGAAGCATCGAAGAAAGAACTGATATGGAATGAGTCTATGATATCCACCTTGGTCTCGATGAATATCCTCTCCCAGTCATCCAAATCCCTGCCCTCTGTCATCCGCAAGGCCACCATAGGACTGAGCCATCGCCGTGAGGCCTTGATCATAGCACCTGGCAAGTGCAAGAACAAACTGATTGGAATGATAGAACGAACGGACGACCTCCTCCGGAGCGACACGCAAAAACGACACTATGCAATAGACCGATTTACGGATCCCATACAAGCCCGTGGAAGAATCGCCTAGAATGGCCGTAAATGCTGGGACCAGCTCATCCCGGATAGCTGAGAGGAGTGGAGGAGTAGACTGCTCGAATATCTTCCGCAATCGAGTTCGAGACTTTGAGTAAATGATGGCAAGATCTAGCAGCGTCTGTAGCTCCAGCCCGGAGGCCAGTTTCTCCGCTAGCAAGAGTGCTCGATGCCGTATCGACTTTTCTGTTGCAGAAAGCTCGTTCGAATTCCCCCATATCAGCGGCTGTAGGGTCTGCAACGCTGTATCCTGAGCAAACGATGCAACAAATCGGCGAGATGCTTGGGTGTCGCGCTTTTCTGGAGGAAGGGCCAACGTTTCCTGGAGGCGTGCGGCTATCGTTTGGTTCAGTATCGCGAGCTGCGATGGAGAAAGAGATTTCCGGATAGCCGTAGGAGGGAAATCGGGAAGTTCAGAGACGGTCATGACGGGACGGAGGATGCAGGCAGCCCGGCTGCCGGCCCGACTCACAGGACTACCACATTCTTTTCTTTTCAGCTCTAATTGTCCTACACTATCATCGAATACACTCATTCTAATCTCATCCTCATATCTCATTCTCAAATCCTTCATTGCCAGACTGAGCTCCCGGTAATCAGCACGAAGGACCCAGCAAAATACCGGAGGATCGACTGCCTTATGAAGTGCTGAGATCAGTCAAGCTACGAATGTATTCTGAGCTGCGCCGCTACATGTAGCTCCGGTTCCCTTTAATCCTCCAAGAAGAAGTAATTTCCGGATGCTAATCGATTTCGTAAGAATTCCGAAGGAAAGCTTAAGAAAGGACGTAAAAACTCACCCTTCTGTTCGCGGTCTTTCACACTGTGAAGCTTGTTCACCCGAGGCCTGTAATTGGTGGGGTCACGACGGAAAGTAATCTCCAGAGACGCCAAGAATCTGTTCATGCCGGACAGCAGAGTCTGGGGTCTAGAAGAGGAGGTCAGAAGGTTGATTAGGTTTGCAAATCTATCGACGTACGGTGTGGCAGTCGCAGCCACCGCAGGCTGGCCCTCGAACACGATGACACGATCCGCGAGATAGGTGGCCATGATGAAATCGTGCTCAATGACAAACGCTGTCTTCTTGGCGTGAAGAACAAATCTGCATCCTGATGTAAGACGACTGTAGGAACTGTTTATAATCGTGACACACCGTTTGATAACTTTACTTGCTATGATACGCTGCTCGGAATCCAAGAAACTGCTAGGTTCATCGAGCAAGTACAGAGAGACATTAGGCACGCCTATGTCACCTTGTTTAGAAAACGTCAATTCAGTAGCACACAAAACGCACCCAAAGCAAGAACGATGGCAACACGCTGTAATTCACCACCAGACAGCGTCTTCACTTCTTGATCCATGATGTTCTCGAGGTTCATAGGCTTGAGAACATCAGTTTGGAATTGAGGGTGCATGAATGCCTGCTTAATCCGCTTCAACAACAGCATCCGGACGGTACCAGGGAACTTGGGAGAAATCGTCTGGGGTTTCAAAGACACCGACAAACTCTGCTTGTCGGTCTCGACGTCAGGCGTGTCCCCGGCAAGAAGGCGGATGAAGGTGGTCTTCCCGGTACCGTTCTCGCCAAGCATGACGATGATTTCCGAGTCGGTAAAACTTCCAGCCTCGACGGAAAGCTTGAAGCCGCCTAGGGTCTTCGTCATCGCAGGATACGAGTACTGCGCAGTCTTCTCGACAATGACTTCCTCCGCCGTTTCAACCATTTTGAAGGAAAGCGACTCTTCTCGGAACCGCAAGTTTTCGGTGGGGATGAAGCCGTCCAAGAAGATGTTGATTCCTGTGTATATGCGGTTAGGACTGGTGGAAATTGATAAGAATATGAAACAGACCTTCTCGGACTGATGAAGGCATGGTTACAACACCATACATGGACGGTTTTCCATACAAACAGCAGATAAAGTCGGAGAGATAATCCAAGACAGAAAGATCGTGCTCAACAGCAACAACATAGCAATCTGGGGTCAGCAAAGACCGAATTACTTCTGCGGCTCTGAGACGCTGCTTGATATCGAGATAACTGGACGGTTCGTCGAACATGTATCTGTGAAAGTGTCAAACAGTATTCCGATATAGTATGGAAAGTCGAGGACGAACACATCAGCTTTCTGTATACACGACATCGCAATGGCAAAACGCTGTAGTTCTCCACCAGAAAGTTGGGACACCTCTCTCTCCAGAACCTGGTTCAACTCGAGTTCATCGCACATCAGCTGTTTGTTATCCAGCTCGAGCTTGGAATCCAACATCTGTGAAACCGACATCTTGCCTTTGATAGCTCTTGGGATATGGTCGACGTATTGGGGCTTGATTAAGGCCTTCAGATTATCTTCCAGCACCTTGGTGAAATAATTTTGCAGTTCGGAGCCACGGAAGTATTTGAGAATCTCTTGCCAGTCGGGAGGGTCCTGTAGGTTTGGGTAAGCCATACATTTAGGTCCACATCCATTCAGACGAGTGATAGGACCACAACACTTCGCGCTTTGCATTCGAGTTTTCAGGCCTCCCCGCTAGATGTTTGAACCAGGAATATTACGACACGCCAAAAATGCACATGTCTTACTGTGGCGAGACTGCGAAAATGTTTCTGAATGAAAAATCGACCTTTTGGACCAAGTTCGCATCCGAAAGCAAAGCGCGAGTTGTCAGATATCCTATTCCTCGTCTTGAATGGATCCTGACCACAAAAACGATTAATCTTGATAGGCAAAAAATCGCAACGCACATCGTAACGCCCCAAGTTGGGCTTTAGTTTCCCTGCCAATATTTTCAACGCCGTACTCTTTCCAATACCATTCGTCCCCACGAGACCCAAAACCTGTCCAGGCCGTGGCGTCGGCAACCGATGCAGCTTGAAGGCATTTGCGGTGTATCGATGTGTTACTTGTGATTCGAGATTTGTAGGCAGATTGATGATGGTAATAGCTTCAAATGGACATCTAAGACAGATCAGGTTGCATTTAATGCGGAAAAGACGACTTCCACGCACTTTTTGACGCATATACCGCAACCGATACACAGAAATTCGGAGATAAATGCGATTTTGTCGGTTGGCTTGACCTCGATACAGAGTTTTCCTGAGATCCGGGACCATCAGAGCCATCCTTCGTAGCTACGCAACGAACACACCCATTCGTACGACAGGACATGACTTTGCAAAAATCCGTCAGCTACCGACTACTCCCCTCCGAAGGTCGGCGCACCTTTTTACATTCTTGAGCACATCGCTTCGGTTTACAGCGATTAGCATCTACAATGGCGATACGTGTAATTTTGTCGGTCATGGTGGGAGTGTTGGGTATAGAATGAGCGCGTCACAAAAAAATGATTTTCGGTTTCTCTTTTCGGTGCCGTCGTCACTGGACACGTGCACCATCGATAATTCCGCTACGATGATTCGCTCAGGCTAGATAACTCCACCATGGCCAAGAAGGCAGCTAATAGTAATACTAGCGAAAAGAAATCCAGCAGTAAGAAAGGAGAGGATAAGAAGGGGAAATCGAAGGAAGAAGTAGAGGAGAAGCCCAAGGTACGTCCTGTCAAGCCTGAGTCATTGGAACGACATGAATTCAGTTATTTTCTCAGGGAAAGAGCGCTCTCAAGGCAGCTACTGCTGTCAATGTACGCCACATTCTATGTGAGAAGTATTCCAAGGCCACTGAGGCCCTTGCGAAAATACAAGTTCAGTACCAAACTTGGCTATCTATTCGTGACTTACACCTCCTCCAGGAGGGCGTCGCTTTCAACAAAGTCGCTCAAGAATACTCTGAAGATAAAGCAAAAGGTAAGCTAAATATTTCCGTTCACGATCTTGATACTTCTCATGGTCTCCTCCTAGCCGGCGGCAGTTTGGGATGGATGACAAGGGGGAGCATGGTGAGTTATTCTCGTACTTCATCTACTGGGAACAACGATCATCTTCAATCGAATGACTCGAACCAGTCGAAACCGGCTCTCGTTTGATTATCCTTCCGTCTCGCGGACTGGATCGATTTATCATCGAGTTCATTTCAGCGGGAAGGACTGGCTCGCTTGAGTACACACATGTCTCACGCGCGATACCGAAGATGGTGCGACTTTTTGTCCTTTGGAAAAGGGAACCTGAAAGCGAGACGCGTCGCCGGAATTGTTCCCTTTGTTCCTTCTGGTTCCAGAAACGGGTTCATTTGATAGAGTGGTTCCCTTTGTTGCGTACAAAGGAACCGTCTTGTCCATCTATCACGTCTGTTTCTCAGAAATCAGAAAGGCGATACAAGGCCGGAGCCGCAATCTCAGGTTTCAGGGTCTTGACTTTCTCAGCACAAAGAGTCGTGATGCCTACCCCAGATGCATGTCATTAACTTCTAACAACCCCGCGATTCCAGGTGGGTCCGTTCCAGGATGCAGCCTTCGCTTTAGCACCGTCAACAGTCGACAAGCCCGTCGTCTCCTCTCTCGTGAAAACCAACTTTGGGTATCACATAATAATGGTCGAAGGCAGGCGATGAGATTTCGCCGGTACCGATGAGAGCTATGGATGGGCCTTATCGTAAAGACATTCTACAATATATCCCGCAGAAGTACCAAATGGAATACCAATACATGCAATAAGCCTTTAAGAATAAATTTAAGGCAAGTTCTCCATCATTGTCTATAACGTGAATGCTAAAAATGTGAATAATATAATATACGTGTGATCATGAACTCGAACTCGAAGAGGGATAAAAGTATGAAGGAGGAGGTTGCGAGAAGGGGGAGTGCGGAGGAGCACCGGCCATGAACGGAAAGGGCGCGCCGAACGGTGGATAAGAATAACCAGAAGGTGCGCCGTATGGGTGGGTCCCAGTCGGGTATTGCACGCCGGCTGGAGGAGTAGGATAAATCGAAGCCACGGGTATAGTAGAGGCATTATGCACATGAAGCTGGGAAGGAGAACGACTTTTCGTTGTATTTGCATCCGATGGTCGTGTGGTTGCGCTGCTATTATTGGCTGACGAAAACGTAGACCATGAAGACGAAGTTTGCATCTGAACATAATCCGGGACGGTTGTCGTAACTTGATCTCCGTGGTGTACGCCTTCTACATTGTCCGAGGTAAGGGATGCCATGGGAGCCGATGAATCAACTCGAGTTGATGACATGCCCTCCCCACCATCGCCAGACGCCGGACTTGGTGAACGTTTAGGCGCACTTGCGGCGACTGTCTTGAATCCCATCTCATCACAGTTAGTTTTGTAAAAATTACAAACTTGTACGGTTGTCTATAAAGGAACCGTCAGCATTTAGACATTTTGTGCATCAATTAACATTCAAAAATACCTTGTTCGGCATTGAAGCTGCAATTCGTTTGAAGTCATCACCATATTGGCCAAGCAGCTTCAGAAAAAGCTCTGCAACCGTGGGGTCAGGCATATGGCTGGGTGAAACATGTAACCACTACGCACTCTTATCGTCATCGGACCATTGAGTAACGGCAATAGGAGGCTTACGACGCTGTGAAGGATCACTTTGATCGATAAACTTCATTTCAACGATTGACGCTTGAGATTCATCAACAATCGCCGCCGACTTGACCTTGCGCTGCCGTTTCGTTCGTTTGGGTTTACGTTCCTGGTCCTGCAATTCACAGGTCAATGTATGAATCAAATGGAAAAACGGGAAACACTCACGGTGCCCTCCTCCTCCTCATTATTATTTATAGAAAGTCCAGAACGCACCGCAACTGTTCGACGTCGCTTAGGTCGTACCTTTTGCTCAGGCTCTGGTGTCGGCGTGGATGTAGGCGTCTCTTCAATCTGAACCTTACGAGCCGCAACCCTTCTACTTCGGCCACGGCCTCCGGTAGTTTCCTGTGCATCAGCATCACCATTGACTTCAGCGTCATGTTGCCTAATATCCGTCAAGAGCGCGTTGGCCTTCTGCTTTCCCGTTCGCCGGCGTCTCCGTTTAGGCGCGTACTGGGAAACGACCTTGCGGAAGTCGATGTGCTGCTTCTTGTGCAGATAATAATATGCAACACATTGCGCCGCCGTTTTATTGGGAATATAATCCGCAATAATCCCAAACTGTTTGGGATGGGCGGCGTAACGGTCTTGGAAAATCTGCTCTTCCTCCGGTGTCCAATCATCCATCCCCGTGCGAGGACGGTAATACTCCGAAGGATTCTCGACCAGCAGATTCGTGTCGTCGTAGACATAGTCGACCGACCCACGTTGAACTGAGATCATGTCTGGTATTACGGCATGATTCTTCAGAGACAGATGAGCGGGATCAGTTGCTTCGTCGTTTCCGAGACTCGCTATAATCTGCTCCATCTCGAAATCAGAACGGACAGCGTCACCCAAGGTGGCAGCCGTGCGACGGGTCGTCCGACTTGAGGATGGTAAGGGGGGCTCCAACTCTGCCGGTAGAAGTTTGTTCTGTGCATCAAGAACACGACAGCGTGATAACCAGCGCTCGTGAAGAGAGAGATACTCTTCTTGAAGTCGCTGGACTTTGGCTGCAAGAGCGGCTTGTTGCTGTTGGAAGTGTTCGATGAGAGCATCCTTCGTTGACATGAAAGATTCCACCCTCCGGGCCAAACGCTCTCCACTGTTTATCTCCGTAATAAGTTGCTCAGGAGTCGTTGATGTCCTGCTTATGTGAGGACGAACGAGAGCCTGATTTGAACGAATAAGAGGTTCAACACGTTCTTCTTGTGTTTGAGGGCAGTGAAGAAGCCTTGTCATTATTGACGCCCTGACGACTTCTTGCAGTGACGACGATTCAGAGATGCTGGGTATATCATCCTCAGTGAAATCTACTACGGGTGGTTGCCTGGCTTTGAGGGAGTGAACGTCCACCTCGACTGGCAGAATTTCATCTTTCGCGGGGGAACTCTCCTTCGCCTCGGGAACAGGATGCGGTATGCGTGCGAATTCCAACGATTTTGAGTCTGTGACTGGTTCTTTGTGACCTGGAGTAAAAGAAACTAGTTTAAAACGAAGTCTCCGAAACAAAGAGTCGCGTACCGTCCTCTACCTCGTTTATCGGGGCCTGGATAATTCCTTTGGTATCTTTATCCTGAAAAAAGAAAGGGGATTAGCAGTAATACATTGGTTGAGTCACTTATACTTACTGAGGTCGTTGAAACGGGAACTTGTGCATCAGGGATCGCCGGTTCAGGTGAAGGAGGGTCTTGAATAACAGGCTCGGGCTCTTTGATCGGTTGTTCAATCATCTGCGTATCAGAAGCAGGCTTTGGCGCATCAACACGGCTTTCTACTGCGGTCGTGGTAGGTGGAGGAGGAGGCGAAGCACGAGAAGAAGCAATGGAAGAACGAGACCAAGATCGTCTTTCATTCTTCGGTTCGGACACGCGGTCTGGGGTAGGCTGCCCGTGATGGCGAGAGAGGGACCTCCCCCGGCTCGAGCTACGTCGGCGAGACTTATTATCAAGCGAGCGGGAACGCGAGCGAGAGCGAAAGCCAGAATACGACCGCGAGCGGGACCGTGAACGTGAGGGCCCCGCGCGTGAGTAAGAACGTCGGGGTGTCTGTGTTGTCCCAGTCAACCGACGAACACTAGACCGGCGGACCCCCGATTCAACCCCACGCTGTGAGCGGGATGAGGAGGTGGATCGCGGGAGTGGTTTGGTACGCGTATGTATTCGTGGACGAATAGACTGTTGGGACCTCGAACTGGATCGACACTGAGAACGTTCTCGAGAGGAAGATCGCGACCGGGTACGACTATCCCGAGATGACGACCTGGTAGAACTACAGCGACCATTTTGCCCGTCATTTATAACAGATCCTGAAATGGATCTTTTTCGCATTTGCGATGAAGTCGAATCTCTATCGTACGATGGTCTATATGAATTGTATCCGGACCTTCCATTAGCCTCCGACACGAAGCTTTGAGATGGTCGATAATGTCGATCATCGTTTCTGTGGAGTCGATCATTTCGAGCGGATCGTTCTGAGGCTGATTCAACGAAGTCTCTTCCGGATCTGTCTGGGAGTTTGTCAATGACAGGAGAACTGGGATTGTACCTAAAACACAAGTCAGAAGCTGAAAATGTCAGGTAACAAGCGTATTTACTTTGAAGAGTGCACTGTACGCTCGTCATGAGTTCTTTTCCAAGTTTCTGACGGCTCAAACATTCGAGTAGCAGCTAACATAGGTTCCCTTCTAAAAGATGAACCAGGCTCCCAATGCGATTCAGAGTGAGGTCCCCAGCCTCCAGAATGATCCCTCGGGTCCACGTCGGGTTCGCGCGAACGTTCAAAGCGGTCCGGACTTGATGATAAACCGTCATAGGAAGATCCACGATCCGGCCAGTAATTAGGTCGATACACATTCGGATAGTTGGAATGATAGACTGAAGCATCGTTTCCGTAATGCCGGTGTGGAGAAGGCGACCGTCGACGTGAAAGGGGCCGCTGAAAAGAATACAGCAAGGAAGCCAGAATGGGTCAGTCGATCAATGCATACTAAATAAACAGCGCAAACCTCATATGACAGAGGCCCAGAGCCTGGAGGACGACGAGTAATTGGGTACGATAGAGGTGTCGACGAAGATGGGCCTGCATCGTACATCCCGGAGGCCATTGGAACTTGATGAACCCAAGCCTTCAACAATATACGAGGTCGAAAACAAAGTGCTGGGGGAATGCAAGCTCCAGGGACCTCAGAGAGCTATGATATAGAAAGGGATTATAAGGAAACAGTAAAGTTCGACCGGAAAAGCAAACAAAGGAGAAATGGGGACTTGGGTGAAGAAAGCTAAAGCGTCCAGCAGCATAGCTACCAAACAAAGCAGTCAGCTGACATAAGCGGGAATAAATAAGACACGCACTGCCTGAACAGGATGCCGAGGATCGGCAAGCAGCACGGCCCCGCGGCCGGCGTAAAGCAGGTCCATCCATAAACCATCCATGAGCGCGTCCCGAGGGCACGAGACGCCTCTGAGGGATCCCTCCAGTATTTTCTTCCAGTCTGACCGCGTACGAAGGCTGATTATTGCGTCGTACTGGGTCGTTATCTTGCTCGCGACGCCATTGTGGTGGCATACGACTAGCATTGAGCGCCTCTCATTACCGACTGCCCAGGTTCAGTACCAGGCCAAGACGCTCTTATCCTTCCCTATTGCATTACGGCTGGCCCCTTCTCTGGTGCAATATGATCCCTCAATAACTGGAAAGCTACAGCAGTTTTTCGACACACAAAGCTCGAAAGGTGGGCAGTGGAGGGGACTATCCATCCACGTAGAGGAAGGCAGCGAAGCGGGTACGTTCTCACTCACGTCAGCAACCTAATACATTTCTCACGAGTCGTCAAGACTCCCTGGACATCCCTGGGACATATTCCGTCACATCGACGTCTTCAGCTGACACTGTCATAACTGGACGACGAATATCATTCCCGATCCACCAGCGTCCCTGTAAGGCCTGGACTTCATTCCCCGGCGACGCGTGACTTAATTTCTTCATTCCTGTGGCACACAGTATCCCACTTAGCAGACCTTCTTGCTACCCTTCTCGTTCCATATTCTTCAGATCCTGATCGAGAATACCGTATCGCTCAATATTCGCCTCGTTTCCGTCTCTCGTTTACCCTGCTTAATGAAGATGCGGCAGCCGGTCAGGTTATCACTGGCTGGGATCTTACGAATGCCATACACCGTGAGTACAAGTCTTCTTAGCGCCGCAAACGATGTCATAATACTTGTGCCAGAACATGTCGATCCCATAGTAACAGCTCTATCCATTTTGCACAATTTCACCATCGAAAGCCAGGTACAATTTCACGCGCCGCTTGCGTTCAAGCCACAGGCTCTCGACAACGAGTCTTTTGGTTTAACTCCGGAAGATTTGACTGTCTTCATTAATTCTGCCGAGTGGACGCTATGTAAGCTCTGCCTTTACCGCGTTTCCGCCAGGTCGCTGACGGTCAGCCAGCTTCAAGCTCTTCAAACGATCCAGTGCTTCATTTTGTGTTATTTGTTCCTTCAAGTGCGCAGCAAACCCCTCGTGATACTAAATCCGGATGGTAGGGTCGTTTTTTTCACCTGTCCAGCTGATCGTTGATTCATGACGTAGCGTCCCTTTCACATTCGAACTCCTTCCTCATTCCTCAATGGGGTGGTGTGACAATATACAACCCATCTGATGATAACCCGCCACACAGATATATGTCTTCAGCGGATCTCGACACCCTGTTCCCGGCCTTCTCGAATCAGCTTCTCGCGTTGCTTGGTCTTCCAGGTCTTCACGCCGACGTCAGAATTTCTCCTGACGACAATTCGTTGCTCTCAGATTGGCAGTTAGACGCTCTACTGCGCCGGCGGGCTTTTGAAAACGATCGAGGAGCCAAAGACACACTGCGTAGCACTGTGAAATTGGTTGATCAAATCAAAAACATGCCTGTCGGTCAGTTTGTACGCAATGACGTGTGGGACGCGTTGTCTGCGCTGGAAAAGGTAGCTGTTCATATTCAAAATCGGGATGAGCTATGACATTAACTGAACACCGTTTGCAGATGCACTCCCTTTCCGCAAATTCTCTTGTTGAAACAATGCGTCTTTCCGCTGACGCGGCAACACATGCCTCTCGCGCCTTCTTCAATCCAGGGATGCTGGCGTTGCTGTACTTCCCACCTGAACACAAGTATGCCGTCTACACGCCTCTATTCGCTAGTGCAGTGATACCTCTTATTGCAGCCGCTCTGCGAGAGTTTTTGGCTTGGAGGCGGCAGCGTCGACAGGTGGCAAATACTTAGACACAGTGATTTATGACTCTGGTTCTAAGCGTAATTGGAATTAGCGTTTATGCCGGCTATTCGGCGTGTTTCCTTCCATTGTAAAGACAAAGAATGGCCCAGTTCAGTCACCGACCTCATCTGTCCAAGGATCGGTGACGATTCTTACGCGAACGCCATTTCGTGAGTGTGGAAAATCTGAACTCGCGGGGGGATAGAGTGATGCGATGATAAAATCCTAGGAAGTGGAGCTTCAAGACAAGAATCCAAGTCTAGAAGCAGGACTAACCTTCACCGACACGCCTGCCGTGAAGAAACCGCCCACCTCAACATCAGGCTGACATCTGAGCACCCCCTCCCAGTCCATATGCTTCTCTATCTCCGGTCCTGGCTGTATCTCTGACGCTAAAGGAGGCACCGGACGCAAGCTCCCTTCCCCTATGGGTACGTTCCGTGACGCTACATTCCCATCAACCTCCACTGATACTTGACGAACGAGATGGACCTGAAGTGCCGCGTTCCCATGAACGTGCGCTGGAGCGGGGAAAAGCTGCCGCAGAGACGCGAGTGGTGCCGTCAGCTGGACGTGAAACGGAATGTTATCAGACACGGCGAAGATCTGAACAGCAGGGATGAAGAGCTACGAGGAGAAGGAGTGAGATTTGGGCCGCGGGATGTAAGGGTGATAGCTGTGGGCTTACGCTACAATGGATAGGCGCCGCGGCTGTGTTGGGCTTGGGGTTGATGGTCATGAGACTCTGTTTCCATTCCTCTGGGGACATCTTGACGGATGAGAGAAAAGCGGGGTTGGAGAGCATCGGTTGGGCTGGGCGCGTTCGAGGTCGGTAGTTGAGTACGATACGCAGGCTTTATTAAGGTGAAGAAAGACACGCGTATTGCATTTTAACGCGGTTCGCATACCTTGGGGATCCTCTCAAGAATCCGACCAGTGGGTAGTGGTTCTCGATGACACGTACAGTAAGTGAATACCCGATCGACACTCTAAGCTCCGGGAACGAGGCGGTGAACGAAGGCGGTAGTTCATATCTCTTATCATTGCCCTTCTCGAACTCGGATGGGATCGTCAGAGAGAAGGGTACTGAGCTGGAACATGCCGTTGGATTAGCGGAGTCAACAGACCACAGGGAACGAGTCTCGTCTAGGAAAGTCACAACCTGAGATCCATATTCGTGATTCGCCGTCTCCATTCGTCCCTCCAGCTACCGAACCGAGTCGTCAGAACCAACATATAGAAAAAATAACCGTGACGACCTTGACTTGTACGGAAGTAACCAAGTCGCGTCTTTCGAAGAAAACAGCGCCGTTGATAACTCCCTTTCTTCCGTAAGAGGGTACAGTGCAACCATCTTGTTGTTCTGTTAATACAACGGATAAATTTCCCTCTTTTTTAAGGAAGTTTCCGGTGAAACGGTTGTTCGCAGAACGTGATGGGGTGAGATCAATACGGGATTCACCATCCGACGGATCGAGGGAATAGGCTGGTGGTAGAGAGTCCATTGTAGAAATGATGGAAAATAGAGTGTATTCACTTATAAACGCCCGGATCCTTGATCATAGTATTGCGCAGAAAATTGTCGAGTCATACAAATCACGAGGGGCATGGGTATTTCTTAGATGACTCGGACATCCTCCGTAGTCGGGATGATGGCTGGAGATAGGCACAAGGAGAGATGGTGAGTCACAAGTTTACAGTTGCAGCCGCCCAGATTGGATATCATCTTAAGACTTGGATACAACAGGCCTGGACACTTCTGTTAATTTCGTTAAGCAGGCTGAGAAACATATGTACTTGCGCCGGTCGCGCGCCCAAATGGGTACTGTTTCGATGATGATGTGTGTTCAGTATGAATTCAGGGTCGATACTCAATGCGTACGTTCCTGACAAGCGGTCGTTCCGCGCTTACAAAACAGCCTTTGTTGCGGTACCGGTACATGAGGAGTGGATAAACTATTGAGGACAGCCAAGATTACTATCGAGTAGCTCCGTTAGGAACGCAGGAAACAGCACCCAGAGGCACATGGTGGGACTGTATTAGTAGCCAATAGAAAGAATATGAGATTGGGATTAGGGCATCGCAGTGTTTAAGCTGGCGAACACGACCAATTTGAACAATTTGAACCAATCGTGATCCCATGATGAACGACGGAACCGAGAGATAACCTGAGGGAGTCTACCTATCTTTTCAAGAAGCCCAAAGCTTGCAACCGGAAACGCCCAAAGAGGCAATGCCCGCCGGCCTAAGCTGCCGGCGTCTTGAAACAATTTTCTTTTTTGCTTCCGCACCATGACCTCGTTGATTCCAAAACGTTTCCTGGCAAGGTATTACGCCAGTTCTGCGCTCTCACCCTCTTCCCTGGCAAAATGGGGTATATTTGGATCCCCGTCACACAAATCTATCCTAGACGACGATTCGCCCGTGAAAGTGGATCTCTCGGAAGACAATGATGTGGTGAACCGTGTTCGGGCGTCGACGCCCCCCATCCATCGTCGCAAGCCGTCAAAGGATCCGACACCTGAAGAGTGTGTTCGCCACCGAAAGACGATGAAGCAACGGTTCCCAGAGGGGTGGAATCCGCCACGAAAGATATCACGAGAAGCTATGGATGGGCTTCGTGAACTGCACCGGTTCGACGCAGCCAAGTTCAACACTTCAGTACTTGCTGAGAAATTCAAAATAAGCCCGGACGCAGTGAGACGGATCCTGAAGGGGCGATGGGAGCCTAGCAGAGAAAGGCGGATCGAGATGAGGGCGAAAGAGCGGCAGGGTACGGCCGAGTTTGTGAGACTGAGCCGGGTGAGGGAGAGACTCGAGGCTGAGAAGCTCTGGAGACAGAAGAATTTGGGCGATTCTCATCTTACGCCGGCCCGCTCCGATCAGATTGGAGACGCGGTTGGTGTTGATTCGAAGGACAGATTCACCTTCGACTAGGGCGCGTCCTTACGTTCCAATTCATTGCCTTTCAAATCGGACACTGCTATCGTTGGTAACCTTTCATTTCCACTTGCCAACCGCCAAACTCACCCTTCTAACCAGGAGGCTGCGGCACCGTCGCAAAATAGGCTTGTTAGTGCGCCCTAGCACCCAGAAGCCTCGTTTATTTCCGGAGACGTCATACAAGTCCCTTCATTTCACTATCAGACTCGTTTCAAGCTGCCTGTCTCATCGCGTTAATGTCCATCTATCTTTCCCAATTAACTGTTCCACTATTTAAGGCTCTGCTGTGATTTCCTTACGGCCTTTACAACTGCTTAGGCACGTTAGCGCCACCTCATGCTCGGCCTATTCCGTTCCTCGGGAGTCGTTGCTGTTAGGAGCTACCCTCTGCCAAGTAAAAATCGCACTAGTGCATGACGTCGCTACATCCGACAACAGTTAAGCAAATATAACGGAAGCCAGTGCAAAGCGCACCGCGAACTCGCGGAACCCGTTTCCCCCTTCCGAGTCTTGTGAGGCGAAGAAGAGCATGTCTCCTGCTTTTTTCTCCACTTGGGTCTCATCGTGCCCGACGCGGGTAGGAGCTTCATAGACGCCGGTCAACACATGGGGACATGGAACTTAAGCTCTCAGCGAAGCCCACTTATCTTTCACTCCAGTAGTAGCCGGTAATCCAGAAGGTCATATCCATGCGTTCCCGTCGTCAGATGAGCAAAAGCCTTGCTTGGTTGACCACTCAGCAGTCATGTCCGTCCAAGAATTGAATTGCATATTGGATGTGTACAAGTAACACTGCCCGCCGGACAATAAAGACGTCTAACCACATTCTACTAGGGATAAGCGGTGTGTAAAGTATAAGGTACGAAGGTAAGTAGTTTAAGAACGCATGCGTGCTATGTATGGATAATTTAGTTTTACCTTTATAAAAGAAATGAACGTGACTATGCTGCACAAACAAGACGTAAAACAAGAATAAAGATATTGCAGGAGGGGAAATTGTCCATGGAAATCCTACAGAGGAGTGGCCGTGCGGGAGTACCTCAGATTGCACGTTCCTTTTGGTGGTCGACATTGAAGAATGTCATTCCAGTTGGGAGTTGGTAGAGGATCCGCAACGACTCCCCTGTCGTCAACGATGTCGTGGTTGAACCCAAGCAGTAGCATTGCCGTTATTAGCTTCAACTCCACCTTCGCGAGACGAGTCCCTAGACAAGTAGTTTTGCCTAACCAAGAACAATCAGCAATTAGTCCATGTCAAGAAGCAACGCCAGGTTACCCACCTCCACCCCAACCGAACATATCCGTAAGGCACCTTGGTCTCCTCCCGTGCGGGGTCGAATTTCCACGGATCCGGATAGAGCCCAGCATCGAGGTGGATATCGCTAAAGGGATACACCACATACGCCCCAGACGGGATCAGCTTGCCGTTAATATATGTATCGGGCCCCAAATTTCTCCGCATAGCAGTGTGCGGCTGAGCGACTCGAAGTGTCTCCCGAATGATGGAATCAAGTACAGGTGTCGAAGATTCCCAAGTCTCCAGAGGGATTGTGGCGAGTTGTTTGGATATGGAAGCGCAGTCCTCTGGCGCAGGGTGGGCCGCCAATAGTGATTGGATTTCGTCATATGCTTTTGCCCGCCATTCCTGATGGCCTCCGAGATATGTGAGTAGCCAACACGCTGTTTGAAAAAAGAAGACTAATATTAGATCATTTTGTCAGAAACTCCAATTGGAAGATCAACTTGCCTGTCGTGCCAGTGGCTCGGGCGCCGGCGATCAACAGCCCCATGATGAACTGAACCAAGGGTCCGTCAGCAGCCGTAACTTGATGACAAGAAGTAAAGGCACTCACGCCGACCACAACGAGCTTCTCGTCTTTAAAGTCCAGGAGCATCTGCAGCGCGTCGTCTCTTTGCACGCCGCTCTCTTCACGGGCCTTGATCGCAGCAACGATAATATCATAGATCTCCTTCGTCGCCCACAACTTTCGCACCATTGATGGCGTAGGAACCCATGGGATCAATACGGTGGCCGGTGTCGTTCCAGTATCAAGCTTGTCATACAAGTTCTTTAGACGTGATACCAAGATCGCATCATCCGATATTTCTGAGCACGACAGGCTTCGAACAGTCGTTTGGAACGTGAGCTATTGGCAAAGTTTTAGTGGGAAACGCCGACATAACAACGTTAGAGACGGGAACACGTACCTCGTAGATTTTTTTGAAGGGATCGAACGCTCCGGAATCTCCCCATCCCTCCATGATTCGCCGAGAATCTTCCAATAACAATGGAATCACTGTCAAGAGTAATTATGTGAGTCGTCAAATAGTGTGCGATTTGGTAACGCGCGTAGTACATACGTTGGCTTAGGGGCTCATTGCGCTGGATGGCGGCGAGTCTTTTATGAATCAGGGCAACCCTTCTCGTTTGTAAGTCAGATGTCACTCCTCTGACCATGGGTATCTGCGGTGAAAACGCGGTCAGTAACGACGCCCAAGGCAGGCATGCGGAACACTCACGGCCCCAGACAGGATCTTGAACCCTTCCGTCAGGTCGAAATGTTTGGCTGTGAAAAACTCCTGACGAGCCGATTCCCCTGATACAATAATAACTGTATTCTGTAAGGCGTTAACAAATGATAGAGTTGAAATCAGAGTGTGTCATAGAACGAAGTAAACGCGAGAACACACTCGTAACAGTTTGAATTGGAAAATGGCTTGTCCGGTTGCGTGGAATCCCCAATTGAGAAAGTCAAATCGTCGTCGAAAGAAAGGTATTATCGCAAAGAGCGAGTGCCCTGGGAGTGATGCAGGCGAGTCTTCCTTGAGCGCGTCATCGTGAAGAGAAGAAGTGACGAAGACGATAAGAAGGAAGATAATGACGGATGTGGTAAACTGAGTCGCGAAGCCTGCGGATATGAAAGCAGCGCCAACGGCCTGGAGGCCCACTGAGTACGGCATGCTCGTGTAGGCGGGTCGAACGGGAAAGAAGGTAGAAAGGTAAACTAGGAGGGAGGAAGAACTCTAGGATGAAGTGCGTTCACCCACGGCACAGGTGACATTATATAGCCAGAGAGCTAGCATGGTGATGGCTGGACCCGACCCGCGGATGACACGAAAATATGTCCAATCAATAATTCTCGGCGCGCAACCGTGACGAGGTACGCTGTTATGGTTCACAAAGGGAGCATCAACCCAAACACGGAGTCCAGTCTATGGACTGTCGTGAGATCGGTAGCCGGAAATGAATAGAACTATTTTACAAACACTCGGAGATCGTGCCACAGCAGCGTACCTTTATTTGGGTTACAAGTAAGTGAAATGAATATGTAGTCATGGACCAACAAACTGGGATTGTGGATTCTGAGGTCGGTTCCGAGATGGCCCCCTCATGTCCTACTGTTCTTGGCGGTTCGATTCCCCGGTACGGAAGGGTCGTGCCTTGGAAGCCCTCTCCCCACGAACACGTTTCAAGCCCATCGATAGTTTGTCAACCTGGTACGTCGCCGGATTCACGAGCTTACACTGCCTGTGATCGGAGTCCATTTCTCGGCTGGAATACAATGGTATGACACCGTGATTCCCTTAGCTAGACCAATTACGGACTGCGGATATTGTGTCTGTAAATGTTTTCTGTTGTACGCATTATTCAGAAGAGTATAGATAGAATCGTCGCCGCCGTAAAGTGTCCGGAACGTTCCTGTCTGATATGTGAATCGACCGAGAAATCAGAAAAAAGACAAATGATAGGATCATTTGCATTTCTTGAGCTGGAGAACGAGATGAGAGGGTTCAAGTTGAAGGTACATTCATGATCGGCCCAGATCGGGACAGTCCGTCTAAAACCAAAAATGGCAGTATCAAATCATCCGCCGCCACGATCCCTCAAAGTTCGAAAGTCAAAGCCAAGTTTTAAAGGCTTTATACGTTCAAGTGCACATGACAACAGGCCGCGCCCAGGCAAAGAACCCCGAATGATGCCCTGATGAGCATATGCATGCGCTTCCGAAGAGTCTCACGTCCCCAAATTATATATCCAATGACATCTTGCTAGTGTCCAAATCCTCCCAAAATTAGATATTCACAAAGAACGACTATTCCTCGGAATGATAGTGTGTAGTGTGTATTCAAAATCCATTGCACGCTAGGGACATATGATCCGTCGGATGACAGTCTTCCGTATGATTGCCAGCCAGAAAACTGGGTACAGATTACACACCCAAGCACAACAGATAACGGGGGTGCGAAGCCTCGTTCGGAACACGGCGGCGTTGACTAACAGGATATGACTGGGCCAGACATAGAAATGTCTCTTTTGATGGAGACTTCGCGACCGCCACGACAAAAGAAGGCACTGAGGTATGACAGGACAATAGCATTAACGACAGCATCCATCTACAGCTGACACGACACTTGTTCAGTGTGCCAGAAATCCAGAGCAGTGGAAATACTAGCAAAATGTGCCAGGGCGGCTATCACAACACATACATGGAATATCTGGTGCGAAGAAAAGAAGTAATCGAACATCCCTGGCCAGAACCTTTCTGGGATACGATTTGCACTGAAGAGGAAACTTGTCAGTCTGCCTATCTTCACAATCAGAAGACGGAACCGTACTAAAGTAAGCCCCCCGCAATGTATAATCCGCCCGAAAACAAAAGCCAATTTAATCCCATATCTGAGAAAAGCTTTAGGAAGCCATGGGTAACCAATGCATGACACACGGGAATAATCCCAGTTAGTCCTAAACCGATGAAGACGCTCGTTCGCAGTCCGCGATGTGTGGCACGAGCATATTCAGGTTGAAGAACAACGTACGCCGCGCCTGGAATGGGCGGCGAATATTAGCATCCAAGTTTGAGAAATCTGAGGCCTTCCACTGACCGAGACCGGCGGTTGTGAGTAGCGATATGTACGTCACTTGGGCATAGGGATTGCAGAACAAGCCGTAATATATAGATGGGTAAAAGGATCCTAAGATGAGTACGACGATCCCCGAATAGTCGAATGCCACACAACGCGACGCTACCTATAACGAAAGAGGTGTGAAGTCGGCCAAAACCGGAAAGAAATCAAAGGTCTTGTACCTCTTTGGAATGGCAGGTGGATGTGTGAAAGAAGGCACTTGCACCTAGACAGAACACCGCCGACGACAAGAATGTCACAAAAACGAATAAGTCAATCCAGGTCGTGTTCGGGTACGGTTCTAGGAAGTTGGGGTAAAATGTGATAAGAAAATAAAGGAATAAGACCGCGCCCCAGAGATGGCTGTGGATGTTGACTAGCGGGGATGTTGAGTGGCCCGCACACTTTAGCCTGGCAGGTAACATACTTACCAGTTTCGTTGTGCAAATCTGTACAGTATGGAAGACGGACGGAGAACAAAATGGGGATTGGTAACAATGAGCTGATTTCAACTCAAAAAGTTCGTCGACCAACGGACTCACATCCAAAGACAGAATGGAAGCATCCTCGCCAGTGATTTTGAGCTCTATTTGTGTTTCAAACTCAGTTCCGGAAACAAAGAGATAAGCACCATGGTTGCACCGTACCTTCGATACCCAGAGACGATATACTCGTTATCTCTCATCCAGACAGGAACCTCGTGTATATGGAGCGTTTTGGAGAGATTTGGCACTCCAACGTGAAGGTCTGGAACGAGCGCTGTCGCTTCAGACAGCCTTCGTCTTACGGCCATAGTGCATGTATCTGCCCCCGTGAACACTGAGGATCTGAGATGGAAAACACCGTGTCGTAGTCGGAAAATGCCAAATGCCAACGTCGGGGGTATCCTTGTCCCTGTTGGTAAGAGAGAAAATTGCCAACCTAAATTTCCGGGTATAGAGCCGACGGGGAATGGCAACGGAATCTGCGTCGCAGCCGATGGGGTAAAACGAAAAGGACAGAAAAGCCACGTGTTCATGATCGACTGTCGGCCTACCCCAAATTTGGGACGCTGTGCCGCAGCTTAAACCCAACTCTAGGGTTGTTCCAGGGTTATCGAAAAATAAATTCATGTCCGTCGTTTCCCTTGTCTTTGTGCTGTTCCAGACGTGCCATTCGCGTTAATTCGGCTGAGGATCTCATAAGCTGCAGTGCGACAAGTCTAATGTATAACGAAAAGTGTTTACAAAGTAAACCCGCATTTATCGGACGAGCACTTACTTGGCAGATCCTTGTACTTCCTAGTCGTATAATTGTCGAATTTGAAAGTATTATCGATCATACTCACGAAGACCGTAAGTGAGCCATAAATTTCGCTCTAAGGAAGGAACCATTGTCTCCGCGCAGAAGTGACAGCTCAATTTCCAACAGATACCTCGCGGATGCTCGACCAAAATTCTAGCATCCTTCGAAGCAATCTGTAACAACTCCACTATATAATATTTACACGATAGCGACGATCTTGGGTGGAGCTAAGTGGACGCGTGTTAACTTGAACATGACTCGTGACTCAGACAAAAATTCAGGAATGGCAAAGTTTTCATAATTGCAGACGGTCCAAGTAGTCCGTGAAAACGTGGAAGGTTATGGATAGCATTCCCGTTGGATGATACGGTTGGTCGATGATGAATATCATATGTCATGAACTGAACGTTTACATTTCAGACCGTGAAATGGCAATTGGTTGCGGGACCGTAGTAAGCCTCGACATTCTTTTCCGCGGAAGCAATATCATACAGAGATAACAGAGATCCTCTGTTCTTTAAAACAGAGACAGTCTTTCTCCGGGTAGCCCAACCCGTCTCAGTTGAAAGAACTTCAACCCGGAGGCACTCTAAGAACCAGGATTATAAGGGTCGGATCACTCCACGTGGATGATCTCTGATCGATGGTGATCTTCCTCGCACTCTGTGTAGAAAGTTCATCACCCCAGTACTTGGCTAGCAAAACCAGTCGCGATCGTTCCAAATGACAAGGTGGGAATTTGGGAAGGAGAAATCAAGCCACACGTTGCCATGGGTAGCATGTCTAACATCACAACTGACTTCCAGAATACACGCATCTATGTATTACGGATCAGGGTGGAGTACAGAAAGCGCTGAGCTCACGAACCATGACATTTCGGTACCGTTTGGAATGATTGAAATGCAAGGGGCCCAGCAACCGGCCCCACGATGTTAGAGCAAGTTCCTGGTTTAACGGCATTTAATTAAGGGGTGGGAGGATGGGTATGTGTCCTGGAAATAGGCGTCCTGCCGCGTACGGTACCTTCACGCTTGTTCACCCCTGCAGTGACGCCATCGGAATTTAGAATTGCACCCTAGACCCTCGACGCTGTCGTCACCCGATTGAATAACAATTTTTCACGTCCGATAGGTTTTCCTACGCGCCTCGAGTTTGAGATGCGCCCCCTAGTCTGTCGTATACCTCCGATGTGCCGAATAATACCACCTCGTTATTTAGGTGCGACGTATATTGGCGCGTGTCCTGGTAGATGACGGGATCCGTACGTTACACCTGCGCCTATGTAGGGCCCGCCTCGTGTGGTTCCCACTACGTACATGCACTAACTAAATCTCGCTGATAGAACGTATCGCCGGACGCTGTACATAAGATGGGGCTAACAGAAAAGAAAAGAGAACAGGACCTAGAGCTATACAAAGAGTCGGAGAAACACGAAAAAGCACCGAAGGGACCTGCCGAGGACCTACCAAGTGACTGCGGTACCGCACAATAGACTTGATTACGGAACTGACGCCCGCTTGACGATAGGGACGTCAGGATCCCACGTTTGTTACATGGTCTTGAACCAGGACTTGATTTATGATCACTCGGTGTCGGATGGAAAAACATTGTACCAGCGTGTGGAAAGTACCTATGTACTGTGCCTTACGAAAAAAGGCAAGAATAACGAGGTAAAGGGTGCGAAACAGGCAGCGAATTGAGCGACACTGGTAAAAATAACGCAAGATCTACGTTTGCGATCTTCGAAAACTTGTGTTCCTGTTGTAAACATCGCGGGCACATGTAGTGTGTCTTTCAGAAGGCGTGGTATGTAGGATTAGTTCAGTAGTTTGCGATCTAACGAGAACAGACTGGGCCACCTATGAAAACGAAACCTGAGTCTAATGAAGCCTCTATTAATTATTGCCCTTTTAGCTCAGTGGTAGAGCGCGCCACTCGTATCGAAGGAATGGTGAGGTCAGTCGTTCAAATCGGCTATGGGGCTTCGTGTAAATATGTATTAGTTTTTGCAGCTCCTGAGAGCACTTAAAAGTTTAACCACCTGTGAATTGGCAAGTTGCTTTGCCGTTGATTTCAAATCTACTTTCCAAGTCAAGACTCAAGTTTAACCACATTGAGGCAGACAATTATTTTAGTCAGTACATTTCTACCACAAATTTGTTGACAGTGCAATAGGATATTTTGGCTACTGTAACTTGTCTATATTTGCAGGGAGGAAAGTAAATTTCTTTTGCAGAGAGCGAAGCTAAGCGTGGCGCATCGTGGGACTCTATTGCCACGTGTTGTTCCATCCTCCTTCCATCTTAATTCCATCTTGATACTACTGGCGACCCATCGTAATGACGGACATAGAGCAGCCATTCACGCGTGTACGATTATAATCACTGTCCAGCAGAAATAAAACCTGATTCTTCCATTCAGGTGCCGTATGAGAACTATCGCCGCGTATTTCGGACCTCCCAAAAACATTTCGAAAGGGATTTTGGCGAGCTTATCAAGCGAACTGCAACTGGATCGGCGTTAGGGACAGAGGAGATAGATGCCATGATTGCGAGGGTAGAGGGACTGAAGCGAAAGGTGTGCTGGTTCCGTGCCCAGCTCGAACTTTGTATTCATCGCCGTGTAGCTCTCGGATTTGCAAACTACCTCTGGTCAACCTACCCTTGATGTTATCCGGGAGCGCCTGCAGCATCTTTCCGACTCATCAACGTCAACTTCTACTCAGCTCGACCGTTGGCTCGTCGACTGGGCTCTGCGTACGGGAAAGCCGTCGACTGCACGCTCGATAGCCCAGTCTCGGGGCATTGAGACACTGGTGGATATAGATCTGTTCATGGACATGCATCGCATCGAGTCCGCCCTTTCAGAACATAGATGTACCGAGGCTTTGGCTTGGTGTAGCGAAAACAAGGCAGCATTAAGGAAAATGAAGAACACCCTCGAGTTTGACCTGCGGTTACAAGAGTACATTGAGATGTGTAGACGAAGAGAGAGCCAGGATGCCATTGCGTACATGCGGAAGTACCTGGTACCATGGCAGGAGACGCATCTCCAATCTATTATGCAGGCCGCCAACCTCTTAGCTTTCAGACCGGGTACCACCTGCGGTGTCTACAAGGTATCTAGACCGATATTTATTTTCTTTTGATGATTCTAAGATACGCCTCCTTCTAGCGACTGTATGATCTGTCACGTTGGACGACACTCACTGCATCTTTTCGTTCCAGTGTTTACGCCCTCAACGCCTTTCCGACAGAACCTATACTATATCTAGCCCTCTACGCTGGTCTTGCTGCCCTTAAGCTTCCCGCATGCAGCAACCACGACACGCGCAACGTCGACTGTCCTGTATGTGACGTAGGCTGGGGCGGGCGAGATCGTTCTGGCGACGCCAGAGAAGGCTTAGGGCTCGGACGCCTCGCAAAGGAGGTCCCAATGAGCCATCATGCAAATTCAGTGATTGTCTGTCGGATCAGCGGCAAGATAATGGACGAGGATAATGGTCCGATGGCCTTTCCAGATGGGCATGTCTATTCACGGGAGGTACGTCCCCATTCTTCTTCCCTGGTCAAGACATATTGACGGAACTCGCAACTTGACAGGCTCTGGAAGATATGGCCGCAAGAAATAATGGCATTGTGACATGCCCTCGGTGCGGCACGAGTTGTGAATTTACCGCGCTACGGAAGGTGTTTATCTCATAATTGACACGGACATGACGGTTGCTCTCCGGCTGGCGGTATGTACATATGTGTACTGTATATTTTAATGATTGTTCTCCGGCCAGAAATTCGTGGCGTTCTCTGTCACATCGACACCTGCAGTCGCATAATATCATATTCAACATGTCACCTTTGGGCCGCACATAGTTCGCCGTTAATTAGGCGGGACCGTTTACTGGTCCGTTCCGAAATTCAAGGATTCCCATTGTGGCTCTGATTTTCTGTCCACCAAATGCCACAAATCGCGTCCTTGTCAGGGATCAAAACATAAATATAGACCATGATTTTCGCTTCACTATTCAGATCGGGATCCACTGGAGCAAACTACTATCGATCTTGTCTCGTAAGTCACCACTGTCACACACTAGTTTGGTACGGCAAGAGCTGGTTTTCGCAGGCTGGGCCGCCGGTCGTCGGTTAGTGTCTTTTTTTGACGTAAATGATTTTTTTTACCCACCATCTCCATCTTCAGAATAGCCGAGAGCGCAATTTGTGACCAAGATTGTCGCGGTCGGAGCCGTGGTACGCATCACCTAGTCCATAAAGATACCGACATTATTGGGTAAATAATTCGGTTAATTCCTATTATTATTTTCTGCAGGTGCACCTATTTCCCCACCATGACCGTAGCGAGTATTGTATCGACGTAAGGATGAAGACAGACCTGCTAGTCGCATGAGGTGAACTCAGCAAACTGAAGGATATGTTCTCTTTCACCCGGGAATCGGATTTTTGAGCAAATTGTGAAGGTTAAAGACCAGTCATGTCAACTTGTGGTCACAAGGGCACACCGAGGTCAGTGATTTGTACAGTATATGAACCATTTGCAACGGTGGCTCCGAAGCAGGATAGCCGACCGAGGCTTCTGTGGCTAGTCGTGCCCTCTGATGTTCTGCGCCGTGAGAACGATTCGGTTCACGTAGAAGTGGGTAAGACTGGATCGACTATGCTGCATCTTTCACCGTCAACAAGAACGCTCGGTGGCCACGGTGGGTATTGTCAGCATTACGGGAATAGATTCGAGATTATCGTTCCTTGAAGGACTTCTTCTGGCAGACAAATGACTCCGTGTCATCTCTAGCAGCAATGAGGCCTTTACGGCGACGGATAAGACTGACATCCAGCGAGTGCATACACGCAAGCTTCCTTTCTCACTTGCAGACAAGCACTTGGGTATACTACATATGTACATCTGAGGTATCTTGCGACACCATGGTGACCTATCCATTGGATTTCCCCAAAACATACGACTAGTGCCATGATGCGCACTCTTGACCTCCTCAACACGGCACCTCATGGTCGATACTCAGTTCTTTTGCTTGCTGGATATGGTGTGAACTTGATCAGCGACAACACTCTACCGACACCGACTTCTGCCGACGCAAAGCCTATACACGGCAAAGGCGCCGACAGGCTGGAAGCATGGTATCAAGAACCTAGTCATGCATGCGGTAGACTAGAGAACCATGTCCTACTTAGCTCTAATGTTTCTCATTCTGTCGTGCGTTCGTCATACATAGATGGGTCTTCCCGGAACAAGCTTCAACGTGTCATCGAGCCCGGTACAGTGTGAGAGCGCTCTATTAATCTATTACCCGCACGCAGCCGTTTTCGAGAAGACTGGGTTCGACCGAGACCAACTACTACTGGTCTTTCTCTCTAGAATATCAGGAATTCAATTCACACCCTCGGTACCCATTGTGGTACCCACTTTCTTGCATATGTTCCTGTCCTCGTGCAGCGCCACGTACTAAAGAGGCTACTGTAGGTGATGAAGGTAGAATAGATCTTCCCCTCAATGTAGCGGGTTTAGCTATCAGACGCAAGAGATCAAAAGTACATTCTGGGAGAATATCAAGGCAGCAGCTTGTCGCCCTGGTCGCTCCAATCCTATATACATAGCAGCCTGCTAGACCAGCGCCAGTTTTTGCGCAGCAAAGGTCGATTTGCAACGTCATGGAACAACTATGTTTGGCTGAAGACTTGCATGGATAAAATTACAGGATCAATCGGTACAGGCTTTTATGGGAACGACTCTATATGAACACCGGGTCCTACAAATGCAACGAACACTGCCGATAGGCTGGCCGCGTGCCGATACCCTAAACCGTGTCGTAGTCAATGACGGTTTCATAGAATTCGGAGATGATTCGCTTCTGAGCTTCTCGGCCAGTCTCATTCTACATAGAGAAATCAGTGGTATGTCAACTCCCGAGGTGGTACAGGAACATACCTCAGTATCACCAATTGGACGGATGACGAGGTATTTCCTCGACGTCAGGATCTCCTCGCCGACCTCGCCAAAAGTGATAGTGTCTTTGCTTGCATCAAAGACCTCATGGGAACCGGTGGCCAAGCCGCCTGCTTCTTGGGCAATGATGACTCCTGCAGCAACATCCCAGGGCCAGGGGCCGATTTCCCTAGGAACAGGGTCGCATCAATACACCTCATACAAATGTGAATTACTTACCAGTACATGTCGAAGGCACCTTGTGCAACATATACAAAGTTCATAGCAGAGGTACCGAGCGACCGCAAGGAGTGCGCCATGCGGGCCTTATGGATTCCATTGGCGGCGTCGCTCACCAGCCGGTGGAAGCTCTCGGCACGAGCAGCCAAAGGTGGAATACGACGATCGAAGCCCCATTCAACAGCTATGAGGTACATACGTCAGGCACAAGAGCTGATTAAGGACTAATAGGCTCTAACCTAGTTGTGCTTTGCTCAACGAAGGGAGAGGTTGAGGAGGGTTCGCGAAAGGCAACTTTCGGCGGACACCATCGGGGCCACCACGCGTGACGTACGAGCCCCCACCTTTGATGCCCGTGTACTTGATATGCACGTGAGATGAGGAATAAAGCTAAAATTCAAATAATATACCATAGTTTCGAGGAAAGGGTTATATATGATGCCCAAAACTGATTGGCGCTTGACCAAGAGAGCGATGGAGAGAGCTACCATAGGGAAGCCATGCACGAAATTGGTTGTTCCATCTAAGGAAAACGCATCAGCGCAAAGAAAACAATTTGGACGCCTGTCTACTAACCAATGGGGTCAACACACCACGTCGGCTCGTCCGTCCATTCTGGGCGAGCACCCGCTGCGTAAGATTCCTCGCCAATACTGTCAATGGTGTCAGTGTACGCGAATATACACGCTCCGGTAAAGAGCATACGTACAACTGGAATGAGGGATACTTCTCCCCCAGTTTTTCTTTGACAAGCTCCTCCACTCGGACGTCGTATTCAGTGACAAGGTCAACTGCGTTCTTCTTGGTGTCGACGACAGATGCTGGCTGTAGGATAGCCTCGGACCCTTCGATTATCAGTTTTCCAGCGTCGTAAGCGAGGGTGACAGTATAGTCGAGGATAGACTTCAAATCGAGATCTGCCATAACAGTTGAAGTGATATGGAGTGGTTAACAAATTACCTGGTCTTAAATACCACCTGTAAGGATCTCCGACCCAAAAGAATTGTCTGAAAGAGTATTGTTATAAAATACATGCGCGAAGAAGCGCAAAAATAACCCACCTTCCAAATGCGTGTAATATCCCGGAATATCCCACACCCTATCCGTATCTTTATTTGTCTTCATTTCCCCTTGTGGTGCGGTATACATCATTGAAAGGCGGGGACGATTGGGGATGATTACCCAATTTCGAAAAAGAATGGGTGTTTGATGGAAATAAATTTGGGGTGCTGATAGAACACATCAGTTGCAACGTTCTGGGCATAACCCCGGTGTAAAACAGGAGGAGTTGTTGGCCTTTCGCATTGTTGAAGACCGTAAGTAGAACCAGATCATAGCCAAGGGGAAAAGATATGAAATGATGGCTGTACCCAAGGTTATGACGTAGCACGATGAAATTCCGTGAACGGAAAACGAGGCCCACAGGAACCCGCCAGCGCACCGGATTCGTCCGACTACCATGGAGCATCGAAGGTCGTCTTAAGTGGCGCCTGTATTGTGTGGACACGAAAGACAGATATCTTTAGAACCTGAGAGATAACAGATATGAAAGGATGCTATACGAGTCTAAGTTGCGCGAATGGTGGAAAGACCGATCATAGCGTAACCTAATTGGATGACTCCATTGTAATACCTCAGATATTCTTGCGCTGCTGTGCAAACGGGACACCGAGAAGCGGAAGACGACAAAGCACGACAGTCGGCATGTAGTAACCTTAATGGACTCCACAGGATTTGAAAAGAAAATAGAACTGATATGAGATAGTGTGAGACTTCCAAGTGAATATTAACCGGAGAAACGTTGGAAATGAGGTCTTCCATCTTCGCGACGCGTGGAGCCGCAGAACACGCATAAAGGACCCCTGGAATCTCGATGAGCGTTAAGTAGACCACGACTGTCGAGGTACCACCCCATAAACCCAACCCACTCCTCATATATTGTACAATGGCTCAAAACCAACTGCGTGTCGTCGTCGGCTGTGATGTGAGTACGCTCCCTGCAGCTCACGACCGCCCAGAGTGTCCTGACCTTTCGTTACAGGAGGCTGGTGTTCAGTACAAGAACACGCTCAAGGCTGACCTGCAAAAGGATCCACGTGTTTCAGAGGTCATCGATGTTGGGGTCGTCGACACCAACGAAAAGACCGCATACCCGCATGTCGCAGTCAATGCTGCAAAGAAGATTGCAGCAGGCGAAGCCGATCGCGGGTTGCTGATCTGTGGAACCGGTCTTGGTAGGTTTACAGTTTGGGATCATTTGACGCTAAGACTGAACTATCTTCTCGCAAGGGGTGGCCATTTCCGCGAACAAAGTCCCAGGAATACGCGCTGTTACTGCCCACGACAGTTTCTCTGTTGAGCGCGCTATCTTGAGTAACGACGCGCAGGTTCTCTGCATGGGTCAGCGTGTCGTCGGTATCGAGCTTGCTCGAAGGCTTGCCAAGGAGTGGCTCGGGTACACTTTCGACAAGACTTCGGCTTCGGCTGCTAAAGTTGCCGCGATTTCTGAGTATGAGCAGGTGCCAGGATCGTGTTCGTAAATAGACTGGAAGCGCGACAGATAGCTACCATTCCTATTTCCACTTAGATACGAGAAGTACTTGCCCCGTTGTAAAACATTCCAGTCCACCATTATCTCAATGTATGTCCTAACAAAGTAGAGTTCACGGATGTTTTGCGACCGAAATGAAACCCTCAAGCATTTGGAAGGTCGAACATAGCTTTGAGACGAGACACAAATGATTTGTTGAGAATCAGATTGACGCCGCTTCTACACACGGCTACAATGTTAACATGATGTTACCCCGAAAAGTTAAGGTGATTATACAACAGGAACGCACCTGATAATCATTCGATGACGCTATTGAGTTCTAAGGGACCACTTTACCCATCCCTGCTTCCAGGATGGGACAAGAGTAACACTAGTCCGGTTAGTTTATACCGGCATAATCAATCCCACGATCATTCTAACATGTGCTTTGTCCTATCGAGCGACTGTTGCGCATGTTCTAAGCTTCCTGCCACCCGTTCAGGCATCGTGCCTTTCATTTCATCAGCCATCTTTCAACAAACGTGCTTCTATTAATGGTCGGCAAAATTAGATCCTATTCTTCGTCTGTATCTGCACTTCTGCAGCTTGGTTGAAACCGTGGAGTACCCAAAGTAATGGTGATGTGCATCAGTCATTCCGTTCTCATAGGTCGGTGAAATTTTCAGATGACAGGAAGATTTTGGGAAGACGTGCATCGAGGCAGATTTACGGCGCATAGGTGGCTGCGTGTACTTGGCTCAATCAAGCTCTCTAAAAGCGGTCCCGCATAAGACTAGCACACTAGCACAGGGGTTTTCATCCGCCGGGACCTTGGTATCTTTAGCCTCAAATGCTGTATGAATGGGAGTTTGATCTCGAGAGGTAAAATCGTCACCTGAGACCTTGTACAGAATCAGTTGAGCTCAAAAAGCTCCCAGCTGATTGGTGCTGAGCGAGTCTATACAATTGCAGCCTCGGTCATGGAGTATCACTGAAGCACGCATGGATGTATTTCGAAGTTTGAGACAGCAATTATGATTGCTGTCACAACATCCATACCTCGAGAAAGGATTCCCAATGCATCGTCGGTCCAGACCTCGTTGAACCCGATAGAATATTCTGATGAACAAATGCACTGCTGGCGCAGAATAAAATGAAGCGTAGATTAGTGAAATCAGTGATGGGTATTGAGGTGGCGCAGTCTATCAGTGGGGATGAGAGTAAATGAGGACATTGGCCTCTAATGATGAGCAGATCTTCCAGACAAGGTAACCACCGGCTATATGCAACATGTATTGTCGATGCTACACCGAATACGCGCATTTTAGGAATTTCCAACCCATTGGAGCTCTTCAAACTTCGCGAAGCAAAAAGAAGGATTTCTGCGATGAACGGGGGTAGCCGCATATACAAAACCTGTTTCCAGATACCTTTGTCCAAGGACGTGGTGTCAGCACACTGAGTCGGTGGGAAACGGTCGATATAGGTGCCCTGGGACAGCTCCCAGATAACGGCATTGAAATAAGTACGCGCCCGCGGCTATGGAGCACTTGCGTCACAATATCAACGCTCTAGACAATCATGGAACTGTCGAAGAGCCTTTCCGGATAATTATTGACAAAGCATAGCTGCATGTCGCATGATTCACTACCAATGATTTCCGAAAAGCACGAAATCGTTCGTCATGGTGGACTGACAAGCGCAGATGGATATATGCACTCTAAAATATACAAATAAACGAGAAAAATGGTCAAAGGACGGCAATATGTTATGCCTGGGAGGGCGTACTGGTGCCCAAAAATGTGATATTGTCAATATTATATCTTCGCTTGGAGCATCGAGGTCCTGGCAATGGACGAGGTGGTTGTTGAAGTCTTGGAGACAGTGTGACCAGCCGTGACCAACCCTCCTGTTCTTGACCACGACGACGACCAGGATCATTTCTTTGTCTCGAGCCCGTAGAGCACAATTTTCTTCACTTTTTGAATGATTTTCAGCGTGAATACTGCTACGGACTATCGTCGAGGATCGAGTTGTCTTTGTTGTCCAGGCCACCTATCGCTGTCGTGCGTGCAGCGACAGTCAAGCCGTCGACGTTGATTTCGGCTCAATATTTCGGCACGGGGGCCACGATGGCGTAAAAGCGGACGACATTCTACATTTCTTACTTCCAAGAAGATAATCCTCGAGACGCAAAATCCGCTTTCTTTCAACTCGTCACTACCCAAGAGGTAAATTCTACGTCCATAAAGCTGCCTGTTTCTTATTCAGTGGTTGATGTTCCAGATGTCGAATACTTCATGCCACTACGTATCCCCGTCTTTATTATGCGCCTCTACGTTGAACCTCACGCCGAATAAACGTACCGCTGGCGACTCCAAACACATTGTTTTCTCCGTTTTATCTCACTTACCAGTCTTTTCTCCAGAGCGTACTGAAGTTAATCTTGTCTTGGAAAGCTGTAGAAGCCGCATGCGCAGACTTGTTCGCCAATATGGCGCACACCATGGCCGTCTTCGATGTATCATGCCACCCTATAACCACTTCTATCGTCCTTTGGTCGACTTACCTCAATCATTCAGCCGCTTCAATGACTCATCCGTTCTTCATGCGATACTGTTGGCTTTTGCCTTTGCTTTTGGGGGTCCTTCGCCATTACCTTGCAAAAGAAGACGCACCCTTTTTACTTCTGCGGCAGTCAGAAGCATAGGCATGTCTTGCTAACTCGTCAGTTCTTAGAGGCCATCATTGTTGTAAGAAAAGATTACTCGTGGTCTATTCCTAAAATACGCGCACGTAAAGATACACCATATCCGTGTACTACGTTCTCAGCGGGACCTTTTTGGCCTGAACTTTGATCCCTCATACCAATTTGCTCTGAATAGAACACAAAATTCAGTTTTGGTAAAGATAACTGAATACATTCATATGTAAAGACGCTGACCTCTGATGTTCTCAGGCCCGCCATTCACCGCCGCAGCAATGTGTAGTACGTCAGTAGTCTATAATCGCAGTAAAGACTCTTTCCAGACAAGTCTTGTTGTCGAGCGTGGCGCAAAGCTCGGGTATCTTCTGGGTACTCTCTACCGAGTCCAAGGCTGATGCAACAGAAGGTGGCGGTTCCAGTATGTAACCTTGTGCGGAAAGTTGGATTGTCTTCCTATTGCTGTGGGAAACCGCTGATAATAATATCAGACTGTTCATTGCCAGAGCACATCTCGGAAGACTTACAAGACATTACGTGGATAACTAACATACATGCGTATTCTTGTTGGCATCTTGTTAATCATTTAGTATCTGACGGAAGGTCGGATGATATTATATCCTCAGCTACCGAAACGAATCAAGCAATGTTTAGTAGAAACTGGCCAACTTCGGGACAACTTCGTGCACATGGATCTGCCGTCGTGAATACTGATATCCGTGACTGCTTGTCTTATCGTAATCTTGCCAACATATCGTCGCCGTTCTTTGGTTGTTCTTTCTTCCATTTAAATTGTTTTCTGTCGCTTTCCCTCTGGACTATTGATAGTGTTGTTGTTCAGGGCCCCACGTCACTATGGCGACTGCAGACACCGCGGCTGCGTCTTCTTTATGTCGAACTGTGTCCATGTCTGACTATTCCTGGTAAGCGGTCAAAATGTAACCTTAGAATCGAAGTCTTACGCTGGATGTACATATGTACCCAGGGCAGAGTCAGGTCATGTTTGATCCGAACAATATGAATGGTCCATCCCTCTTCATCCATCCCCACTTCCTATTATCACGTACGTAAATAACGCGGGTCTGTTTTGAAATTGCCGCATTTGCCGTTTGGGCTATGCGAATCCGCTGCAGAGTTCGCAGATCTCAGAAGTTTGGGTGGTATGGTTACTACTTACATAGTCCAGACATCTTTCACTCGTCTCAGCTCGATGCGATCTTGAGTCATCTGTCGCCGGGAACCTGAGTCTTCTCAAATTGCCACTTGTTTTTTTTTTTCCTTTTTTTCATTTTCACTTGAATATCTGACAACCATCGGCGCCGGTCGACGTTGTCTGTCTCTTTGTTGGTTATTGATTTCGTTTTGTCTGTCATTTTCGCAGTTGGAAAAATGAGATCTGGTTAGAGATTTGCGCTGTCTGAAGGTGTCTAACGCTGACACTCGTAGCGACCGAGAAAAAGGGAGACCCTACAGTATTCAATCTGTCGGAACATAGCATTGTCCGAATTCCTGTCAACAAGTCATAATGAATAGCATTAACGCCCACTCTGACTGGTATAAAAACACCGTTGAATGTCTGCAATTGCAAACAGATCGTGGATCTTGACAAGCTTGAAGCCGCGAAAGCGCGCGTTATTTTTCACCTAATGAAACTGTCTGTCCAACTCGACATGCTTAATAGCACCGAAGAGCTTCTCAGAAATTGCGACAAGCGACGCGGAGTCCGACTCGGAGTAGCCATATCATTTGGGACGCGTCAGCATAGACAGGAAGTGTTGATGGCGACACCAGGATCATATTGAGTTGCTCTACCTAATGCGCTCTAATGGTACATACTTTTACTAATTCTTTCATGCAATTTAGACGATTATTTTCCTATTATCCGAACTATGATTCTCTTTCCACAAGCTTTATGGTATCCCTGAGCTGCTGCCTATTTTGCTCGTTCATTCATTTAGCCACATGACTTCTCTTAGCATGGTTACCCCACATTTTCCATTTCAAGCCTCTCTGCGAATCTCTCCCACGTAACTTTATCGAGTTTTTCCTGAGACTGAACCAAACGATTAAGCTGGAATATGCTCTTGAAACGATGTAGTGCTTACCGGTAATGCCTGCTCCCTCAGTCCTAGTTTCCCGCACACTTTTTTGTGAGTCTTCCAGGCGGCCCTCTGGCATACGGTGCTGCAGTAGACCGTCTGGCGATCTGAGTGAAATAAACCATGGCAAAACGATGAGAAGCAACACCTACAATTTTGCACCCACCGCAGAGTTTGTGCGTGGGTACGCCGTCACCTTCCATAACGTCACAGCCCTCGTTCTCGCAAACGCGGTAGAGGGCGCCCAAGGAGATACCTAATTTTGCTCCACGTTCTATGTCGAGCTTCGCTCGGCTATCCCCTGAGGTCTCGATGTATTCGTCCACTAACGCATTCCAGGTCGTTTGGCGGTCCAGACATAATGCTTTACTTTGCTGTCGTCCAATGGGCCTAAAAACGGGACATCAGTCACCAGTCGGAACAGAGTGTTTTCGAGACTCACCATGGTCGAAAATCTACCTTCTTCAGTGCATATCGAAACGCCGGATCGAGTCGGAGCTCAGGAAACCTCTCGTTGAGTGCCATATTCTCAACACGTTCAAATACATGGGCGGGGGAGTTTTCCTTCGTAAAGAATCCCGAATCTATCTTCTGGCGACACCCGAAATGTCTGAACTGATCGACTGTCCTTCCATCCCCCGTCATTTTCACCATCTTTTGCACCCTCTCGATGATTTTGTACATGGGGTGCGTCGGTTCCTGTTCGAGAGGATCGGGTGGAATGCGATTAGACAAGCTGACTTCGATGCGTTGATGCGACTCATTCCATTGTTCATATGCGAAAACGTTCCTCCTACTGCAACAAGCTCCAAATCGTTTCTCGCTAACACAGAAGCAAAGGAAGTCCGGAGGGTACGCCTTGTCCTCTTTCGCGTGACATTCGGCGAGGGGTAGGCCTGAAAAGCAGGGACATGGTCGTGGTTCTCGTACGAAGGGGGAGGCGGCGTAGCGTTCAAAGATAGCATTGAATAGGGAAATCAGATCGGCGTTTTGAAGAAACGAAGAAGGGGGCACATAGCACTCTGGGGGCGCCGGGTTTGCGCCATATTTCGCAAAGAGCTCAATCAACTCCCAGTCTTTGATCATGCACGCGTGCGTGAGGGGGCACTGTCCCTCCAGTACGAGATTGACATCTGCATGATGCTCGAGCAGAAGGCGGATGACTTTGACTATACGGCGACGCGACGCGCGGGCGTGTTTCAGAGACGAAGATTTGTTAAACTGAGCACAGCGAATGGTATGGACAGCAAGGTGCAGCGGAGTATATCCTTCGAAATCGGGGACATCGATGTTGGATCCAAGATAAATAATTTCATGAGCAGCCAATAGATCTCCCGTCGAGGCTGCAAAGTGAAGAAAAGCTAATTTTGCGTGCGCTGGGTAGTCCTCTCCTAGACGAATTTTGGAGTGTAAGGTGTTCGCATCGATTTCTTTGATATGGCGGTCCAATATTGCAATCTTCATAGCATAGAATTCATCGTTGACTGAGAGGGAATTAGCCAAGCGGCGATAATCTGGGTCTGATTTGATTGTTTCGACGAGCGAGATCGGAAGATGGACATAATTCTTGACCATTCTGCTAGGATGTTTCTGTAAGTATATAGATGAGCTTTAGACAAAGATACACGTACACAGAGGGATGGCAGCTGGAGCTGGAAGCTGAGGCAGCTCAAAGGTTCGTCAGGCATCTGTGACCACATCACTGGTCACAAGAGCTCTTCGATATTACAGCTTCGTACGTCAAGGAACCGGATACCTTACCCCGGTGAAATAATCAGGTTGCTGAGGTCGAGTGAACGAGTGAACGATGATATCCGGAACGGATTTAACAGAGTTTCCTCAACGTAAAGCTGGAAAGAATTTTCACTGACTCAGAAGCAAAATGGATACAATGTCGGTCCGGATATCCGATGGACCCGCAAGGTACCTTTGCGCTGACCGTGTTGGAATCCAAAATGTTCTCATTCTCGAGAGAAAACCGCACGGGCTTTACGGGCTTCATATCCGATGCACTGATGAAGTACCTTTCCCGTTTACAAATTCACTTCTTTTCGACACCGGTTGTTTCCGTGGTCCTGGAACGGGAGAACTGCCTGTAGGACTCTTCGAAGATGTGGAACGAAGTCCATGGATTCTATGCCACGCTCGTGGTAAACACAGTCGTCCGCGGTACAGAACTGCCTGCCTGGGTCCCATACGAGAGGCGATGCCAAAGAAGAAAACGAAAAAGGGTAGGACCATTCATGAACACAGTTCCCAGTTTCCTTCAGTACCAGTCACCCTCACCCTCCTTTTGGTCCGCAGAAACTCCAGGGCATCCTGAACAGCCCAATCCCCAATGTTCTTCCAACGGTCATCAGTTCTTCGAAGAAACCTGGTTATGGTCGTCTTGTTCAATGGCCTCCGACGATCCGGTGGGAGTGCATTTATTTTGGTCATCGCGTTTTCCACTACTTCCGCCGTATACTGTGGCGTTAATGGCACATATGAATCTTCCATTGGTTCTGGATCAGAAAGTGGGTCGTCTTCGTCATCTTGCAGCATGGACATGAAAGTGGACGTCGTTGTTGTGGAAGAGATGCTGACACTGGCGGGCGTATCATACGCAGACGTGGACTTCCAAGGCCCGAGCCAAGAAGCAGTAGAAAGTGGATGATTAGGACCATCCCATAGTATGATACTACCTTCGTTCATAAGCTCCACGAGGGCTTTGACAAACAGTTGTTTCTTCTTCGGACCCAATGGCTCCCTGCTTGGTTTCTGGGATTTTCTGAGGCTCTGGGATGATGATTTCGCAGCTTCTCTCTCTGTTCTTCGTACCCTCTTGATATCAGCAAGGACAACTAGTTTCGCCAGATTGGACAGTTCAGGGACTCGACGCAAGCATGACAGTGTGAACCCACGCATATCTGATGTCGCTCGCAAATGATGGTTACGGGGCCGGGACACGGAGTCAAGCGTAATATCTGTATCTGGCAGAGCCACGTGAGGAGGTGCATACAGAAGATTTTCCATGTAATATTTGAGGTAAAGTCGAAATGTACTTTCGGTCAACTGCGCTGAACGAAGGCGAGAGGGGTGTTTGAACTGAGCATCGTTTGTCAATCTAACTGACGAGAAAGTGCGCAGCGGTGTGGGCTTACGTGTTGACTCTGAGGAGAGCGCGGGGCCTGCAACTCTTTAATTGGCGAAAAAGGTTCAACATCTATCGATGTCTGGGACATATGTGCATCAACGTCTTGACTTTGCATTTGATTCGCGGCACTTGGAACGACGAAAGGCTCTTGTGAAGAGTAGTACTTCTCATGCAGCAAAGAAACATGCAGCCAATGATTGGGTTCGTCATTGAAGGACTTGCACTGTTCTACAAAGAAGTTGGATCGCTTGCAAGAGTATAAAGCTTTCTATCCGACACACCTATGCTGTTGACCTTAATTTCCTTGGTATCATGCCACTCTTCGACTTTGCCGATGACACGAACAAGGTAGCCTACTCGTATGGCAGCGATATTGGCCGGAAGGGTGGTCGGTTTCGAGGAAGATGATGAGCTTGCTGGAGTAGATAGCGCCGTTGATGCAATAGTTTGAACGCAATCGATAACCGCTGTTCCGTCGTCCACTGCATCGAACAAAGTCAGAGAATGTTCTCGTTTCTCTGCGGTGAGCTTACCAGATAGCTTGATCCCGTCTCTCGGTATGCTGAACTCCAACTACGATTCCGATATATTTGACTATTCGGCACGGTATCTTATTCAACCAGAAGAAATCCTCATCTACAAAGGTAATCAGTGAGCGTTCCGGGAGAAGAAAAAGCATACCTTTGACCATGTTCTGAGTCATTGCATGCATATCTCTCACAAAACATTCTATCGTTGATTTCTCGACTTCCGTACAAAGCCAGTGAAATATTTCAGCCGATGTTGACGCTGGTGCCGCTGCTTGGGCATCCGCCAGCGCTGCCTTCTTCTTGGTTGGTGTTAACAGGAGACTTGACGATGAAGGCGCAGGCATGAGAGTAGTTGTAGTTGTCATAGATGTTATCATTCGTCGATACACCTCACGCTGGTACGCCAGAAAGCGTCGAGGACCAGGTTGGTGGTGGAGAGAAGCTGAGGCGCGTGCAGTTCAATCTCAGACGCGTACGATCACGTGTGCATAAGGGCAGGCTGTGAATCGTGTGATAATAATAATATTCTTTAAATTAATAATATATTTTCTTGCAGCGTTTCACGATTTAATTGTTGTCAACGTCTCCCATCATGTCTTGGCCAGACTATATCATCGCGAAAACTTCTCATCTGGCAGATACTGGACCAATAGAAAACGAATTTATTCTCTGTATAATGATATCCTCAGCGAATGTTTACCTTGTATTTCGACTTTATGGCCGCTGTCTGAAATAAAGCAGATGGAGCTTTCTGGTGAGTGGTCTTTCTGTGCAATTCTTTGCCCGGCAATTTGTCGATAAACGGTGATTCTGCCGGTGGGTGCTTCGAGAACAGATTCTGGTCAGTAGGTCTACCGTCGAAAAAGGCTGGAATCATTGCCCTGTATGGAGCTGTCGCGCACAAACCTGTATTTGTAGAACCATACTGTTGTATAAGGTGTAAAATGGCATTTACTGTCCAGGAGGGCACTGCTGAGTACGAACTTTGGACTGACTAGTTCGTCCCGAGTTATCAGTCATGTGCTGGCCTCTGCTGAGTGGCCTCCTGTGGCCTCGCTGTGCGGCTGAAAGCAATATTTTACAATCGGGTAGTATTCACACGCATTCGAAATGAAACTATAATGATGATACTATAAGTTAGAAAAACAGGAATCGGGGACAAAGTTTAGACGAAATATGGATACAGTTAAATTGCAGATATCCGCAGTCAGCATCTGTTTGAGGCATCGACGGCAGAATTTGCAGCGTAAGAGTCACGATCAGATCCCCCCTCGGATTTGTTTTTATCATTGTCATCGTCCGTCCGTGTCAGGTCCTAAGAGAGAGATAGTCTAGTCAGGGCAAAGCTGTGACAGCCGCTAATGCGTGGAAATTTTACCTGTGCCTTATAAATACTCGGGGAAGGTAAACCCCCGTCGATCGAGTCCATGTGGACCACAGCTGTGTGTTGAACATCTACGAAGAAGGGGTTGAGGAAGTACTTTTGCTGATGAAGCTTGATACTCACGGATGCCGTCAAACGTGAACGTGGGGTTGTTAGCTCTTTCGACACGGTATTCACGATCCGAAGAGGCTGCGTTGGACTTCTTGGAGACTTTCCGGACGTTGAGGTTGTACAACAAAGTCAGAATATAGAGTCGACCAAGAATGAATGCAAAGCCGGTTTCAACTGGAGACTCATGAGCCATATTGCGGAGACGAACCAAGACAGATACATACTATTGCTCTCGTTGTTGACAAGATATGTAATAAGAACCAAAACCGCGATTATTGATGTCGTGGAGCCAGTCTGCATAGCGGATCGCATGAGACGTTGAATTAAACTTTCAGAACGGAAGTCAGTCTAGCAACTTAACGGCAAGTATTCAAACCAACCCTTCAGTGGCCTTGAAGGACGTTTTCATGTTATACAATTGCCATATAAGAACAGTTGCAATAGCAATATCTAAATCACGGTCAAGAGAAAGCCTCATAGTGATGTTAAGACACTCACCCGTCACTGCGGTCGAAGTGAGCCACAAAGTCACAGGGACTTTGGCGTGGTGTCGATCAGCGTACGCATTATAAATGGTCAGCATTATTGCTGTGGACAGAGAGCCACCGAACTAGCATGTGGGTTAGCGGGTAAAAATTCCATGGGTGATAGACTACTCACTGCTATGATGACCAGCAGTACGAGGATAGAAGCCACAACAACATTTCTCGTCCTGTTAACTGATAAGAACAGCGAAAGAAGGACGTTGATAGCAGTAGACTAACAATATCCAGTATCGGTTGACGAGAAAACATTGAACTAGAAATGCAGTAACAGCAGTGGTGGATAAATACAGCGTTACAGGCCAATACTATGTCCGAGGTGTATCAGCGAATTGATGGACGGACAGACGCGATTAAACAGCCCACCTGATTCTGAATGAATTCCTTGTCCCCTTATATGACTATGAGCTGATTGCCGGACCAGAGTGAGAAAATTTCCTTACCCCAGTGGGTGATTGTGTACTGTATAGACGCGTCAGATAGGCCCTACAAGCAGAATCATGAAGTGGCGTACCAAATACACGTCGGCATAGTCAGCAATGAGCGAGACTGCATCCACTGCGATGGTAACGCCAACGAAAGTTTTGAGTACCAGGCTATCTCTCTTGAACGACCGGTAATATCTTATCGTCTCCTGGATGATGAGCATGAACAGCAAAGATGATATCCATGTCCCAATGAGAATGGATCTTTTGGGAAAGAGAGGGTCAACGAGAGACGAAGCAGAAAACAAGAACACGTACCCGAGGGGGTCATCATAAGCACCCATAGTTAAGAGGCGTAGATAGGAAGCCTGCAGCTGGCGAAATCAAGTGTTATAAAACCAAATGCATCAGGGGCAACCCTGTTGGGAATCGTCTGAGTGATGATCGATAACTCACCGCTCCTTACCCCTCTATGTCGGCGTACATCATCTACGCCTCCTAGTCGGCCAGCGAAGTTCCAAGGAAGTGTTACAGGAGCTCGGCAAGAATACTCTCTTGTTGAATAGTTTTAAGTGGCCCTCCTGAGTCTCAGATTTTGCAATCTTCAGAGGAGAAAACCCAGACATGCTTTCCAAAGATTTCAATGCGTGGCCAATGTTCAAAACGAGAACAGAGTATTATTTGACGTTGACGCTCGGGGACACCATAGCGGCTATATTATGACCGATAGGTTTGCAATTGTGCAAAAAAAAAAAAACAACGATCACGAGCTAGAAGAAATGCAGATCGAGTCGAGGCGGCCGCCGCCCTCCGCCGCCTTCGTAGACGTGGGCAGAGAAGAGACGTTACAACGACTCATTCAAAGTTGAATGGTTTATCCACGAGTATCTATTGGGCCAATCAACAAGCTGGGTTGGGTTGTGAACCGACGGACGCGTATACGGAAAAGAAGCTTTTTGGGTTGCGATCAGGGTGTGGCAATGCACCGGCACTCAAGGGCCGGGATATGCCGGTGGCTCGAGAACATGTTCATTCCGACTGTCACTGAACCGTATGCACAGGCGCGACGGCTCCGCTCGAATTCCCGAACTGTATACTCCAAACTCTTCACAGTGCAATATGTACATATAGCACGCCCTAATCAATGTCTACATCCAAAACATTCTCAGTGGCGTGACCTCGACCTGGTTTTTCTCCACCGTTTCGAAGTCACCTTGAAGCTTCTGATGAATTTGTACACCCTTATATGCTCGTCTCCGATTACCTTCCAGTTCATTTCTGCCCATGTGATAGGCCATACGTGCTGGTAACTCCGTTCTAACAGCCTATGATCCTTAGCTCACGCACTGTCGTACGGACCGTCTATTACGTGCAAACTCTGTCAACGGACCAAAAAGCATAAATACAAGACAGCTGGTCCCTCTCATTTCTTCCCAATTATGCTTCTTCATGCTCGGTTGTGCTTGGCAGTAGCCACTGTTTTCCCAACGCTGGCTAACGCCGCTGGAATCCGGATAATCAACGGCTTCGAACGCGTTTACATTCAAGTAAGGATGTTTCTCGATACTCTTTTCTGTCTAATTGAACACCACTCAGCCTTTTGGAACTAATGGAGTTCGCGTGCGATCCAGTCTGATGAGAGATCCAACGGGAACTGAGCTTTCAGCTCTGTTCGACCCTCCGATTGAAGGCCCCGGGGGTAATCAAGGTCTATCTTTTGACACAGAACTTGGTTTTCAAGATTCCGGGCAATTTACCAACGGCGATCTCCTTGTCTCTATCCAGAGTGGGAGGCTTTTCTTTTACCGCCGGGAATCCAATGGCACCGATACTCTGCTGACATCGGAATATGCGGACACCAAGGCTCTTCCGTCAAGGTTCTACACGAAAGACTTCCGAGCTTCGAGCTTCGAGGCTTCTTTCTCTTTCACTTCGGATCCTGACGAGCAGTTCTACGGTGTGGGGCAGCAAGCCTGTTGTATAGATGATTCCGTGAACAAGAAAGGACATGTTATCGACCTTATCAACTTCAATTCCCAGGTGCCAATTCCCGTCTACATGTCGAATAAAGTTTGTTGTGACCGTTAACACTTTTAAATATTCCGCATTCTAACTTTCGGGGTAGGGTTATCTCCAGTTCTTCAATATGCCTGGACAAGGACAGATCGGTACGGAAATTGCCTTGGGAGGGGGCTATTCATAATCTCAAAAGTCTGGACCAGAATTCAGTACGCGTCGGACGCGTTTTGTGGCCTCTGAAGCCACAGTTGTGGATTATTTTTTGTGAGCTATATCGGCACTTCCGCTATCTCTACTTCATGTATGGTAGAACGACTGCGGCGCCTGGGGACTACGACGCGCTCCAACAACAATACACTGGTGTGACCGGTTAGTTTTCTCTGCATTAGCATCTTCCAGATATGATATGTACTTGATAGGTCGTCAACCAACGCCTCCCGACTTTCTCTTGGGTTATCAACAGTCCAAATTGCGCTATTGGAACCAAACCCAAGTCATCGATGTGGCGCAACGTTTCCATGACGAGAAGGTCAACGTGTCTTTAATCGTCGTTGGTAAGTCTTCACCTTCACCTAACTCGGAAAAGGACCTCTGAACATAGGATGTTATTAGACTTCTTCGCCTGGAAATATCAGGGCGACTTGGTACTGTCAACTTGCGAGTTCTTCGGTCTATGTCCGACCTTACTGCGTCTAGGTCTTTCGATCCCGAATTTTGGCCGGATCCAGCTGGTATGGCGGCGCAAGTTAAAGAACTTACTGGAGCAGAAATGATGGTGTCGTTGTGGCCCAGTGTCGAAGATCTCTCGGTGAATTATGTCTCCCTTCAGCGAGGAGGGATGTTGGCAACGACCAGAGACGGAACAGGGGTCCAGGATTCTTTCGCCGGCGTCTATATTCGTCTTGGTATGGAAGCTCCCACTAATTTTTTTTTCAACTTGTTCCTGAACATCTTTATTTAGTGGACTCCACGAACCCCGCTGCTCGGGAGTTCCTCTGTAAGTTACTAGTTCAGGATTGTCCGTTTTGACGGCTTCTCTTACTGGGTATACTAGGGAAGGCGCCTCAACGATAGCTACTTCTCGATCGGTATACATAACTTCTGGATTGACCAAGCTGATGGTAAGCTCCGCAGTTATAGGATTCACCCACTACGATTTTAATATGTTTCCAAGGTGGCAGTCTAGGAGAGCCATTCCTCAATAGTAGAACATGTTTTATCATCTACTATCTCGGTTGAAAGCTAACACAATATTCTCCTAGACGGGCAACCCATCAACGCACTTCCGTATGCACGAACATTTACCCAATACTTCAGCGGCACGCAGGAAGCGACGGGGAAAATGTACCCTTGGTTTCATCAGGCAGCAATAGATGAAGGTTTGCACAACTTGACAAACAGCCAGAGCACGACGTCTTGTGAATACATGTCTCTAACGAGGAAGTACATTCGCCGGTGGGCAACGGTATTGTTCCTACCTCTGGAGCGGGGATACTTCTTCAGATTTCAGCACAATGGCACAACAGATCACCGCTGGGGTGTCAGTGTCAGCTTCGGGGAATCTCCTCGTGGACCCTGGATATTGGCGGGTTCAACGGTTTGAACGTGGATAGTGATGCTGTAAGACATGATCAGTCGCTCCCTTGTGCTGTGATTGACTTAGGTTATGCAACAGGGACGAGAGCTATTCGTTCGATGGTTTTCTATGGGTGTATTCTTGCCGTATGTAAGTCGGGATGTGGTTTTCTCTCCACGATCTTATGTTGATCAACTTTCCAGACGCGTGTTCATGGGTTAAATACCATCTCTTTCTCTTGTGTATAAGGGACTCAACGCGTATACAGTTCTCGAGGGATGCAATATACCGGGAGCGAACGTAGCCTTTGGAAATAATTGTCCTAATGAGGTTATTTTCTCGTCCGTTTGGTCTTCCTGTTTTGTTTTCTAATACTTTCGTTAGCCGTGGGCCTATGGAGACGAAAATTTTGTCATTCTCAAAGAGGTATGTCCGATGTATTCAATTGGCTAGATGTTTGAAGATCTTGCGTCTCTGCAGTATATCGCTCTTCGCTACCAGCTCGTGCCATACGTCAAAAAGTTGTTCCAAAAGCTCCAGGCTACAGGCAGGACCATAATGAGACCGCTATATTATGACTTCTCGTTGTCTGACGAAAATGTTGTTAACGGGACGAGGTCGAATGACCCGAATATCATCCACGAATACATGTTTGGTGAGAACAATTAGTCCTTTGTAACTGATTTTCGTGCATTATACCTATATTTCTGCATGCACAGGTCCGCGCATCCTCGTTGCACCAGTTACACAGGCCAATGTAGCTTCCAAGGAGGTATATCTCCCTTGCCTTCCCGATTCTTGGTTGGAACAAGGACTTTCGTGGACTCACTGGTGAGTGATCGATGATCAGGCGCAAGGAACTGGACTGAATATGGGTTTAGGTGGACAGATGTCGAGTTCGGACAAGGCGGCACGTTTGTCAAAGTCAATGCAGGACTAGGAGAAATTCCCGTGTTTTATTTGGGCACAAAGGCGGACATCTTTAACGGGAACGTTTGAACTCAATGGAGGTGTAAAGTTGCGCTTGACCCAGTGTAATCATTCTGAAAGTGTACTGTAAAGAGACTATCGACTCTTGAACTCCTCGTATAGGTTGTTGCACCTGTCAACAAGAAGTTCGGCTTCCCGCTGGTGCTCTGGCCACCACTTGACGACGTGGACGCCAACCTCATCCCGTCCTAGCCTATCTGTTTCTGAAGCAAACCTCACTGGTCGATAAATGCCGTTCTTGTAAACCTGTGAAGAGGCAAGAATCGACAATGGCACCAGGCAAACGTATATCGTTGATACTGCTGCCTTGAACGGATCGATCACATGATTTCGCGACCCGCACCAACGCGCCTGCCGCAGCGTGTTCAGCCTAAGTGAAGCACAGACAGGTAAATATCACTTACGATGTACATTAAGACGACTTTAAGTACGTTTGTCCAAAAATTGACAAGCTTGTTCGAAAACGAAGTAGACGCAATTCCTGGGTGGGCAACAATGTGCCGTATTCGTTTTTCAGAATCTGGCGTTTCAAGGGCAATCCGGTCCAATTGTGTTCCGAGGATGTCTATTTGGTATTTGACTGCAGTTGTATGAAATGGTGTGTTTTATTAACTGCCAATCGTCGGATGTGTAAAGGTCAGGAGAGGCCTCGATAGAAGACATCCAGATGACCCGTGTATCCCACTGTATGCTGGAGCAGAAAGGAGGTGATGGAGGGCACGGAACTGTCGGTACAAGTCAGATGCGTAGAATGCGAACATTAGTCAACCCACCAAGACATAATGGCCAAAAAGATTCGATTGCCAGACTAAACCCAGGCCATCCTTGGTCGACTCGCCGACAAGATGCACATTATACCGAGGCGTCGTCACCATGCCCATAGGATCCACGACGAATTGTTGGGCCACTTTCCACCAGTTAATGTGGTCATAACTGGCCACCCCTGCATTAAAAATGAAATGGGAGATATATGGGTACCTGGTAAAAGTCAGATGGGCGAAATGAAACCAGCGCTCGACGTACGTTTTGGACACTTCATCGGCGAAAGCAAATATAGTTGAAATCTCCGCAAGGTCAACAGTGTGAATTTCTATTTTCAGATTTTCCCTGAACCGCTTCGCGTGTCCTCCATATTTTGTGTTTTTCTTGGCCATGTGGGAATCCAGGGACGCATACAATTCACGGCGCGCCGTGTCCGCGCGATGAAAGCTTCTACACGCCATTATGAGAGTAAGACCCTCGCAGGGGAACGGGAAAAGGTCCCCTTCTCGAGAACTGGATTGTGACGCGAAGGCTTGGTCCGTGTCGGATAGTTCGAAGATGAGTCGCTGGCATATCGAGAACCCGACACCGCTGAAGCTTTCTCAGAGTAAAGAAATAAAACAGAGAGCAGGAGTCGTACCCGTTGGCACCGGTTACAACGACGATGGGCCACGACATGGAAGCGAAATGAAGAATGGGTCGACATGGTTTTTCGATTATTTTCAAAATTATTTTGTTCGCGTTCCTTTGACGTCATCTCGGTCCGACCAGCCGTATCATGTTACCAGGAGTACTCTCACTATTAGTGAGACGTTCACCGTCTTTCACCTTGTCGCTGTCCTTAACCCGGAAAACATTTTCTTCCATGGCCTCCAGAACTGTAAAGTCTCAGTCTGATATTTCAGTAATGAAAACTTCAGACGATGGCACTTTCAAACGCGCACCCTCTTCGTTCCGAAATGTTATCGAAAAAGGCGGGAAATTTGAACCAGAGCTTGGTGAGCAGTAAATTGACTTCTATCGAGTATATATTGAGCAACATCTTCCAGATCGCTACCATCTATATGTTTCCTACGCATGTCGTACGTGAATGCAGGATGTTACTGCCGATAACAGTATAGAGCTGACTGTTTTCAGCCTGGGCAACCCGAACCTTGATCGTCAGGAAGCTTAAAGGACTCGATAATATATCTCGTGAGTATATAAATTCTCATTGCCATCTCTCTTTGGCTAACGAGTCGTCAAACAGCTGTTACCGTTGTCTCACCCCGTATGGGTACGGACGGTTGGCCTTTTGCCACTGCAGATCAGTTTCCAGGCGCAGATGCCGATCCTTTGTACAATTCTCAGCATGTGAAGGACCTGTATCTCAAGGCCGAGCCGAATTACGAGGGACGGTACGCCGTTGACTCCTTGTTCTGTTTTCAAATTGCCTGACTAATACCCAAGATTCACCGTGCCTGTCCCTCTGGGACAAGAAATTACAGACCATCGTGAACAACGAGAGTTCTGAAATTATCCGAATCTTCAACACGGCCTTCAATGACAAGCTTCCGGCGGACAAGGCGGCTCTTGATTTTTATCCTGAGTCCCTACGAGCTGAAATTGATAGTCTCAATGACTGGATTTATCCCACGATTAACAGTGAGCGCACAATTCGCCTATTTCATGATCTGGTTATGACCATGCTCTTTCCCAGATGGCGTTTATCGGTCTGGATTTGCTACAACTCAGGCTGCCTACGAAGATGCGGTGTACAAATTGTTCGAATCCCTCGATAAAGTTGAAAAGCTTCTCACCGGGAAGGACTATATTGTTGGAAACCAACTGACGGAATGCGATATCAGACTATGGGTCACCATCGTATGTTCCTGCTTGATAGTAGACTGTCAAGACATTGGTCTAATCATAACGCCAGATTCGATTTGACCCAGTGTACGTCGGCCACTTCAAGTGCAACATCAGGACCATCCGCGATGGATATCCTGCAATCAACGCGTACGTTTCATTCACCCGCCTGTGTTACTGCTCTAAGAATAAATTCTTCAGGTGGATGAAAAGGCTGTATTGGAACAATGACGCTTTCAAGTCTTCCACAAACTTTGAACACATCAAGACGCACTATTATTGGTCGCACCCTCATGTATGAATCTCTTTGGTTTTTTTTCGATGGCGGAGAGTAACATCTGTTTCAGATCAACCCTACGCGTGTCGTTCCTGTGGGACCCGACCCCACTATCCAACCTTTGTAATGGATATGCTACGCCAGCCGGACAAAGGGTATACAGGTTCGATACTAAATGTAATTGTAACACGTTCAGCAAATTCGAAAGATTGGAGCACTGAATATTAATGACTCTTTCTATAGTATGGATAAATATTAAAACGTAAAGAAGTTATCGACAGAGGTTGTTGTACAAATGTTGTCGACTTTTACGGTTTTACAACTGGTTTCGATTTTACAGGACTGGGCGCTTTGAGGTGTTTGGCAGCATGAAGCTTGTATTTTTCTATCCAATCTTCTTCACCACCCATTACTTTTTCCAGCCAATTTAACCGTCGCAGTACTTGTTCCATATCACGTCCATTATAATAATTGTGTCCCCCTTTTGGATGTTCGATGGACATACAATCCGCCTTAGGAGGTTCGGCAACAAAAAGAGAGAACTCGCACTCTGAAGCGGGTACGCGAAAGACGCGCCCGTGTACGAGATACATAGGTCTCTCAGTACAATGCCGATAACCGAGAGAGAGAGGTGGTAATGACGGGACCCCTACGCATGCATGTCAGTCAGGAGCTACTAACAGAACAAGATAAGAGCTTGTACCGTCATTGTATGCCTTTACGCATAGTTCCACCATAGAAGATTCCCCGTGCGTATCACGGTGCCTCGACACTAACTCTCGCCAGCATTTCACGAAGGAAGAATTGCCGACTCTCGGTGCACCATACGACACCAACTTGAGTCGCATATCCGGAGGTATATTTATCTTCTGGGTGAGCGCATCTGTCATAAGTAAATACGACACGGCACCACCCATACTATGGCCTGTTATAACAAGCTCTTTCACATCATGCTCCTGAAAACCCTTGGCTATTCCTGCATAAACGGAATCCCGTATGCCCTTATACAGGCTCCAGAATCCCGAGTGGACAACCCCTCGGCATGAACGATGTCGGTGTTTCATGAACCTTAAATCCTGAATGGCTTGCAGAAGCGAAGCCGTCGCAGAAGTAGCCACGATGAGCTGTTTCGTGCGTGGACGGTACGCGACATAGGCGTGTAAATGACAGACGTGTCCAAAGAACTCGGACACCAGTATGGATCCCTGAAGAGCCTCGTAGTGTTCCAGCGGGAAATCAGGGTGTATCAGGGTGTCGATGTTCTCGAAGACAAAGCCAACCGGAACGTGATTATTCGAAGCGATCTCAGCGTATTGACCTGTTATAGTCCCGGGTCACACGAGCAACAAAGAAATATGACGAAGAAGGACGAACCTATTTCTGCCAGTTCAAGCTGAAGACTGGCAGGTACCAAATCCTTCTCGGAAAGTGTATACGAGGAACTACGAAGCTACCATTTTGGAAATCCATCGGAAGTTCCCGAGCTTTTCGGAGTTATACATAAGTTTCTGGGCCTCAGTGAGGGCGTATTTGGGAGACTTGGCCTTGGGGGGCATTATGGTGGTGCAGAGAGGAGCATTTTGATTCAATTTCGTGGACTCCACACCAGGGTAAGGTGCTGTGCCTACGTTAGCTGTCTTACGAAACATTTGGGCCGTCATACCGCTAATGGCAAGTGACCCCGGCCCGAATTCGCCTGACATAAGCACTCTGACGTAGATATTTTTGTCTTTGCTGATTACAAAAATAATCTCGAATATTTTACTCTCTCTAGTGACGCCATCATATGTATCAAAACGCAGCAACCCTTGGCCTCTATTGATCCACTCGCACTGCAACCACCATGACCGACATTCCTTACGACGTCTGGGAATGCGTCACCTCGTACGTTTCCGATGAATACCTCAAGGAGTTATATTCACTCAACCCTGCCTTCTTTCACGCGTCCATGGCGGAGCGGTATCGCACCGTCAAGTTGGAAAGATACACCAATCTAAAGGTGATAGAACACCTCAGGTATACCTGGTTTTTATTTTTCCTTCGCTCTGTCATCTGACGAAAATTGAAAAGGGATTCTGACATCTCCAAGCTTGTACGACGCCTCGAATTTTACTATCCCTGGTTTCCTGAAGCTGACAGCAGAATTGTTGCTGGGGTACGTCATAATTAGTCCTGCGTCGATTAACGAGTTACAATCGACTCCTTAGATCTTGAGGGCGCAATTGTCTGCTATGTCTGGGATGTTAGCTTATCTGAACGACATACAAGAGATCTTTATCGTATGGGATACCATGGAGGTCCCGATGGAGTTTTTTGCTTCCATCTGGAATGCCTTTGGAACGAACCTCAAAAAACTCACCATTGACGCTTCGTTACCAAAATCCATTCATATGCTAGCTAGTCATCCGACTTTCCCCTCTCTTGAAGACATGGAACTCGCCATTCGAGGAGGCAATACTATTCAAGACGGAGCACTCAATGAGGGCTGTCTTTACCGATGCTTCAGCTCCACTATCCGCCGTCTCAAGGTACACAGTTACCACGTCGATCCTTCAAACATCTTCAGTCTCCTTCCTTGCTTCACTGACCTGAGAGTTCTGCATGTCACCGTGGACACTCTCTGTGACCTAACATGCCTCGTCAACTTACTCATCCGGCATGCCCATACACTTAAAGATGTCGCATTAGAGGAGATGACGTCTTCTACTCAGTCAAATCAGTGGATGAAGCATTTTTTTGGCGAACATGTGAATGAGCATACCCTCCCGCTCTCTAATCTCCAGTCTTTGAGCTTGATCCCCTCCCGTCTGCCGCTCGATGTTCTGGAGGTGTGTCTGCATCGTTCCTCAGACACGCTTACTAGCCTCGCACTTCCCAACAACTGTCTAACCTATAACCAGTTGGAGAAGGTCGTCACCATCTTCTCGCGTGCCCAGCTCTTGAAAAATTTACATGTATCCGTGTTCACAATCACTCCAGAGACATTTGATTTGCTGGCGTCCAAGCTGCCGGGGCTGGCTCGGCTGATACTCATCTATTCCAATATCATTGGTTTACCGGGTGCGTCCAGAATCATGATGCTGTTATTTCATCATCTGACCTCCCGTTTATCATCAGGGTCTGCTCATCTCAATACAAGCAGCCATCTACCACTCGGACAATATGTAAGAAACAAGAATCACGCTGTTCCGACACGTCCTGACGTTTATTTGCAGAAAATTCTGAGACGTGAATTGTCCAAGAAATCTTACCCACAGTGGAAGCTTCAAGATATCGCTATATCCCAGTGGCGGAAAGGGGCGCAATTCGGCCCACCCGAATGGTCTGTTATGACCGCTGTGGCTAAAGCTACACCGAGCGTACGCAGTTTAGCGGGTCAAGGGAATACGGAAATACCAGAAGTGTATCATAATGCATACTTTGATGAGCTCGGAACTTAGAGTTTCGGGACTGGGAGGATCGACGCCGCAGATACAATCTTGGGGCTGCTAGATCTCCTTATGATTTGATTGTAGAAGACCCAGGAGGAGGTCAGTTGCGAGTCGCGAGTCGTTATCGATCTCGATCGTTATATGATTGAAGCCGTGCTTTATTTACTCTTCTCCGACATCCTCTCAAATTGATTGACGCTCTCGTTTTCAGAGCTGAATCACCCCCAGCCTCAACCCCGGTACCAAGATTCTTTGCCTGGAACATGACATTACATAACTTCTTCCGATACTACCCTTCGGACCTCGAAATAACCATCATCAGACTCCGAGTCACGATAGAGAGGCGTCTATCTTCCCACTTCCCACTAACCCCGTTTCACTGGACGGCAATCTCAGAGGTACGTTTCACGCTGTGACCTATATTACTAGCTGTTGATTAGACGCGGCAGGAATTACAGCACAGTATCTTGGCTGCAGCCGTACATGCAAAGATAGCCACACAGTGCAGTCATCCTCCTAGAACGAGGCCATAAACCATCAATATCCATTTGTCCATCTGTGGACCACGGGTCCACTTGAAGTGTTGCATGACTCAACACGGCTTATACTTATAAGCCACCACTTCTCTGTTCGAATACCAATTTCCCTAGTCTTCTCTTTTCTCTAAGCATGCCCAACCCATCCCCCCACCCTATTATCGCTTATCGGATAGACAACTCCCACCTCAACGACTCTAGATACCAACCGGGTGTCGCTCCATCATCCTGTCGGCTTCACTGGGATATGTGGAAAAATCCCGAATACTCCGCTATCGACACGGGCGCCACAGACTCCAACGGGAAATACCAGTACATCGCGCTCGCTCGAGCTGTCGATCGACACCTCCGTTTTATCATCATCACGTGTGGCGCATTCCCTGAGTCGTGGGGACCTATTCGCGTAGAGAACACCCACCACCACACGGTGACTATCCATAACGTGCTGCAGAGCATTTATCGGTACTTGCGTGTTCCGCTGACGCGCGCGGAACAGGCTATGCTGAGCCGTAAACAGCGCGAGATGATGATGAGGACGCTCTTTGCGAATCCGGGGACGGCGTCGACGCTTACTCGGGGGCACTATTTGGGTGCGAACCATTACTTTGGTGGGCTTACGCCGTCGCTGGGGTTTACCGACACGTACATCCTGACGCTTCGACGCTCAGGCCAAGGACAAGCACGGGGTTAGTCAGTCCCAGGTGAGCTCATTTATAGTTCATGATGGCGTGGTAATAACTCAAAGGCATTGCCTAGAAGTACAGATAAATGGGACGACTGATACATAAAGGAGCAAGTCAGAGCATACAGTCCCGCCTGATACCTCATCTCCCGTCTCTGCGCCAAGGTATTCGGGCACTATAAAGTCCCAGGGAAGTACTCCACCAGCGCCCTTTCGTCCGTAATCTTCTCCGGCTCTTTTCCAGGGGAGCTCGAGGGAGCAATGGATAACCGCTTTATAGGTGGCGATGGCATAGCTACGGCTACGGCCACCTGCACATCTACTGGTCCTGATACGTCGTTGTCATCGTCGTCATCATCATCATTCAGAGATGAAGAATCTCCATCTCGACGTGATCGAAGAAACTGGTGAAGTGGTAGAAAGGCTACACTGCTCTTCGAGTGATCACGTTTGGTATCAGAGATGGGATAATGCACGATGGCAGAGATGGGCTGTTACAAGCCCCAGCGTTAGTTACAATGGATGATCGTGTGACCGAGCTCACCATTATAGTCTCCCAGGCATCTGACGTGCTTGCGCGCTTTCCCGTCCATAAATCCCACAACTTTGGCCTCTTGCCTAAATGTCTCAGCCGCTCATCCACATCTGCTCTTGATCCAACCGCGGTCCCAAACTGTATCCTCCTCCATCCAAACACTGCGATCATCGCTGCAGCGAAGAGCCCAATTGCCAGGAACGCAAGGATAAGCGGGGGTGACGAGCCTGGGGAAAAGAAGCTTGGGTTACTGTTGTTGTTCGAGTCGGTACTGCTTGAAGAAGGAGCCGCATTCGACTCAGTGCTAGAAGACACAGCGGACGTGGACGCTATGGAGGAGGACATTGTTCATGGTCTTGAAGAAAGAGCATGACACGAAAGAAGTCTTAGAGCAAATAGATTCCGGGTCCGTGAGAAGTTGTTACTTACATATCCGGTGATATTTTCGGAAGACAAAGACTCACGGTGGCTTCTTCCAGGACGCTCATGTGATGTAAACATAATCATACGATATAAAGATAGGACAGATGTAGAGTCGAGTCCCCCACACCCGCGATGCACAGTCGATCGCGGAGTGGAACCTAGATGATCGATTGTCATCGAGGAACCTATGAAGGGGCAAATGTTTCCGCCGGCTGTGTTGCACTGATCCTTGATATTCCTGGGAATTCGTTCAGCTCTCCCTGCGCCGGCTGGATCTTCCAATACAGAGTGAAACTTCCGCGGGACGCACTGGTAACGCGACCTCAGACACGAGAACAAGCGAGGATCGCGTTACCTGTTTAGGTCTTGGAAATGAAGGATGAGAAAATAGTTTTGATCCACCAAGATGAATACATGTCCTCTGTAGAAGATCTACCGTCGATACTACCACTAGCAAACCAAGTGGCTTTTCTGATACAAAGTGAGACATCCGCACGGACGACCCACTTGAACGAAGGCGCGACATGATAAGCGCGACATGATATCTCGCTAATACATATGCACCGGGGTGACTTGCCCGCATCGTAGCGGAATTGACATCCATCTCCGGATCATTCTAGCATCCGGGATACATCATTCTCTATGCCTATCTATAGGTGGTGTAAGTGAAGAGTGTCATTCCAGTCCGTCGCGTTGGTGAAAGATTATTTATAAAACCATCAGCCCAAGCATAACCACCGAGACAACAGTGTAGAAATTGCCGGCCGACGCTGCGCACTAGTCGAGAGCCGAAAGTACGAGAGTAGGAACTCCAGTTTCAACAACTCATACTAGCGGAAAGCACTGACACTGGCACGCCTCAGCACTCACTTTTACAGGAAGGCTACGGAACCCCATTATCAGTTGTACACTTTGTCCAAACCATCCCTACTAGTCAATTAGATCTTCAAGGGGTTGATGTACTATACGGTTTTAAAAGTTTCCCTTCATCACCTATTGGCGACCTCGCAGCCTATTATCCAAAGCGCGATTATCCGACTTTGCTAGCTTTCAGGGAGATCCAAATCTGCACGATTGGACAAGAAATCTTAATCAGGTCCCACTGGTGCCACTGAAATGGGACAAGCCCAACAGGATAGGATATCAGCAACCGTCTTCAAGCTCAGGTATCCGATGTCTGCCTCTCTCAAATGCTTAATTCTCTCCAACTTTGCAGATAGCTCACACTGCCGCTTCTTCTATTTCGAGTGAGAAATGATTGGCGACATTTCGACTGAGTTCAGATATGAAGAGGTTCAGATAAGCTTGCGTCAAAGCTTGGATTTGTTTAGTTCCAATTCATTGACGTGACTCGAAATGAGAACATCACTATCTGGGTCTTTTCTGGCATTCGGTTGGGTCTGTGAAGATCAATAAAAATTTCTTCCTTGCGAAAGCCACCGGCGAAGTCTTAACATGGATTGGGAAAGTTCGGCGGGCGGTACGGGATAGGTGTGGTAGAGGTTAGCATCCGTGACCGCTGAACTTTACTATGAGAATGACAGTGGTTCGCATGGACAAGACACGGTGGCGCAACCTTTCTACAATCGAAACCCCTACAATAGCAGTGTCCATAAAATACAATTGCCTTCCTCGGGCTTACATTGAACGGTACATTCAGAGTACATCGCGCCTCTTGATACCCACCCTGCACTTCAACGGCTTCCTCAAGAAACCCTCCCTCGTCGGTAACTATCACCACCATCAGCACACAACAACACATACACGAGGGAAAAAGCCACATACCTCCGCATCAGGATCCTCTAACACGAAATGGAACCTCCTCAAAATCGACGAAACGATGATCTGCAACTCCAACGATGCGAGATTACGCCCTACGCACGCCCTCGGCCCAAGGGAGAACGGGTTGAATGTCTTCTGGATGAGCCCATTATCCCTCTCAAACCATCTCTCAGGCCTGTACTCTTCAATGTCATCCCCCCACACCACAGGGTCCCGGTGGATTGTATAACTCGGCACACTCAAAATCGCACCCTCAGGGAAATGGTGTCCATGGACCGTCATCCCTCCTTCGGGAACAATCCGTGGGAGACCCAGAGCAGACGTCGAGTGCAACCGCAAACCTTCATTGATACATGCGTCGAGGTAAGGGAGGTTCTTCACCTCGTCGGCTGTCGATACCGAGTCGTTGAGCTGCTCGTCGAGTTCTTTGTGCAGTTTGGCTTGGACGTGCGGGTTTCTGGCAAGGTAGTAGATTATAGCACAAGTGGAACTGCAAAGTTTTCATCAGAATCAGATCATCCCTTTGACATAGGCACATACTTGGACGTAGTATCCGAGCCTGCTATGAGAAGCGTGAGAGCTTCGGCAGTAAGTTCTTCTCGACCCATGGGTTTGCCCTATGGAAATTTGATGATGCATTATGGTACAAGGATATCGGCGCACCTTGTCATCTTTGCCGACTTGGAGCTTGCTGAGTAAATCAGTTCTATCCGTAGGTATTGCCAGCCGTTTCGCAACAGCCATGATAGCGATACCGGCGAGAGACTTTACCGCTTTACCTCCGACTTGGAATATTGGCAGTTTTCGCGCGATGGGACGCCACCAGGAGGGAAAGACGCCCATGGTCATTGAAAACTCGCCTCGGTCGTTTAGAATTTGGACGGCTGGTATCTCGACGACCGCGCAGGATTTCTTTTCACCGATAGTAGCTAGGCCTTCCTCGTTGTTCTTGGGAACCGGGGCAGAGTCTTTGGCGGCCATGATCATTCCGAAGGGTGCGCCAAAGGCGAGATCACCGATTATGTCGAATGCGAGGTAGTTGGTCCCTAGATGAGGTGTAAGCAGGGTACAGCTGAAAATTAGAGACGTACAAGGAAGACAGTCAAGCCAGAGGCGACCGTCGTGACCGGACCAGCCTCCGTCACCCTCAGTACCCGACTCGCCCTTGATGGCACCGTCAAACAAGCGCTCCCATTGACTGATAAGTTGTCCAACATAAAGGCGGAGACTCGGTTCGAATTCCAAGACGCTCTTCTGCGAGAATATATGCGATATGATCTTTCGCTTACGGCTGTGTTGAGCGCGATCCCGAGTGTTGAAGAGGCCCCTTTGAATCGAGACAAAGGCATCGTAGAAGGGCGATTTCAAGGCACCATTGCCATGCGCATACACGACCTGTAGAGCCTCCGGGGAAGCGATAGAAAGGTGGTTGGGTGCTATTCTCACAAAGGTACCTATAGCCCAGGGTTAGACAACGAAATGCTACTATATCAAGCGCATATACTCACCATACTTCTTGTGCATCTCATGCACTGTCTCGGAGCGGTGACCCCCATATGATACCCATCCCAACCATGCGTCAGAGAACTTTGCGAGGAAAGGGCCGGGGAAAGAACGAAAGCCGTACGGGTCAAAGAAATAGGCTGCTAAGTGAAGAAGGAGCACGAAGACGAGAGCAGCGACGACGGGAGGCAGCAAGTCGAGGTGTAACATGGCTGGGCGGGGTAGGACATGTTGGTCGGGGTTTATATAGAGCGTGACTTGGATCGATCAGACGGTGCTAAGTTTGACCAAGTTTGAGGTTGAAATCGGAATAAGATTGAAGATCCGTGCAAACAGCAGTCAAGTCATGGGTTAAGCGAAGTCAGCTTGAGCGACGGACACGGACACTTCTATGGTTCTTGGACGAGTACCGGCAATCATCATCTTGTTACCGGCACTCTTCCAACTACTACCACCATGCACGGCACTAATTTGGCCCATTCTACTTGGCTTGCAGGTGATATTACGGCGGTGACCTCTCATAGGGCAAAGATAACGATGCTCGTTACTTCGCGAAACCACCAGCTTCTCAATGGGCTGACTCGGGCACTGGCGTTCGTCTGATAATGATATGACTGTGTACCCAAGCATCTGATGCGTACAGCAGTTGATATCACGGCGACGACCTTTCACAGGACAAAGATAACGATGCTTATACACCTTGCGAAACTATAGTTAGCTTCTCAATAGGCCGACACCGAACACTGGCGTCCACCTGATAATGACTGCAAGATATCACCCTGCTTTTCCGTGGGCCGTGGATTCTTAGTTATGGCAATACGTAGGTTCATTTCACTTCAAGTCGCAGCAGAAAGTCGGTCCTCGAAAAATCTCGCGCTAAACTGCTGAATAGCATTATAGCAAGTGCGAATTTGATTCACCCGCAACTCTATAACGATATAATTACAAGGCATCGCCTCTCCATTTCCCGTCGGTTACTATTTATGGTGTTCGGTGCCAACGCGTATATAGGGATGGTATCTTGACCCTGCCTATCACACTGATGTCTAACTAACAATGCGCCTGCAGAAGCATCTACGACCATCATCGATACTCTTCAAGGCCTATTTGAACACCATGAGCATAGCATCTGAGCATACCCTCTGTCTTCGCCGTCACTGCATACTACGGTAGAATCTAGTGATGTTCTAATCTTAGCACTCTCCACAACAGCCACCAAATGCCATCTGCAATTCCCTGAAACAACCCCAATATGCTAAAAATTTTGTTGCCGCTCCAATACTTCCCACAGGTTTCTTCTTTCAACTCTACCATCACCACCACCACCACCACACTCCTTCGTAGCCCCACGCAAAATGTACTCTATACCTACTCTTTCCCTTTCCCTCTTCCTAGTCGGCGCACAGGCCCAGAACACGTACAGCGCTACCTACCTGCCGAATAATGCACCCGAAACATCAGAGGAGGGCCAGACTGGCACCAACAAGTGTGGTGACGGCTTCAACCAGACCTCGATGTGCCAGAACGCCTACAGTATGTCGATTTTGACGGCACGGAAGTCACGGAGCTAACCATGCTGTTTAGTCAATGGAGTGGACGACTTGTACGTGTCTGACCCGCCAATACTATGTTGCATCGTGGCATTCACGCCTATTCCAGCTGTCTTTGGGCACCACCAGAGCCTGGTGCAACATCTACCATCGGAGAAACAGAGGTACTTCTCATTTGCTCATCCCATCGCCTCCACCGCTAAGTAATCAATTCAAGCGTATCGAAGTTGCTTGGTGTACAAAGGTGAACCATATTTCGCCCAACCTTATCACCTACCCGTCTCACTGCTCACTGTTACAGGAAGGCTACGGCACCCGTTTAATTCCAGATGGAGCCATCACCGGCGCACACTTTGTGCAAACTCCCGATTTCGTCCAAATCACTGGTTAGTCTCACTGCCCCACCTCATAGCACCGAATCCGAACGGAGATTACAGGTTCGGGAAACTTGACAATGCTGAACATCCCAACTGGAGATGGCGGAGGCGAGTTGGATCCCCATGGGGCTGACGGGAATGGTTTTTAAACTTTCCCTCTATCTGAAAATGGCAGTATTTTCATGGTCATCTAGGTAACCCCATTGGCGGTCTCGTATTCTCCAAAGCTTTCGGAAACCTGGAGCAGATCTTTGAGTGGACAGTACGTCGAATCCTCCTCTTTCCTCTCTTTCCTCTCCAGCACTCATTGGCACTTCTCAGAACTTCATGTCCGACCAGCAATTCTGCTTCCGCGCGTGCAACCCTGCTGGTAGCCAAGCTCCCATCTATTGTACGCGATTTCCCCTTCCCCATCCCTTCCTTATCCCTCTTTCCAGGCCAACACATCTACGACGAGATGGGCTGCGCGTGGAACATGCCCGCGAGTTATGACGCTGGGGTCTTCGAGTCGTGCCAGGGTGACAGCGGCGAAGTGCGCATAGTTGGCTTTCTCTGAATTTGGACTGACAAGTGCTATCCAGCCGATGGGCGTGTACGGCGGCTCGACGTTCTCCCAGGGCCAGCCTTCGACGCCCTCTGCGCACGCCGCGCCGTCTTCGTCCAACTGCCAGACGACGTCAACAATTGAGAATGGACATCAGGTATCGGGGAGTAGTGTGCTTTCGAGCGTTACTGCCTCTGTTACTAGTGTAAGTTGTATGTTGGTGATTCTTTTTCTTTGAAAGTTGATTACTTGTTTCTAGTCTGGTGCATCTGGCTCCCGTACTAGTAGATCCAGCGCGAGCGCGACTAACAGCTCTAATGCCGCGTCCACCAACGCGATATCTTTCAGGGGTTATTTCTACACTGTTGCATCGATGGTTCCGGTTATGCTCGGAGCAGTGATGGTTTTGTAAACGATTTTCAATTCACGCGACGGACAGTGAACTATTGACACTCTTTTTACTCATACCACCTATAGATAGGACATTCCATATGAATTTGATGTACCCCCGGACAATGCTAGGATGGGACATCAATTTTACTATATTGTGATACGGGCAAGACATCCCGGTCCAAACTGTACGTATCTATCAGCGGGATACCGTGTCTGCGTTTCAGATACTTATCTTTGAGTGAATTATTGCTTGAGATTCGATCTAAGACTTATACTGTTGAATAGACGATCATTCAAATTAAGGCTATGGAAGGACCGCAAGCAATCTCGTTACAAACAGCTGAGGGTAAAGAACGAAATCTGTCGCCCGCATCAAATCTTAATCTCCTCCTTCAGGCCGTGCCAGAAATTGCACCTGGCAGACAACGCGTCCGTAATATTCTCAAGGTGTATACCACCAGGATGAAGCAACATGCGCGGGTTCCCCTTAGCCTACAGGTTCTCGTTAGAAATTCCGAAGGCTCTGTAGATACAAACTCAACATACAGTCCATTCTGGTTCATTTTGCGCCATGGGCGTGCCGCCGGTCGCAAACGATGTCCAATACTCACGCATGGCTTCGAAGAGTGCTAAATCATCTGCATTCGCCGAAGACGAAGAAGAAGGAAAGAGCGCTGCGAGATCGGCGCCATGGTTCGAACCGAGATGTGGGTTATCGTACCGATACTGGAACGCGTCGAGTCCGGATTGCTTAGCAGCTTCGGTAATCAAAATGGCTGTACAGATATATCGCATCTCCCCATACATCTGTTGGCCTTGCAAGTCAAACGAATTGCTATAATCCGCGAGCGGGTAGAGCTCCAGAGCCTTGACGAAGCTCTCGTTTGTAAAGGTATGATACTGGCCTTGCAAAAAGAAGTATACGGTGTCTTCTGTGGCATTGGGGGTTCTGGTGTTCGCCCATGGCGCTGCGATATTGGAAGACCAGTCGGCGCCTTCGTTGGTATTGGAGCTGGACACGCGCAAATGAAGTGGTGGTAGAAGTAGTCAGGACGTCACTTACCCATAGAAGAGAGGTATCTGAGCAAAGGTCCTTTCTCTGAAAGCCTCCACGGGCCTTTTCGATATGAACGAACCATCCAAGATAGGGGCAAAGGAAAAAATAGTCGTGGGCTTTGACGCGAGAACCTTATTCCCAGCCGCTGTTAGATCGTTCACATCAGCTTCGCGGAGACACGTCATAGGGTCCTTGTCTGGGTCACAGCCCCTGCGAAAGAAAAAAACGACAATGAGCATCCGGTATGTAGTGACTCTACAAAAACTTACACGTTTACTGCGAAATCTGTGAAAATCCCTTCGACATATACACTATCGAATGCAGGTGTGAAGCTCATGGAAGGACTATCACCCATTGCTGCTACGAAGAGACCTTCCGTGTCACCTCCGTTCGCAACAACCTAAGAACCAATCATCAGCAGATGCGAAAAGGCTTCTCGTGTCTGTCTACCTGGAACATCGTAGACCCGGCGCCTGCTGATTCGCCCCAAATTGTCACGCGCCTTGTACGAGAAGCAACGTGATGAGAAAGAAGTCGTCAATGAGAGAAAACTTACTTAGGATCGCCACCAAAGTGGGAAATATATTTCTGGAGCCATCGAAGAGCAGCCCGCTGTGAGAAGGAAAGCGTCAAGGAGCGTTGTTCTGCTGGAAGATTCAATATACTTGGTCCAGCAGTCCTGCGTTCAGGGCGCCATTAGCCTTTAGCTTCGAGCCGCCTTGGTGGGAATAAGCACATCGAACACTTCAGGAGTCAAGAGAGAACAAACCCAGAAATCCAAACTGTCCCAAGCGATACTGCGACGAAGCGTAAATGAATGGTTTAGCTGAGGATTGAAACAAAGCATTTGGCGGGAACCCAATCGAACTGCCACTTTGAAATCCGCCGCCTCCCAGAGTATTAGGAAGATCCAAGGGAAAAAAATGAAACAATAGTATACCATGAAAGTAGATCAAGACCGGTAGTTTATCAGCGGTATCAGTTCCAATGGGGATGTTGACCTACAAACGAGGATAGATCAGAGGTGGCGGTGATGGACACACTGTACGTATGTTATACATTGATGAACAAACAGTCCTCAGAGGCACCACTAGGAACTGTAGACGTGGCCGTTTCAATGCATACATCGCCAAACTGTCGATTTCCGTTGGTTCCATATACCCACAATGAGGAAATCCACTTACTTGAGTAGCATCTACGTTCCCCAGATGATTAGAAGGAGGGAACACTGGTGCCCTCCACCTCAGATCGTTCACAGGAGGGTCCGAAAATGCTATTCCGCGAAAGTAGATAATTCCTGCATCCTCGTCTTGCAACCCGGTGAATGTTCCGTCTAGAGTAAAAGAAAAATATGAGCGGACTCGAAAAGCATAGTAAGAAAATGCTGTGGGTACAGTCCAGTGCAACCGTCGTGTTTATCACCGACGAAGAGGCCCCGAGGACAGTAAAGCAGAGCACAAGAAGACTTTTCCAACCCAGAGATAAGGGTAGCATGGTGGATGGGATGAGAAAGAACGGTCCTATACGGACGGTAGTCCCGCATACCGCATCATGAAGTGGCACAGGAGAGTAATACCATTTTGGAATGGCCGAAAAATACGCCCTGAATACTCAAAGTACTGTATGTGTCATCAAATAACATGCAGAAGATTCGGCAGGCTCGCGTGACGTGGAGGAGAGGCGAGAAGGTGATCCATGAATAAACATATTTCTCCTAAGAATATACCTAGACAATCAAGCTGACTAGAAAAAGTCCCGGCCGGACCAAAGATTCAGAGTGTTAATCGCCGGGGTCATAATTAGGTTTGTATTCAGGGAAAAGGTGGCCAAGAGGATGGCCGGTTTCGCTCGGTAGAGAAACTGGTGTCCTAAATAGATCTAGAGCTTTTTTGCAGGACCTGGATAGCCTTAAGGCGATAATCGGAAATTGTGTTTCCAGCAGCAAGGTTCTATGATGTATGGCGAGTCTGAGTCCTGAGTCACCACACCGCAAGACACGTACGCGTAAATTGAGAAGGGCATGTTATTGATGTGTCATAGTCGACTGTTGCAGTATTTGCGGAGACCACGAGAACGTGAAAGAGTTGGTCACCCTGGGTGTATATTGAAATCTCTAGCCTCTGGTCGGGAGCAACGGTGTCTATTCCCCTCGCCTCTACACCGAATTCTCCAGCCTCGCGAGAGTGATTCGTGCTCCGTCCAGCTCTTGGGGCTCTTCCGCCCCCACCGTGACATCGAAACCATCTTCTTGATATGGGATAAACTGGTCATTTACGGAGTCTACAGCATATTTCGATGCGGCAATAACTCGTATGACATGGAATGATGAGGTATGCCGGCGGGAGTCAATCATAGAGGTGAGCGAATTCCATGATGTCAAGTCAACGCCCGTCGACTGACGTAGATGCAGACGTTGCAAGTCGGGTAAGATGGCTAGAGAGGCAGTCAAGGCATTGAAAAAGCTATCCTCGGTGGACCGGAGGGTGATATCAAGGCATAATAGCGACTGCATCATAGAAAGGGACTGTTGGATAAATGTCGGGCATGACACCATGCCAGGACCAACGGCAAGGCTGTCGAGCTGGCAATGAGAACGGCGAAGCAAGTCATTCAGGTTGAATGCATCCTGGTCCGAGAGGACACTCGTCACGCGTACGAGCTCTAACGTGAGATGTTGAAGGGAGGGTAGGTGTAGGTGTCGAAGTAGACTTGTAGAATCTACATATAGACGTCGGAGTCTAAGAAGGGATATGGGGTTAGGGTGAGAGATGTCTTGTGGTATCATTGAAGTATCAAGATGACACTCTTCAAGGAACTGGTATGTCTCTAGACGATAGAGGTCGGTAGTACAACCTGCGAGATGTGTGACATGCCTAGGTAACTCGAGATCACCCAGGCCATGCATCTTATATAATGCCACTTTGTGAAGGCGAGGGGCGCTAGAGAAGATAGTTCGATCACTTTCTGGTAAGATCTTCCTTGGAGAATACTGTGATTCCGTCAGGTCCATCAGTAGCAATGATTCCAACAAAGGAAGATTCCCTTTGACAATATTCGTCTCCTTTAAGTAGTACAGTTCAATACGCAGTACCACATGTCTCCACCTACGACAGTGCTGAAGAACGACCGAAAACGCCTGCATACATGGACTTGGATAAGGCTGGGGACACCAAGTGGAAATATTGATGTCCAAAGGATGCGAATGGGAGTGAAGAAAAATGGTTTCAAGCAGAGCAGGAGCATTTTTGCAGCTGTCGGCACAAATGAAATTAATGGTGAGACGGAACCAGAGAGAGGGGAAGATAAAACGATATCCCCCCAGAGTCCATAGACGTAACTGAGAATCCATGGCCCTTCAGCGATGCCGAAAACATTGCCGTAATAATCCCAATCACGTCTTCGAACTCGCTGAAATATGGCTAGTAGAACATCATTTGGAAGACGGCGTATAGGGGCCAGTGTCGAATCCCATGACTTGTATGATTTTCGTATTTTATTACGGTGGTCCCGCATTTTTCTTTCGACTTGCTTGAGATGGTCAAGTAAGGCATTGTATTTCTCATCCTGCTCCTTGAGGTGGGCTATGGTAAAGCGGATATGTGGTCTGTCTGTGTCGAGAAGCGGTCGCCTTTCGCGGAGCAAATCTGAGGCCTCGAATTTGAGGGTACCACATGGATGTAAAGACGGCTCTGGGACTGATTATTCCAAAGCGTTCAAGTGAAAGGCTGCATATTCGAAAGTAGGTTTCGCCTCCATTATCTTCCTAATGTTTCGTTAGTTGCATTCTGGTAAGTATAGGGAGCCTGTCGTACATTGATCGTTTAATGCAAGGTGACGGTTGAGGGACGGTAATGAGTGTGGCAGACTTCCAGGTAAACATGTCCAAACTGAAAGACCTCGACCATTCGGCCCGGACGTCCGGCCCAGATCAGATGTCTCTCACTGACCATCTACTTACGCTGCCAACACCCGTTCCCTATGCAGACGCGCTCAAGCATCCATTCCTGATATCCGCTGCCGAGGGTACCCTTCCCCATGAGCGACTCGGTTTCTGGCTCTCCCAGGACAGGCTGTATGCCGCTCATGCTTATCCTCGCTTTATCGGCTCGCTGATCTCAGCCATTCCATACGATACATCGCACAAAATTGGGTCCCCCGAGGAGCGCTTGAACCAACGTATACTCGATGTCCTGGTCTTCTCTCTTACTAATGTCGTGAGAGAAGTCGGCTTCTTTGAGGAGACGGCGAAGGAGTGGGGCCTCCGAATCGAAGGCTGGAAGGAGCGGAAGGGTACGAGGGACTATACGGCTGAGATGGCCCGCGTTTCCAAGTCTCTTGAAGAAGGATTAGTGTTTCTATGGGCAATGGAAAAGGTGAGAGAATACTCAACTTTTCCCGGTTCTGCTATACCAACTTTAACCGCCCAGGTTTATCTGGATTCTTGGATCGCCGTCCATACACAACTGTCCAGCTCTCTCGATACTATTCCTCCAACACCCACGCGGTCAGCATTATTATCTCTGTCGGGCAACTGGAGTAACAGCGAGTTCAAAGCCTTCGTCGATACTCTGGCTGGTATAGTCAATGATTCAGGAATAATGCCTGGGTCTGCATCATGGAGGCGAGCTGAAGAAGTTTGGGCCAGGGTGGTGGAGCTGGAAGCAGCGTTCTGGCCGGAAAATGGTGAAGAGTCCAGTATGCTTTCCTGAAGTCAGCATTACGCGAAAAAAGCCGGCTAGCCCAGTCAAAACATCGTGTTTATTACTAGAACTTATAATGATTTGCTGATGTTCGTCAAGACAGCTATGGGGAAGAAGCGCTCAGCATACAATTTCGATGAACAAATTCTTGGTATCAGAACTCAGGGATCACAGAATGAGCTCGGAGCGTGCAAGAGAAGTCATAAAGCAGTGATTACTGTTAACGTCTTACGAATTATGACCGGTCGAAAAATGAAGAAGCAAATATCTGAGGTGGAAGATTGCGTCAGGCATTGCATCGGGAGAAAAAGACCATGCTCACTTTGTGAGTCAGCAGAGGCATTAACTTCTGAGGACGTATCAAAATCTTCTTGTCATCCCAATATTGCGATAGGTGTCGCGTTAAAAGTGAGGTAATATTGAGAGAATTTGAGCTTCGAGTCAAGGGACACTCCTACGTATTGATGAGGAACGTTTTCTCGCTCATTCTTTTCTTTACGCGTCATATTAAGATGCAGGAATGCAATTGTAGATGCATACAAAACTAGAAAGGTAGTTTGGCCTTTTTGTTGAGCTGTGGTGTATCCAGAGGATTTGGCCGCCTGTTCTTGTGATACTGCAAAGCAACATATAAGCACCAACAGAATAAAATAATGAACAGGACGTACGCTCTTGTACCGCTTGATGCGTTGGTCCATATCTTTCAGCAAGATCTTCTTGTAGTTGAACCGACGCCTCTTCACGCGCTCCCACTTGTGTCCCTTGAACATTCTCTTCTTTCCCGAGTACAAGCGTGTACCACTCTCTGCGCCCTTGACCCGCCTCTCATTGACCTTTCCAGCCCATTCGACCTGACTTAACCAACCCTCCCGTAAAGCTTTCTTCTTCTCTTCCAGATTCAGCTTCGGGTTCTTTGCCGGAGCTGCGAGGATCTCCGCTGCTCGTAATTTGGGACCTGGAGGTAAGAGATGTAGAGTCTTGGAGGCCTTGGCCTGTTTTACGAGCTCAGCCTGGCGTCGCAAGGAGTACTTGGGTGGCGCCCATCTGCCGCTTGTTGGATTGAATCGCGGTAGAAACGGGTTAGGGAGTTGAAGAGCCTTCGGATTCGCGTCCGCCTTTTCAGGTAGTGGACCGTATCGCTTTAAGTGATGTTGGAGGCCTTTTATCTCGTGCAGACGAAATCTTTTGACGGCATTGAGGCCAGCCGCCGCCGTCGACATGGAGGCCGGAAAGAGAGATGCTTTGTTTGGCAACAGCCGGGCGATGAAATAATACGGATTAAGTCAGCGATACCAGGTCTGATCTGGACTTTTTCTTCGCCGCCCATCTTGACTCCTTACTACCATCATGTCTGCATTTCGAAACAACAGAAGCACTCGGAAGCCTTACACTGTTCGTGATACTTCTCTATAGACCTTTCTACCTTTCCTTCAACTCCTTTTTAGCGACCAACCAATACCGATGGTCATTGGTTGCACGACAAGGCCCCTGGCCTGAATGGCGCCAAACGAGCGCCTACGACCTTCGCCGCACCGAATTCAAAGATCATCGTATCAAACTTGCACTACGAAATTACGCCTAAAGACCTAACCGTGAGTGAGCCACATCTGAGACAAAGGGCTGGAATGACCTTTGTGGTGCCTAGTCAATTTTTGGCCAGTTTGGCACGCTCGTACGCGAGCCGTTACTCAGGGTACGAATATCCGACTAGCACCACGCTACCTGAAAAAGCCAACCAACGACCCGCGCCTTTCGGTTTTTTTGTTACAAAGTACGACCGCAGTGGACGCTCCACAGGGACCGCCTTTATCTCCTTCGAAACACCCGAGGAAGCAACGATAGCAAAAAAGACCTTTGATGGTAAAGATGCTAAAGGTACGTGTGCATTTCTTTGTTGTTATCATTTCTGATTCGATTCTCTTGAAGGTCAAGCCATGTCGATAACCTTCGACACACTGCCGCCCCGGAACCCAAGACGTGCGACAAGTGCACCAACAACATCGACTCTCCTCAACAGGATCCAGAAGCCTCCCCTTTTGGATCGTCTCGGTGTGGACGAACCCAACCCTAAGAAATCTGCCCCGTATGTTTCCTTTTACTGTCGTTTTCGCATCTCTAAGTTTGATCTTAGCGGTCCTATTCGGTCGAAGCCTGCTCGCAAAGCCGCCGGGAAGGGTCCCAAAAAGCCCAAGACTGCTGAAGATCTGGACAAGGAGCTTGATGCATTCATGGGCGACGCAGAGCCGGCGGCAGTACCCGCAAAGGAGACACCTGCCCAGGATGTAGAGATGGCATAGACGTTATGTTCTCATTTTAATCTGTTTGTCATATATGTAAAGGTCGTATAGTTTTGAGTTCTTGTTGCAATAGTATAGCCTGGTTTTCTGCTTTATATCATGGTACTGACTGCGTTGTTTCGCAGGTACATGCATACCTCTCAAGAATGGTTGGTCTTTTTCAGGGAATTGAAAAGCTAATCATTTAGAATGTTGTTGCAACAGATGCCGGTGCCTAAAGCTTCTTCACGGCGAAATTGAGGAGCTGGAAAGAAAGCATACATTGACGGTTTCTGGCGCGTGGTGCAGCGAAAGGCGCAACCAGCGCAAAATGAACAGAACTTCAACTTAGAAAACCGTTTTATGGATGGACAACATGCCTCTGAGGCAGACCGAAGCGGAAAAAGACTTGTCGACGCTGTCTGGTGTGTGGGGTTATCTCGTTGCATGGATTCGACTGAAGTGATTTTATAAGGAGGAACAACACCAATACTAGTAATGACAATATTTGGCTCATATTTTTGACACTCGCCTACTGCCCTCAGCAACGTACAACTGCTTCTATGATACGGCTTCATCCTAGATGTGAGTAACAGCAATCAAGCCATCGGGATATAGATGAGCTGCTAGGGCACATTCTAGAGCACATTGTTGACACCTAGTGCCTGATCCACAATACAACGGAGAGGTGGCGGGGTCGCTTTTCTAAACCTAAGCTTGCACACCATCATCCTAGGAAGCTTAATTTCTACACTGACTATGATGGAAGATTTTCGCGTTATTTGTGATTGATCTAGGTCCTACTTACTGGCTTGTGAACAACTTCGCTGTGATCATTTCTTCGTCGTCATGGCAGATCCTTCGGCTAAGCGAACCTCAATAGTACAGTGGATCATTTGCCGTACACGGAGAGACGAGGTCAATTGGGTAATCCGACTCACACATTCGACGTAAGCCATCTTGTTATCTTTACTCTTTGACTGGCTGCCTTGTCACGACACCCCTCACCCAATCGGTGATCCTCCAAGTAACGAGTGAGCTTTATATACAAGAAAGCTGCTCTGCTGGATGATGACTGATCGGACTTTACGGTATCATCACGACCAAGAAAGGAAATGAACCCGTCTGATTCCTGCTTAGGGCCCGGTTCTTTTGAGTTTCGGCGCCTAAACCCAAGTCTACATCTTTCCAACATGCCACCACGTAACAAGCGAAGAGGTGCTCGTTCCACCCTCGCACCTACTCAGCGTCCCCAAGACCAGTATCACCATATCATCCCACGATTCATATTAAGGCGTTTTCATGTTGGCCCTCGCAAGTAAGTACTTTTAATCACCGGACTATGAATTTCTTACTCATTCAGTTCCCTCAAGAACCGACATAGAGCGACGAAAAGATTACCATCCGTTCTGGCGTAGATCCTGGTCAGGTCCTTTATTACGATCTGGCTTCCGGGATCCTCGACGTACGCTCAATCGGGACAGTTTACGGGCAGAAAAACTTCTATCGAGATGCTAGTAACCCTAGCAACGTGAACGAGGTGGAAGAGAAGCTTTCCCTACTGGAAGGAAAGGCTGCGTTGACTATTGAGATTCTTCATTCCGAGCTCGCGCGGGGGAAAGTCACTATCAAGCGCAGACACCTCGATATCTTGAGGAAATTCATGTTCGTGATGCACTACCGCAAGATGGGTAGTACGTACTTTGATCCCAATCTTCAGCCTAGCCTGAGGCAATGGTTGATCCGGTATCAAACCGAGCATCAGTGCCAGACACACGTCGACGTATGGTTACGCATTATGCGCTACTATCTAGATACCCCCCACTCCCAGATCGTGGACGACGCCCATGCAGAATACAAGAAGTATGGCTATGCCGAAGCTTTTGAACAGGTTGCAACTGGCGTTGACCCCATTATGGAGCATCCAGAATCTATTGCGTATCAGGTCCAAGCTGAAAGGTACTTTCTAGGCATATGGGAGGCTGAAGCGACATCAGAATTTATTATGACTACCAGCGCATTCGGATTGTGGGAGGGGCTGACACCGGAACTGGATACCATCCATCGCATTTTTGTCATCAGTCCGCATGTTGCTCTCGTGTTGCGCAGTAATGTGCTTCCCCTGCCCGGCGAGCCCCAGGCCCCGATGCAGAGTGTTCTGCTATCAATTCCGCAAGAAAAACCTAAATCTCGACTCGTGAACGGAGAAACTGCCATCAGGCTCTCCGACATGAACGACATGTCAGAATTTAACCGTCATAGATCCCCCAATGATGATTTTACCTTCACTATCACGAAACTCACCTTGGATCAAACTGATGCTTTCAACACTATCATCCTGCAGAACGCGAGGTCTGACGGAGCCGTCACATTCTTGGGGAGAGAGCGCATGTTGCGTACGCTTCGTGTGTTCTGGAATAGTCCATTATACAAGTTTCTTCGCCACAAATATGCTTCGCTCATGCGTTATCTATCCATCATACCACAGCCACTCTCCCATGCATCCATATCCTCATCGTTCGAACCTGTGGACGCAGAACTTTATGTTGCGCTCATGGGAATTGTTCTGAACCGGACTAAATTTGCTTCTGGGTATGATCGAGCCCTGTCTATTTACCGACTCTTACAGACAACATCTCGTCGTCGGACATGCCCTTTCGTGACACAGCACATATATAATCTCTCACTCATCATGGAAAGCTGCGTAAATCACTTCCCCGGGCCCTCATTCAGGAAGCCACAGTCTTCATTACGGCTTAAAATGTCGCTACCGTCAGAACTGTCGCTGAGGATATTTACCACCTTGGAAAATTTTGTTTCCATAACATTGGGTGCGAAGATGGATTTCGATGAAGATGTTCTTGGGAAGCTGGGAAAAGAGGTAGCTCTACTTGGTTTCCTTGATTGGCTCGATGTTGAAATGCCCATGGTTTTGATAAATGGTATGTCGGTGATGGATATTTTAACTGTGATGGATGCCTTCTACTTTGTTTAATAAACCTTTTTGTATACATGCATACAGGACATCTTATTGAGGACGTAAAGTCTGAAAGCTTGCGGGTCGGAGGCAACCTTTACCATTCAGCTTATCAGCGATACCGTCATGATCTCCTAATCTGCGTGTAAGGTCATACCGAATGTGAGCAGAAGAAAACATTACCTTCTGTGATCACTGAAGATTTTGGAAGGATCAAGAGTCTCATGAAATGCCACGTCTATCAAGTTTCCACTTGAGCCTCAGAGGAAGGTGGCTACTTTGCCGGTTCTGGTGCCACATGTGTATTACACCAACATTACCATCTTACGCAAGTCATACACGGAGGCAGCTGCAATAATGTTAACGTATTATGAAGCAAGTTGATTGATATTCAAAGTACGGTCGCGGCCGCGACTCACTTCGCGCGCTTGTTGAGCTTGAAGTCACGATAGGTTCCCTTAGTTCATATGGGTGAAAGTTTGTTGAAGTGCACTCTTTGATCAGGATGGCAAGCATGCGTTAGGAAGTATCTATGTGAAGGAATACAGTACCCACGACATGAGTTCGGAAATAAATCGTATCAATTCTTACCAGAGCGTTATCCATTCTATAGAAGTTTTCTGTGTCGAACCGCAAGGGAAAATAGAGAACACGAGTTTTCCTTTCTTTTGACTCCGTTTGGCTCGTTCCACCTCTCGTTTCCATTCAGTAGGATCCACCGAAGTCTTGTACTTCTCCATATTTCCCACCGACACTTTCATGGGTGCAAATTGATAGTCCATGCACGTTACTGCAGGGACGCCGTTGTCGAAACCCAACCTTGCATAGAAGTCACTCGTTGCTTCTTCGATCTGCTCTTTTTCATGTTGTAGGTCCGTCAGCAGGATACAATGCAGAAGCGGTTCGTCGCGTAGCACCACGTCTTCCGGATAGCCCTCTAATTTAAATATCATCCTGTCAGTTGATGAAAGCTATGGGAAGAAGGGAGACCGACTCCTTCTTCTGATCCTCTCTTGGCGACAAAAAACCCGATGAGTGTCACCTGCTGCCTTTTGACAACTCTGAGAACAGAAAGTCAGTCCACATCCGCTGCAGCGGTGGAGTGCCGCCTCCATGTTCCCCGTTTCATCGACTGATTTACACTACGGAAAGTTGAGAGTGAGATGATAGAAAGCGCTGTAGAAACGTAGAATGTACCTCTATGTTCATGCAAAAGTTTGGTTTGTAGTCACCATGTAGCCTGGCCCGTGTCTCCCAGCGATGATTGGCGACATCCAGCAGCGTAGTCCATGATTTAGCCAGCTCGCTGGGAAAGCCAGGCGAGTCGATCGCGGATATATCCATCTTCCTCAATGATTTCTGGACCTGTCGTAGAACGGTCCGCCAGATAAGGTTGGTTGTAATGACGTAGAGAATTTGCGACAGGCCGATGCAAAGGTACGCAGGCGGGTTTATCAGGCAACACTTTAATAAAGACGGGAGGAAATGGGTATATCTTAGTGCTTGAACTATCCAGAGAGGTCCCCGTAATAACGCCAGTTGAATGCAAAATAAGCACTTCGTGATAACTTCGAGTCTATCGGGGTGTTCTCCCATGGTGACCTGCATGTGAGCCTCGACGGCGCGTGAAAGAATATAACACATCCATGGAGTTGACTTGGCCAAACGGAACGACAATCCCAGTGAAGAATCTTCATCCGAAAGGACGCGCACCACCGACAGATCGTCCCTTATGACATCCCAAGCAATATCCACGCAGTCAATGTCGCGGATAAGACGGGATAACACCGAAGTGAGTCGTGTCACAGGTAGTTCCTGTTTGACTATTTGAACCAGCATCTTTGTAAGTGCTTTGTTGCCCTCGAAAAATGGAATCACCAATTCAGAGAGGCATACCAGCCTGTGCTCCGACGCAACAATCCACACGTGCGCCACACATGACATGATGTTCTGGGAGTTGTGAAGGATGCTAGGATTCGGAAGCCTTAGCATGACCGACGACAGAGCCAAGCCGGAGATTGCACCGGTTCTGGAATATGTAAGCAGCATGTCCGGATCCGATTTTTCAACGTCATTGAATAATTCTGGGCGTCTTAGCACGACTTGGTTGAAGAAAACCATAATCCAAGGAAGAAGACGAGGCCAAAGGTCCATGGCCTGGTTAAGTATATGAGGTTTGATGGTTTGGGGATCTGCATACACCAGCCTTTTTATCCCATGGATGCAAGCAGATGAGGTTGCGAATGGTATCATCAGCTCCTTGAACTCCTTTTCTGAGACTGAGGCAGGATCATAATGAATGTCCTCTGCAGAGATTAACGCAATGTTGCGTCTGACTTGATGCAAGACTAAGGAGGGATTAATAGTCTTCTTGAACACCGCTTCTATCAAGTCTTTGCACGGAAAACTATCATCTGAGTAGTCTTGCCAGTGCCGACCCAGCGCGTTACGACGTGTACTTGGGTGAGGCATCTGTAAAAATTTGAGCACGTTTCCTCGATATTGCAAGTCATTTTTACGCACTGAACTTTTCTACAGACTGTAGGTCAATCGAAGATTGAAGAAAGCTTTGCCAGGTTGAAAATACTTTTCCGAGACGTTGACGTATGACGTACAAAAGTTGGCGGCCAGTTAGCGTCGGATCAAATGGAGTTTGAAAAACAAGTAAACTAATTGGTGAAAGTCACTTCGTACGACGCAGGCATCGAAGCGAGCTGTACAAACAACCTTCACTGATGACTGTCAACAATCGTGAGGACAAATTTACTACTGCCAGACTCCAGTAGATCTGACAAGAACTCAACAACAGAACAAGCAAAAAGCATCTCTGCACGATTATATTTTCCAAACACGAGTGTTCCTCAGAACCCACGCCGTCGCGCACACCCCAAGCGAATATCCACACAAAATAATCATGGCCCAGAAATTGGAAGTGAACATGGTAGGTATCGTCAAATTGATCAGACCAGTGAAGACGTTTGCCTGTACATGACCTATCAGCACAGATCACACATTGGAATAGAGAAACAAACCGACCAATAGGAATAGAACTAGCCCATTCTTATTGATAGCTTCAAAAAGAGGAGCAGATACAGCTATGCGGGATGGTAAGACGTCCTGGTCGCTCTGTTGTCGGGTGTACTTCGACCTTGATGGCGAAGGGTAGAAATAGAGGTCCATGAGAAGGTATCCCAAGATAAACGACGTGTTATATGCCGCTACCCAAAGGATATACGACAAGTTGACCTGAAACGTGGCGTTGAGACTCTTTCAGAAAGGAAGCTAAATGAAGACAGACCACACGCCTAGACACGCCTTCCTTACCATCGATCTTGAGTAGTCTCGTCAACCCCATGAATACCCACCACAGCATTGAATACGCCCACAACTCTGTGGCTGTTTTGTCATTCTGTCGAGAAGCATACGAATGTTTGTATTTTTCTCCTCCTCCTAACGTCAACTCGCCATTTTTATTAAATTGGCGCTGGAACCGACGGAAGTACGAAGGCGAAGGGGGTAAAATCATCGTCCCTATTGATAGTCCCAGGAGATGTACGGCGAGATAACCTGAGAGACCATAGACAATTAGAACTAACTACAAAGGCGACGCCGGAAACAAACCTAGAAGAGATACGATGCCCTCTTTGTTCGCCGACAGGATACCAACGCGTGGAGCGAACAGGACGACTTCTTGCAAACCAAACACGGATAAGCCGAGCTGCTGACCTACGGAATAAGTTAATGGAATGCACAGGGCTTGGAAAAACAGAACCCACACAATGCAATCAGGATACCAAGCATGGATATCGGAACCCGAAGGATTATTGGGTGAAGGAAGATCTCCATTACTGGCAGGAGGGCCATGGTGATGAAAAAGTTCCAATGGGTGCCGTACTCCGTTTCGTGCTCCTGTGGATCTGCGTCAGAATGGGTAAGCAGGACCAGATCCTTCACACGAACGGGATATTCTGTTCCTTTAACAAGCAACACGCGCACAATGCCCAGGACCATAATAGGCAAGACCTTACGAATTGTGGTGACCAGCTTAGAAAGTACAGGTGATGCGAGATAAGTCGGATTCTTAACAAGTGGGATTGCTGAAATGACTCCTTGAGAAAAGACGAAGGCGCCAACACCCAAGTCCATCTGGTGGCGATAAATCATATATTCAAAGTCGGCAAAGGGATAAAGCATACCAGTGAGACTCCAAATGACTCGCACTTGGCCAGTGAACGGGGGAACACAGGAAAGTCCACTGCAAGGATGGCGAGAATTGTCATTAAGAGCATGTGTGCGCGATATGTTGTTAAGAACGGTAGCGGGGCCACAGTCGCCTTGGGACTTGCTGTACCTCGTTCACTTTCATTTGAAGGAAGTGGCGTCCCCGATTCGCGACGAGACAAAAATGACAGACCCAGAGCCGGAATCAACATCAGAATTGAGAGTAGCGCTGGCATATTGGCGAATAGTGTCATCGACAAGAGAAGCGGTAGGACCAGGATAGCCCATGATATCGGAAATTTATTCAAGCTTGTTGGGGATGTTCTTGAGAGTATTGTGTGGTAGAGAAACACGGATGCCTGGGGGAAAAGATTGAATGAGCACTGACAATACACAAGGGAACGACGAACGAGAGCCGCACTAGATATCAAGTTGACGTGGGTCACCGTCGAGCCTGTCGCTCCAGAGACAAAATTTTCCTTCAATTCTTTGTAGTCTCCTGCATCCTGCCTCATACTGTTGGGAAAACAAATGGAAAAATAAAAAATGTTGTGGTGGTGGTGGTAGAGAGGTTCCTGTATGCGTGTATCCGGCTTGGGCCGGCATGACAACATCGGCAAACGGTCCGACTTTTCCGAGAAGAAATCTTGAGATCTGGCCGCTTGGATCCCATCTTGCTACCACAGATCTTCAGCAGGGCTGCGTATTGATATCCTCCTAATATCCTACTCGTATATCTTCTAACGTTACCCAGAGATCTAGGCCTAAGTCCATCTCTTTCTCTTGCAGCTTTCCTAAGAGACTCGGAGTTTTAACGTCGAACCAAGTTGAAGACGGCGTACGGTCTTCAAACCAATAGTTTGGTTGGCCTAGACTGAATCAACGGAGATAAATACAACTTGACCCCTCATGGCGCCCGGCGGTACTTATTCGTTCACGCCTCATGTCATGGCTGGAGCAACCTAAACAGGTCCAATTTAAAGGTCACACCATGCAATGTTCGGAAGTCCAACTAGGGACGGCGACTACTAGATAGGTATTGCACTACATGCAAGACTGCATAGCGAGAATAGAGCGACTATCGGTACAGCGGTACATGTATACAGTACAATCAGACAATCAGAAATGGAATCGATGCGTGGATGGGTAGGCTTTGTCGTAGCATGTGGAGGGGGGGGTAATAAGTAATGGATAGCGGTACTTAGATAGGGAAGGAATGCGAAAGATAGTGCGGTCATGAAGTATTAGATGGTGTCTATCGGGAACACAGCGTCCGTTAGTAAGTAATCAGTCAATCAAAGAGTCCTTCGTCTCATCTACCGCCCCTCTACGAGCTATTGCCTCCCTGAGGTGTCCCCGTTCTAGACGGCCCCGGTAGTAAGCTATCGTACGACGGCGGAATCTCGCTTGGGCCTGCATCCTGATGTTGGATAACCCCACTCGGACCGGGGCCATTGACGAGGTAGGCTGAGCGGTCGTCAGGATTGACGATGCCCAGCTGGTGTTGCCTCGCCTCGCGCTCCTTTGCAGACATTCCTCCACCGACACCGCTGGACGAAGGAGGAGGAGTGTGTGATACTGGTGAGCCTGGTGGAGAACTGGGAACCATGGCATAAGGATTGTACGCTGAAGGAGGATAAGAGTCTCCAGAGTACTGCGACATTGGCGGTGGAGATGCAGGCGAGCCGTTGTAATAATTTGCGTAATTACTTCCCTGGCTGTTCGTGCTCGTGCTGATGGGGAACGGCGAAACAACTCCAGCACCGATTTCTGCTCCTCCGAGCCGTCCACCCATTCCGTCATCTTGATCATGCTCATCGTCCAGGTTCAGCCCCATATCAGGCGTCCGGGCGACAATCCTGTCGGGGTCAAAGTTCCCGTCAAATTTCTCTGTGAAGAGGTCATTCTGCCGGCGTTTGTAGAGGAACAAGAGAAGAGCGAGAACCACAGCGAGGCCCGCGATACCACCGATGGTCCCGCCCACTATGGCGCCCGTGTGTGATGAGGAAGATGAAGAGGAGGCAGAGGAGGAAGAGGAGGAAGGTGCCACGATGGACGTGGTCGCAGTCACCTGCTGGCCATTGGATTGCGTGATAACAAGTGTCGTAGCGATATAAGATGTATGCTGCTGAGTATTGCCATTAGAACTCTGGCTTTGACTCTGACTTTGTCCTTGACCCGGTCCTCCTCCTGACCCCGTATCGGTACTACTGCTCGTGGTGTCAGTGGGAGGTGCCGATGTCGCGCTTGTCGTGGTATCAGGCGGAATGGAGGTCGTGGATGCAGCAGTGCCACTACTAGACGATGACGAGTCTGTAGGTGGGGGAGTAAAACTGCTGCTGGTCGTGCTGGTCGTGGAAATGGTCGTCTCCGTCGAACTCGTCGACTGCTGGGTTGTCTGGACAGAAGATGAGGTCGACGGAGCGGGGGTCGTCGTCGTCGTCGTATCGGCAACAGTCGTGCTGGCCTCTACGCTCGATGAACCTGCTGAGGACGACATTTGGGATCCTTCAGCGACGACGAGAAACTTTTGGATGGTGAGAATACCCAAAGAGAAATAGAAGGCACTGGCCGGGTGTAGAGTGTCGACACATGTCACACAGCTAGGTGGCGGTAAGTGCCGTTTCGTGAGATGCACTCACAGATATTACGATCCGGTGCTCGGCTAACATTCGGCTGGCAAATTCCGACTATTTCTCCCTTTTTTGGATTTCGTGGCGGGCATGCTTAACCGTTAGACGCGTTCTCACCGTCAAGTCTGGAGCCTAGATTACTTCAGCACCGTCTGCTGCATCGGATTCGTAGTGCATCGTACACGGATGTCTTGGTCCGTCGGGCGCCATTGTCGTCCGTCACACCGCATTGAAATTTCCCAAGATGTCAATCATTGCATCACTCCTCGCAGGCACGCTAACGTTAGCTATGCTGGTTCGCTATTCAAAAAGACACGAAACGGCCAAAGAATGCTCCGGGAACATCAGAATCATATCTACAAATGAGTGAAACTTTTCCACCGGTGAGAGCCAACTCAATGTACATACTTTGAATGTAATTGGATTGACGGAATGCGGTAATTCTCAGGACGACATTGGACATATATTGGACGTATGATTCTGGCGTCCCGCTGTCTTGTGTCCTTGCTCTTTTGACTACGTCTTGCTTCCATCGTATGTGGAATTTTGAGTGCTGTTCACTAGCTAGTATGGGCTCATTCTGCTCTCAACCAACTGATCCATTGGCTCAGCAGGCGTTTGAGGGGGCTAAATATAACGAACTCTGATCTATCAGATCATCGCGGGCGACCGGCCAGTCATCGTACTTTCCAAGGCTAATTACACGCGTTAAAGCGTGCTTGGCTTCTTGCCAACCCTTGGTCGACGGTCGTTACCTCTCTGCTACTTAGCAACCGTGGGAATTGAAACAAATACAAGACCCGCGGATGCATTTTCAGTCAATCCCCTTTACCTTCAACCATCATGAGCGATTGTAGTATTGATCCGACAGTCGTCGCGCAAGGTATCAACCTCCGTGTAAGTGTTTTACTAGTGCTATTGGGGTGTTTCATCTAATCTCATCTGCGACATCCCCTTTTCGCAGGGAAATCAGTGGTGCCGACATGCAGATAGCACCGGAGCTACAAGCTACCACTACAACAATCGATGAGTGCTTCTACGCTGTCGGCCTTGGAAAATCTCTATATTGATTGTCAGCGATGGGACTACCTATCAACACAATATGGATGGCTCCTCCGTCTCTGACAAGGATTCTCGTTTTACAGGCCGCCGCCAGCTAAAACCGAGTCTCCCTCCCAAGATGTCATTAGTAAAGCAATCCACTCCCAACTTTGAGGCATCATGAAAGCTCTAATCTGACCTATCAGTTCAGCGCTGAAAAATGTGCATCAATTTGAGAGCGGGAAAGCTTACTAATTCATTGGGAATGAATCTTTACAGTACACTTTGATAGAGCCTGGCGCCCAATGCGTAATGTATGCCTACTATTCTTAAATCAGATATGAACATTACTTTGATTTACGAGCTGTACGAACTGATGAGCATATCAGCTATCCAAGGCCGACACGTCTATCGATCCAAGTCGGAAGACAGAAGGTGGGCATACCTCAACTATAAGTAACAGTCTCTAATGCACGATTGCATGTTTACCCTTGACATTCCGGAGGCTATGAGTCCCCAAAGGCGTGTGAAACAGCAGAGAAACCGAATCGGTAGACTATGCCGCTGATCCTGGGATTATTTGCTGTATAAAATTTTGACTAAGCCGTAAACACTTTCTGTTCCTTGATGTAGAAGAACGCTTCATTATAGGTCAGTTTACAACAACACGTGGAGAACAGCTGTGAATCCACAGAGATACGACAGTAAACCAGGCCCGAAGATCGCCAAAAATACCTTTTCAGTGAAAGTTCTTCACAGCGACGCCCAGCAGCACGAGGTTGCATTTGGCATTTACAGACATGTTTTCCCGAATAGTTCACCTTCATGGCTTGTATTTACCAGTACGCTATAGTAGAGATCAGCTCAGAGTCGTCAAAGCGAGCCGGCACATCGCACAGCGGTGTAAGAAGAGTTCGTCCAAGGTCAACTCCATTGACCGCTCTCTTATGCATATAGACCCAACATTTATCAACGCCGAGTTTCAATTCAAATTTCTACAACACAGAATGTGCATTACTATCTGGCCCCACCTAATTGCTCACGTCGAGTAGCTACGGCCATCCTATCTACGATCGTCTAAGCTATCGTGTAAGAAAGATTGAGCCTCGTTCCAAATAATCACACCGTACTTACCTTGTCTCCTTCATATTCATCCTTAGCATCCTGTTGGTTTCGACGCAATCGTGGCAGAAAGTGGTAGCGCAGCGACAGCTCGTGCCACCCTGACGATCGTTTCCTGCTTCACGCGTGTAAATGCAGCTGGATTGAATTGTGCCAACCGTTTGAAATCCTTCCGAACTTGAGCGAGACCAAATTGGCTGTTGGAAAGATCAAATGTGGAGAAAAGGTTGATGTATTTGTCCGATATGGTGAGTTGCCGATGACGTAGGTCGAGAATGACCTGACCGCCGTAGCGGTTGAACCTGCCTTGGCGATATCTGATGCATAGAATATAACATCGTTCATGTTTCAGGGCCAGAAAAGGCTGCAGGAGTAGATCCGATTTGGTGGCAGTCCTCGTAGTCATTTCTTGATTTGCTAGAGCGTTTTTGAAGAAGTACGATGGTAGTGAAGCAGTCGATTTCAGGACAGGTGAACTAATGGGGAGTTTAGGCAGATTAATGGAATGAATAAAGGCGGGTGGTTTTGCACCAAGATTTTTGAACAGAAAGAGCTTTGGTGTTACGGCAAGAGCGGTCAGGTGACCCATTGTCGAGTCGACTAAGGCAGGTCGTCTGTCGTTACTATGCCTAGCCAGTGCAAAGCTATGAACAGGCGTTCCATTCTGAGGCACAGTCTGGACGAGTTCTAGATGAAAGGATGGACCAGCCGACTCTAGTACGCTGAGAACAAAGCCTTCGCAAGAACAGGTAGGAGGAAGGATGGATCCTTTCAAGGCGTTACCGAATTCCTCGAAAGATAAGGTTCCAAGAAGGAAGCGGTTGCGGGCCTCGTCCGTACTTAACAGGTCTCGGAGGAAAAAATCGAGCGCAGTGAATGTATCGAAAGTGTCCTTGGACCATGCATCGTCCACGGCCTTTTTGAGAGGAGCAAAATAGTGAGAGGGCCTATCGAGTTGCGTCAAGAATCAGCCGGGTAGCTCAGAAACAGTGAGTATTCAGCACATACGGTAGATACTCTGGAGCCATGTAAATTTGAACGGGTTTGGTATAAGGCGAGGGATATAGAAGGCGTTTCGTCCGGCGATTCTGAGAGTTTTGAGGTACAAAGTCAAGTGAACCTGAGACCCAGCAGGCCTTTATATAGAGATACGAGTACCGCGAGTATATAATAAAGCCGGCTTGCCAGGCTACAGCAGGCCGGGCCAGCAAACCAAGTTACGTTGTCGAACCGGTAGCGGCAGTTGCCGGGTCCCCGATTCTTTCCCTTTGGGCGAAGAAACGGCATGCTATAGTAGAACAGTCTCAGACAACTCTTTGTCCTCTTTGTCACACCAACGTCACACGGTTATTCCACCTTTCCTCTCAACCACCATGTCGACTTCAGACTCTGATTCATGCGCCTCCTCCGTGGACTCTACACTTGATTGCATCTCTCGCTCGACCTCTAATTCGAGTGCGACATCTGTCGCATCACAGGAGCACCCGATTGTTCTTGAGTGGGCGAAATGGGAGGTATGAAAGACCTATGCACTATGCAAGCTACGCTAAATTCTAATGCCATCTCCTAGGATCGCCTCTTTGAGGATGTGCCCCCTCCACCTGAGGATCTTTTCGACAATTCGGTAAGACTCATGCTCACATCCGATGTCTCGGTGTTAACAATTCTCTAGGTTGACTATGCCACGCGTCAAGCCCGTCAGAAGGCATATCAAGCGAAGGTTGACGCTGCGATGAAGGACGTCCTTGAGGAGTACAAGAAGTGGTGGGCGGATAATGATGAAGCAATTTGTGCGTACTGGGTCTTCATAGCTTTGGATTATTCTGTGATTTCTGATGGTTGATTGATCAGCGGAGTGGATGGACAGCTGTGAGCAAAATGAGGGACCGGACTGTTGATGGACGTTTGTATTCCCGTAAATTGTGTGATTGTACTGTATACGTATTGAATTTTCATTGTATCTTTCTGTAGCTGTCATTGCTCTTGCATACTCATCGAGGCATGTAAGGCGAGTCTCAATATTCTTTACACCATCAGAGTGAAAACATATGTTCTGTGATCCTACAGAGACGCTGCCAGAACTAGTCGGGCTGTTCCACCGGTAGTTTCATCCGCATACTATCAGTCCTATCATTCTCAAACAGGTCATAGGTATCTGGCCGTGGGTTGTTCCTTGCTCGTGTTCTTCCTTGCGGACTTGTTGGATCACCCAGGGTCGTTTATCAAAGTTCCGCTGCTACAGGTGCCAGATTAACGACGATACACATGATTTGTACTTACACTTTCTTGCGGCCGTGATTATTTCATGTAGGTAAGTATGCGACACACGCCATGGTGGGACTTTTGCATCGTATACATCGCACGCTATTCGTACGACGCGAGTAACGAGTTGCGACACATTAAACGTCAGAACCGCGTGACTTGCCGTGTTCGACATTACACGTACGTACAGTTGTAATGACTTCGGACAATATTTTCAACTCTATGCTTCCAACTTTCATCGGCTTCCGTTCCCGTACACATTCAAGAATCACTTGGTGCGTAGGAGGACGACATACTCAAGTATCATGCTCTAATGTTATTATAGATGCCTAAGTCAAGTTTGGCGTGCCGCCAGCAAAAGGATTATGACCTGTTGTTGATTAAAGTGGCGTTCAAAGATCCGCTCAATTGCTCCGAAACTTTCACTGCAGTCTTTCTCTGAATTCTCCTCCACGTATTCCCTTCGACCTCAGGTGCTCGTTGCCACCGACAGAGTTGTGTGGACTGGCGGTCTCGCTGGTAGCCTCAACTGCGTGTATCCGTGGAATATGCAGGATAGTCATTACTAGCTTGGAGAGAATCAGTCCTCGCATCATTCACCGAATCATTGATCTCTGGCCGCGTTTTCTTCCACGGATTATACATCTCCTAAGGGTTTACTGAAGGAGCCAAAGTCATTCGTCAAGTTATCCGTCGAAAGGAATACGCTCCTTTCGTTCGCCAGAACAGCCGCATGCGATAGCGTATCTCTATTGTCGATTATGCACACACATCCCAACATCCTCCGTCAATCGTAATATCTCATCTCGTGTCTGAGGCAGGTGTGGATAGTATCCTTGGAGAACAAGCTGTCGTTCATCTCCTTCATTATGCCCACATTTTTCATGCAGGAAAAGACGTTTACTATAAAAGCCTTCGTCGATGCAATCAGGCAAGAAATTCCTGCTCAGCGACTGACGTCGGTCATATCTCGTCTTGTCCGCGACGTTGATTCTGTTGACATCGATTAGTTTTCCGTCAAGGACAACACCATATTATTATGTGCTCTTTCGGATGATCCCACGCTAGGGTTGTCGTTACGACTGGCAAAGTTGATACCATGCATGTGTTACGTGCTTTGGCGTGTCGTCGAGGCTCCAAGGCCGACCACAGAAGCAGGCGAACAATGCAGGATGCTAGCCCTCTTGACCGGCTTCGTCTCCATCCATGTGGGACTGGGACATGGACCGGATTGGATTGCCCAATCCCTGAAGCAGACCCATTTTCTCCAGACGCTCTGGAAATGCTCGAAGGAAGATTTGACAGCCGAACTCGCCAAAACCGTTGCAGAGATCCTCCATACGCTTACCATCAACCTCATATGGCGAACCGTTTTGCGGCAGGTTCGGATATCGCTGAAGAAGCTGGAGTCTACCATTGACGCCCCCAACTTCCATCATTCTTTGCGAAAACCGTGGGCCACACTACTGTACGTAGCCAACCAACGTTGGGAGAGACGTGCCAGTCTACATGGTGGATCTGACACCAATGTTTGTATGAATTCAAAGGTACTTGCTATGTTCTTGACTTTTCTTGAATGATCATTGACTTACCTCATATTATGATCGTTGTAGTACCTAGCGAACGATCCGGTTACTGGAATTATTGCAACAAAGATTCAGCGCTGCAGTGGATGCGGCTTCGCATTTTGTTCTGCCCATTGTCAGAAAGAAGCAGGTGATACTCATCGGAAATTTTGTCAGTTCGAACGGAGTCAACGGAAAGGTTGGTCTCTCTTTTTATATCTTTTGAATGCGGTCTCATGGAATCATCTGATACTACTAGAGGGTTATCCGGATGGCGTGATTCAGCGCGATGAACTCTTCTTGCATCACATCGTGATGACTGACATACGCCACGAAGAGAAACTTGTCGAAACGCTCATCAGCGACTATCATACCAAGCCCAACGCGGACACGTACCCTCCAGTAACGTGCCTGGATTATCGTGCCGTGTCCATGAGCATATCTGTAGGACACTGGGAAGGCTTCCGAGGCACTTGTGGTATCAAGGATTCTGAATTGTTTCAGGAACTGGAACGGGGGAAACAGGCTGCTGGTGTTGGGAGGAACGGCAAACTGGTACTTTCTCTCCTCCCTTGCGGTTTAACGTTAAGGGCTTCTATCTTGTGGATAGAACAGACCTCTGCCTAATCATATGCGAGACTTGTCTTTGTGATGTGATTCCCGAAACAGTTGTGAGTGTTGACGATGGTTTGACTCCTCGCTGTCGTACGACACATTTACCTGGCCTCAATGTATCTGGTGAGACGCTGGTCGACGGATTTTAACTTACAGTCCCCCCGGGCTATCTAACATTGGACCATTGGCAGGTCTGTCTGAAACAGCTTGCACGCCGCCAACGCTGGCGACAAACAATTTTTGATCTTCATCATCACTGGTACTCTGATAAAATCAGGATTCTGGATAAGGGTTTTCTGTGATACGGCTGTTAAGAGTTCTTTTTGGTGCAGCCTCAGGCTCCAACCTCAGCAGCATTAATTCCGTTATTTCAGCCATAGTCATTAGGCTCCCGTAGGCACAAATCCGCAGAATGCAACATCTCTTTGTTATGACTGCTGCACACGTTAACCAACAGTATATGCTTCTCAGTTGGTCGAGGCTGTGCCTAAAGAGCACCCATTTCTTGCTCATGATATGACAGACGAAAGGCACGGACACGTCATCCAGCCATCATAATGTCTTTTTTAAAATTAGCCTCAGATTTTTATTCCTCCTATAATCAAGCCCGTCGAGCCGTATTATGGAATGAATCGAACTTTGGTATTCATGACAATGATGACAAGAACACAGGACAGTAGGTAGGTATGTAGGTAAGAAGGCATCGGGAGACGCCCGAGGGCCGTACTACTGCATTTGGATAGTTCATTTCCCTTTTCAGTCATGTTCATATTCCCTCATCATGCATCAAGACCGATACCGTTCCCTTACTCTGCGCTTCGTTCTGCGTAGTTGTCGCTTTACTGTATGTGACATATCGATTCTGGACAGTTCTACACTTGAACTCGATGTGCTCGCCAAACCCGCTGGTCCGGCCAAACATTTCGCCGATGTTGATGGTTTACTATCAGCTTCTAGCGTCTGACTAGGTGGACTCATACTATCAGAACAGAAATAACGATCATCATAGAACATGTTATTCTAGCACCGGGGCATTGAATTCAATGATTCAATATTTCTCGGCATTTACATATCGTGCGGCCCACAAATTCCGTCTTGCGCGGAGACTTGTCTTAAACTTATAAGAGTTCTTTCACTTATTCAAAATCAATATTCAATCACCAAAAAGGTGATAAGATGCTTGGTATCCTGTTAGACGCTCACTACTTCTTTTCGGACTCGGAAGTATCATGGCCGGTCTAGCATGAGCCATGCTGGCAGTACACGAGGCTGGATTTCCCAAGCTGTTGTGATTTTCTACATCTTGCTTCCTCGCTTCGACTGTCACCCATGCCTAAACAGGCTTCCATATCGTTTCCTCAAAGGATGCTGAAGATATTATGGAAGTTTCTCCATAACTTTGTTGGCAGCCGTTCGTTTTTAAAGGCCTTTTTTTCTCTGTTATCTGTCTTTGAGCGCCAATTTGATTGTGATTCAAGCACCCTTGACGGCAAAACGTCTGTCAAAGGCTTACAACGTACCGGCGGCAATCATCCATGTCCACCTACAGATTCAAGTCCCCAACATTGTGCATTGTCTCCGATGGACCGTGTCAATGAAGAGGGACCTGTACCAGCGATATCCCGTAGTAGCATTCCACCTGACGGCTCCCCATACCGCTGTTCCATCGGGCATACCTCAAGGTCCTCGCTAGATTCTGTCCCATGCACGATTTCTCAACTCCCATTGCCACACCCGCAGCAAGTCGCTCCGAGTCGCAGTTGAATTTAGACGACTACGCTCATGTGGATATATCGACTAGACGTATACACCGTCATAGTTCTCGACCTTCATCCATTGTGCAGTCGTTAACTGGAAAAGATCCGCACCATCGATATCCTCCCTCGAATGCTCCGCCATCAAACCGTGCTATGCTAGGCGACGTCACTACGTTGACCGTTGCCTATCCTGCCTTCTGGCCTTTGGCGCCTGAACAGGTTCAAAGATATGAAAGAGAACTCGTGTCTGTGGTTCCTTTAGTATCTTTCCTTACTTTTGCTCATGTGTGTGGCGCAGATCTCCCAATCGGACAGACTACTGGATCGGTCCTCTGACGATTTCTTTTCGTCCGTACGTTAGCCGCCCGTCTCCCCCATGCTTCTTATCTGATTTACCTGCGTAGTGACCATTGTCATAACGGTTGGTTAACGTATGTGCACCCTGAAGGTGCTCGCTACTTTATTCACGAGAGGAAGGTGTCCCCATGCACTGGTAACTATCATGACGCCATGATATACTCCGGATGTTTGTTACCTAGGATATTCACGGATATTAACATCTACGATCCGGACAAGTTAGACCTCATTACAAAGTTTATGGTCGATATGGAGGACTACATTCGGGCAAAGGGTATCAACATACATCCCAATGTTGATCTTGTGTTCGACCTTAGACGAGACCCAGACAATGGCGATATTTGTTGCGCATATTACTTCGCAAGCCATGATGATCGGTCTATCTTTTGGTTGGACGACTTCAATTCCATCTATCTCGACAGATGCAACGAAGTCGACGGTGTCACTGAGCAGTCCCATATTGGTCACGAAATAGAGGCGCAGTACTGGTATGTATCTGTTTAGATGGATGATTTGAAACTCATGCTGGTTAGGTATCATTGTCAATTATTCCCCACATGTCTGGAGATGACTGAAGATGTCATTGACGAACTCAGGGATATCCTAATCTTCTGTCTCGGAGGTTTATTTTGCGCAACTATAATCGTGTGGGGCTATGTTTGACCAGACTATACAGATATCATGACTTCACCGGTGCCCTACTCTTCATATGGTGAAATGGACCTACAACCGATGCTAACTCTGACGGACACTATCAAGGGTAAGGATGTATGCTTTTACTCTAAGATATTTACCTACTCGAGTGTGCCTCAGAATCCGTCAAAACTGGCCAAAGAGGACTTCCGGGGTCGGTGTGCTGCATAGGTGAACGACAATCACGCATCGTGACAAGCTATCCACGGTGAACTGACTATTCCACAGGCCGTTTCATGTATATTTTCGGTAGGCCCGTGGAAGTATAATAACCATCGAGGCATGGCTTATATCCTCATAGTCCAACAACGATTTTACAACTTCCATGGACAGCCTGGTGCCCGGCTTGAGCGCGAAAAGTCAGTTTACGGATGAAAACTCAAACGTACACCCCTCATTGCCTTGCTATCGCCATTATTGTTCTTCGCACCAGACACTCATCTTGCCTCCCTAGAGAAGATCCAGGGTGACGGACTAGTCAGCAATGATCAATGGCGCGCCTTTGTCGCGAAAATGGACACTGAACGGAAAGATTTCCTCCTTAATGTAAGTATTGTTCTACATATCCTGGGGTTCGCCTCACACGCCAATAGGCTACTGTCTTGCTCAATGCCAATGTCGCTTTCTTGGCTATTCAGAGTGTTGATGAATCTAGTGCTAGTGCGGGTCGTTCACTCCCACAGGTTTTGAGTTACGTATCGGTAATTGGGAGCATCGGCTGTATTGTTTTGGGTTTGTTTCTTCTGAAGAGAAGTCGTTCTCATGCTCGTGACAGCCGTTCGGGAACAGCAAGTGGTCATTCTGTCATTTTCTTACATACACCTGAAAGCTTTCTAGTTCCTATACCTTGACTTGAAGAAATCTTCCCTGGAGTCTGTGGCCATCATGTATAGTTTGCCTTGGGCTCTTCTCATGTGGGCGTAAGTCTCTGTTTCTTCGCTTACCCCTTTCCATATTCTAAATTTCTAAACTGAAACCAAGCATGCTCTCTTTCTCACTGGCATTCAGCCTTGTATGTTTTACCGCCTCTGACTTGGCTGTTCGAATGGGTGTAGGTAGCGCATGGTTAACTGTCGGTGTTCTCATCCTCTGGTGCATCATGGCACCCCGAAAATCGGAGCCTTGGTCTATGCTCACGTCGGCGTTCTGGAAGGATCTTCGTGGCCGATTGTCCGTTCGTCCGTATTTGAACGTCGTGAAGAGTTTTATCAATAGCGACACGGAAGGAAAATCCTCAGATGTAACAGTGGTTAGCGTATGATACCATACTGGGAACAAAACGATAGATAGGTGATTGCTTAATTGTGTCGCTCCCGATTTTGTGGGTAGAAGAGCGCAATGTCATCTCAAAATTGATATTGGAATATGGCACACTGGAGCAGAGACATATGCCTTGGAGAGAGACATCAGTGGCGCAGCACCACAATTCTCAGTGGTTTGAAGAGGTACAACGGGCAAAACATGCCACCAGACATCCATTTCTGAAATAGCTGGGACTGGCTAGTCGTACACTTCCATACTGTGTCAGATGATCGAGTAGAAGCGAAGACTAACATATAAAAGCAAGTCGTTTTGCATAACGGTACCAGCCGCAACGATCATGAGCAGCACAACCATCTACGTTCAGGGTGCCCCAGTCACCATGGGTGTCAATCGCCAAGTGTGTCTTTTCCATCGGAGTCATCCACACAGTCCATCAACTAAGTCCTACGTTTGCAGGGAAACTTCTGGTGCAGCTTCGTTGACGGTAGCGGGAACACTAGCTATCACTACCAAAACCAGTAATATGATGTCCGAGCCCTGTATGTAGCCGATAGCTGACATTCTTTGGTTGTATAGGAACGGAAGCACTTACAGCCGTCAATCCGACGGCTCGTCGTTCTACAACGACGGGCAAGGGTTTTCTCTTCACACCCCGGCTCCAGCTGCGGTTAACTCTGTCGCATTGACTGCTCAGCCTGGTCCCCAATTGTCTTGAAAGTAAGATCTTATATAATTTTGAGTAGCCTATACTTAGGGATAGCGGCACTCGTCAGATATCTAATGGCTCATTATACGCCATACATCGATGTATTAGCCAATTTATACAGCCCGAAATACGATCTGATATTGGTGTTGCGTTGACGCAGGTATGATTAAAGAGCCTGTCCGAATAATAGGAATACACGGTCCCTTGAAGGATTTGGACGCTAATATCACAAGCTGATGGCGGTACCAGTCGACCTCGGTGACGATCCGGCATTATTAAGTCTGTCAAATCGCTTGATTAGCGCCCGGGTGATGAAGTGGTTGCTTGGGCAGGGTTGCTTATACGAAGCGTACCTAGTCTCGTAAACGTAACGTATGTGGAATCTTCCCTGTGCAGAAAGGGATTGTAGTGTCGCCTAGGATCGCGCGAAAAACCTTGATGACGATTGGTCCCCAGTAAGTTACCAAGGGACTCATTGGGGGGGTTTTTCTCCACGTAATTTACCTGGTAATTTACCGAGTCATGTGGCAATACCAGCATTTTTTTTTCCGGCTTCGCTTCATCAGCAGCGAAGCCTACTACACTACCAAATGATACATTAGTCGCTCAGCTAGAACTCTACTTCATAATTCTCATCGTTTCATCAACTTCCTCCACGGCCACCTCTTTTCCTTTTCCTGCACGCTTGGTTACCTTCAACTGTTCTGCCAGCATACTACGGACTTATCCCTTGTGTCTTCATACAAAGTAAAAGACGAATCGGGAGAACAATAATTTGATATTACACCTTACTTTGCAACTTGTCTTGCCTGAGAAGCAAATTTCATAGACGCGCCTCGCGTGTCGCTCTCATCGTGACCACGTGCAAGGTAACTAACCTACCGACTTGAGTCTAGATACCCTTCCTGGTAATTTACCGGGTAAATTACTAGTAAATTACTTAGAAAAACTATTTTCGTGAAAAACCTGGGCTTTTTCGCGCAACCCTAGTGTCGCCGTCGTCCTGGTGCTGAAGGCCGTCATCCTTGCATCTCCGATAGTGGCAGAGCTTCCAGTCCGGTACCTAGACAATTAACGCGGTAGAATCTTCCAAAGATAACATTCAAGGCCTTGCATCATAATCCTATATTCATGATCATCAGGGATATTGTCCCACCTTAGTTAGCAGCAACAAAAAATTTTTTCTGTTGGCATGATGATATCAAAACACAGAGCGCCCACAACATTGTTGTCAACCTATAAATGGCCAAAAGTCTTTTGGTTCTGGCTTTGGGAGAGGCTTACTACCACCACCACCTGAAACAGGTCCACTTGGGCGCCCTTTGGGCCTGGCGCTATCAAACTGGATCAGCGTTGCGCAAAGCCAAACAAAAGTAGAAACCTACCCGGGGGGCATGGTCGGGGACAATGGATCACTGGGGTCAGGTTGTGGTTCCTCCTCCGTAACCTCTTCTTCTGTCGGTCTTGGACTGTCTTCGTTAGGATCGGCGGTGGGCCCTGGGTGAGGCGCTTCATGGGACGAATCATCAATCTCGTCGGGTTGCTTCCCCCGCTGTACCAGTTGTGCTGGCACCGAATCAAAATTTTTGGCAAGGTTGGATGCTTTCCTATGGTCAGGTGTGTATCAGTAGGCGTGGATGACACTATGACGTGAAAATATGCACTTTGACTCTTCTCGACCCGTTAGGACGCTATATCGTTGGCGGGAATTTGTCTGTAGTACAGGGAAAGGCAAATATCGCCTCAATAGCGCAATAGATCTGATCATGGTAGTAACTGAAGGAAAGTAAAGCTTGTAGAAGTTTATAAGCACGGTACCGAGTGCCTATGATATCATTATAAGAATTACCCTCGCGCTTGATCGGAAATAGATCGCAGTACCTCCTTGATGTAAAACGGGTTTCGGTTTTACAAGGTTAGCCCTTCCATGTTGATGATGCGTCGCCATAGGTCTGTCGATTCCATTAGAATGAATTCAAGTATCTCACTCGATGCCAAAAAGAGAATTGAATATATTACGGCGGGATTATACTTGTACATCAGCGCTCAGAAATCCTCGCCCATGTCTTCATCATCAAGATCCCCTTCTTGGATTTCTTTTGCGAGTTCCTTCTGTCGCTCACGGGCACCTTCAGCTGCAGCCAACTCCTTCCTATGTGCATTCAGAGGGTACCGCATAGCCTAGCATGATACATGGTCAGTAGCATTCAAAGATACGGGACAACCAAAAAATTACCTTCACGCTCTGGTTGTGCAACTCCAGACAGTACCCGATTCGCCTCTGGAACATCTCGCTGACTTCAGGCCCATATACGTTCCTCTGGCTTCCGCACTCCATCCATCCCTTCTCATGCACTATGCGGCCTTCGATGACCCCGTCTCGGATAGCCTTGCCAACAATATACTCCGCGTCTTCCTCCGAGTCGAGATGAAGCTTGACACAAATGTCACGTAGAGAGATACGTGAGTAAGAGAGCGAAAGCCGACGGATGCCAGTTTTAATGACATTTTGTCGTAACCGGACGATGAGAGTGTAAGTCTTGTCAGCCTCAAATCGAGCAGCGTGTTTAGCAAGGGTGGTTTGGAACTGCGATAGCGAGCCAGTACGGACAGCTGAGAAAAAAAGTTGGATCAGCAGGTAGGGTACATGATGACATCGGGAACGAACCTTTGACGATCTCAAAGTAGCCGCCTAGAGCCTTCTCTAGGACGGGATGTCTGAAAAGACTTCGGTCTGGTATATCGCCCATCAGAAGCTCGACGACGACCGAGAGCTTGTGAACTGCTTGATAGAAACCGGGTGCTACCTTCGCTGGCGGTGCACGTCGGATAGCCTGTTGCAGGTTGGTATGGGCTGCACTGTAGTTGAGCTGGACGGCTTTAATTCTGCCGATGAAGTAATGGTATCGAGCGTATTGGGGATTTCCAGCGGACTCGGGGAACGTCGTTTTTGAGACCAGCTTGTCAGCTTGGTCGTACATGCTGTAATGGACGTAGCTACGGAGTAGACGGTTGATGAGGGAGGCTTGGGCCTCGTCATCGTGTCGTAGGGAGGCTGTCCGTTGTGCAGCAAGGAACATTCTAATGGGGCGTATTGATTATTTAAAGAATCAGATATTACACTTGATACTCACGGCCGAGCATCCGCGATTTCACCACCAAATTCGTATGCACGTTCAACGGCAAACCATATCTTGGCTGCAATGGGATCCATACTTCTACGGTTAAGTGCTTGCATCTTCTCCACTGTTTGATGCGCGAGTTCGATAGCTTTCGCATAATGATCAGGAGATTTGAGGAGGTGGTGGATGATGAGCAGACGAAGGTATATTTCGACCTCTGGGACAGGTTCTGGCGGTGGTTTTGTAGGCGTCGTGGTTGTCGTTGAGTCTATTTCCATTTCCTGGTCTGATGTGGGTGCAGGTGGCAACCATGAAAGTAAGGTGGTCTTCACCGACGAGTCTACCATAACATTAAGCGTTGTTTTTTTGTGAATTCGGTCCCTTTCCGCACCTTTGGGATACACTTCCTCGATGGCCTTCCTCAGTACAGAGTCATCCAGACGCTTTCTTAGCGCAGCCAAGGTCCTTAGGACACGATGAGTAAAGCGTGGCTCCAGAGTCGCTACAGCCTTTTCGATGAGAGCAGCATTGGACTTGATTTCAGTGACAGGCGATTCCGGCTCCTTCTTGGGCTCCTCTTTCTTCTCCTCCTTCTTGTCTTCCTTATCCTCTTTCTTCTCTTCTTCCTTGGGCTTAGTGTCGGCAGGCTTCATCTCGACGTCGGCCATGGTGATGGAGGGTGTAGTGGGCGTTTGGTGACGCGTCCAACGCGAGTTCGCATTGGGTATCGTGGGAACATCATGATGCGTAAAAATATTTAAATAATTAAATGCTTACTACTTTGAGTAAGGGTCCTCGTCATCACCTTTACCATCGTCTCAAATTCTGCAAAAATACCACGGTGTTGAATTGGACTGGAGGAGGAGGATAATGTCGCTCTTTTCTCGCATTTGGAAAATCGTTCGTCATCCAGTGAGCGCTAATCACTTTCTCGCGTACCCTACTGAAAAATAATTGTATAGACGGGATTCGTTGGGAAAGATCTCGAAGGCAAGTGGGGCCTAAAATATTCACCACGTCGTACTAGACTCAATTTTTGCACAGGAAACATGTTCTTTGAGCGTCCTAACCTATTGCCAGGTATGTATGCACATTAATATTGATTCACCCCACGGTTTACTTACCCGAACCTCCAGAGGCGCGTCGGACAAAGAGGACGGTCAAATATCGTAATCCTGGTGATATGTGGCTCTATATCGGTGGTCCGAAGCGCTTGCCGGGTAGGTTATATCGACGTCAGGAAATGCCGAGCAGACATTCACACAGAAACTGAATAGTGCAATGGTCGGCCTGGTTATCGCATACAAGACCAGATCCTCCGACAATTCAGGTAATTCACGTTCTGACTACTGCAACTGTTCCGATGCTCATCTTTTTTTCCTCAAGGAACTGCAAATTGACCTTGCTCGTCAGGAAAAAGTGCTTCGAAATGCTGCGTTGATTGAGACTCGAGACAGGGAAGAACATCTCAGAATGTCTTCCGGTCTGGAACCTGGTGCGATTCCGTCTCAGGCTGCTCAGTCCTCGGATGCTCGGTTGAGGCAGCCTCAGTCACCATCAACGCATGGTGAGACTGAATCTGCGTCTCCACCAGCTCGGGAAGAGCCTGTCGCCAGGCCTCTACCTACCATGCTATCTCAGGATAAGTATGAGCCAGAGTCATGGACTCCCAAAGCCCGTCTTCGAGGGCAATAATGGCTAAAGTAGTAGTAGCTACCTTCAAAGCGCAAAGTTATCACTATGTAATGTTATAATGAGAATTATTACCCATTTATCCTATTTCAGGCGATAGCTAGAGGTTCCAGGAATCCTGAACAAGTGGCGAAAAATGTTTGTTCTTGTTGCAGACGCGTCGCGTCGCGTCAACCTTTCTTATACTCCAGCCACCACCATGGCATACCGTCATACGGGCAACCCACCACCCCAGGTTATTCACTATACCAATATGCCTGCCCAATTCCAGCAGCAACGGCCAGGACAGCGCACTCATACCCAGCCCCAGGTTTTTTCAGCTCTACCAGTGATACCCCAGGCCCAACAGCCCCCTCACCAGCAGCGACGGACCCAGACTACGCTCGATACTCATTTCCAGCCGCCAACTCAGACCCTCCAACCGTATGACCAATTCGCGCTCAATGTCACGACGAGAGTCATGGCAGCCGTCGCTCCTGTTTTGGAGGAGCAGAGCAGGCAAATTGTCGGCAGGGTGGACAGGCTGGAGTCGTCTGTTCGCAACACTGTCACAAACATCGAAAAGCAGGTCGAGGTAGCTAATTTGAATTTGGCGAAGGCTTTGCAGGCAGCGCATAATCAGCAGCGTACGGTCACCACGAACGTTCTATCTCAAGTGAAGCAGCTGAATGAGGCGGTGGATACACTCAAGCCACTAGTGAACCAGGTGGATATGACTGTGATGGAGCTCTATGAAAGAGTCAATGACAGAGAAGCTGGTGGTGCGTTTATTATTATGCCCGATGGTGCCTTTAATGATCATTCATCAGTCTCGGAGATGGCCAAGACGCTTGTCCATGAGTTAGGCATCGATCCGTCCCAATGTCGCTTTCAAGACCAAGAAGCGAGCACTGGCGACAAACGAGGCGATGAAGCCTTTTGTTCTCCGTCATTAGACGCACAAGCAACGATGCAGCAACGACAATCGCAGTCGCCTTCAATTCGTATGCCGTCTGTCAATTTTAGCCCCGCGAGATGGCCCTCAAAAGGTATTGAATATATGGCTCGAGTCTCACCTTTATCCGCTCAATTTTCATGCAGAAGGTCCAGGTTCCAGTACCAGTGTGGCTGTATTCAAAGCCAATCTCTCGCCAGCAGGCCGTAGATCGTACTCTATCATCCCAGAGACGCCCCCGGATGGAACTATCTCCTCCTTGCGGCGTGTTAGTCTGGGTGGTGACCCCTTTCTCGAGTCTGACACCCATGTTCAACAAGACCTACCCATGACACCCCCCCGATCCACCTCCGTTGAAGTCGATGCCGAGATAGCCGCTATTCCAGAACCGTTCTCAGAGTCTCCTGATTGGGGCAGCACCGTTGGAGTGGAAGGCACAGCTGAGCCCACTACAGACTTATCTACGGACGAAGCCAATACGAAATCGCCAACTACGTCTGTGTGCGACGTACTACAGATCTCGCAGATGATTAGTATACCTTCCCGAGCCTTTACTGCTGACCCCACGCCATCTCCTCTCACTTCCTTGAATTCGCCCTCACCATTTGCGAGCCCTGTACCTGCGCTCGCGTTTCTGAACACCAAAGTCAAGGCGGAAGCTATAGAAGAGGCAAGTAGTGCTGCGAAAAGTTCACGCAAACCTCGAAAGCGACGACAACCAACAGAAAGTTCCTCGGCTTCGGTATCCTCGACTGGTGCTCCGCCTGCTAAACGTGCCAAAAAAAAGTCGACCAGCGTCCCGAAAAAAATCAAAGTCTTGCAGTGGCTGGAGGAGGTCATTCCTCAAACAGACGTGAGTAGTACTTGAATATCCTTCTGATAGCATGCTCATGATACTATTAGTTTGTGCAATGCGACCAATGTCGATCCTGGTATCACATAGGCTGTCTTGGTATGACCGCGGATGACCCCCGTTTGGAAGATGGTGTGCGGTATGAGTGTCTACCGTGTGTAGCGCCAGCGTAAGCCTTTGATCTCCATTGCCGCAATTTCATGCTCATCTTCACTTCAGAGAACGTGAGTCTAAATCCGTGGGACCATCGATCGTCTTTAACCTTGTTGCCCAGATCCCCGTGTCGGTGCTACCGTCACTACTGATAACGAACCGCAACGCTGTGGCCGCCCAGATTGCCACCAAGTCGATGAGGTGTTCATTGTTGAGCGCATCATTGGAAAACAAACACTTACCGGTGGGGAAGGACGCAAGAATATGTGGCTGACGAAGTGGTTCTCGTAAATTTCCTCTTTTTTTCTTGCAGGTACCTTTGCTTACCCTTTCCGAGGTATCCCGCCGCACAAGCGACATGGGAAGATGTGGAACAAACTGTGACCAACGCATCGCGATTCATTGAAGAATTCAATGCTGCAGCGGTAAAAGAAGGACGTGATGTAGATGAAAACTTTTACGGTATCGTATTGCTGCAAGAGGCAGTTGATGCGGGATGGAAAGATGAGTAAACGAATCGTAAGAAACACTTGAGCACAATATAGTCATTGGATTGGTATGTACTTTATACATGTTCATAATTCTCTACTGTACTACACCGTCGTATCATCTTCTTGAGTGGGTTTTATACTAGGGCTATATACATAAATTTTTGGAACTCAGAGCGTCCGCTCTTTTCAGGACAACGACACTCTCATACCTTCTTCTCTTAAGCCCTGTATTCGAGCTAAAGTGCTGACCTCTAACCCCCCTCCACCTCGCATGCCTGTTCTCAAAAATCTGCTCCGTGTTTGTAAAACGTCCAGTACTTTCTCTTCATCGACCTGATTTCTCGCCGACCAGGTCAACTCGATTCGCTCTAACATAGGAAGTAATCTTTCGTCAATTAGATGCAAGAGGAGAGACCCTGTGATAGTCGATATTCCTGAGAATATGCGCTCGATGGTTTTTAGGTGCTTGGCTTGACTCATAGCCTGCAGGATCCGAAGCATGTCCACAGTAGTGACAATAATGTGCTCAAGAACGAGCTCGGTGAAATAGGCGACGAGAGCTGGCCCACAATGTCGACGTCGGCGTCCTTTCAAAGCCCGGTCCCACTCAGGATCACCAGGCTCAAAAAAAAATTGCCGTCTGCAGTATCCGCGACAGTGAGACTTGTGATGTCCAGCTCTGCTGTTTCGTGCGAAGACTGACGGAATCTCTGTGCTGTCGAGTGTAAGATGGGCGATATTGGGAAGCCTTCAATATGGAACAGATGGCATGGGGAGAATCGTATCCCAACATACGAAATATTTTTATCCGTTCCGGAGGTAACAGGAGGCTATCATGGAACGGAAGGCATCCGGAACCAGTCAGACAAATTCCGCGAGGGGCCCGAGCCTCACGAAAGAGAGCGCAAATTTGAGACGTTTCCTCAAAAAAAAAAGACCTCTAAGATCGAAGCTTTCAAGACGCGAGAATGAGCGTGGGACATGATGCCATCTTCTTCGACTAAGGAGACGTTTAGGTTTACTATGTGCCGAGGCGGTCGGGTTGAGGACTTGTACTGGAGATCCGAAGAAGAGAATGCCGGGGTAGATTTTATTCGGTGTACTTAGTATATCGAAGAAACTACATCCAAGGTGTTTCTATTGCTTCGCTAGATACTGGGAAGAGATATGGGTGGGACAATAATCGAGAGGCGGACTTTTTCTTGGCACAGTAAGCCGATCTCGAGAGTTGAGGATCCAACTGCGGTAGTGTTAACATCTGAGACCAGCGAGCTGTAATATTCTTCGAGTATGTTGTGGGGAATCTTTGTCTGAAGCCGCCGAATGTGGGCAAGATGGCTCTCAGATACAGCAGTAGTTCTAGAAAGCTCGTTGAGTCGTTCAAGCAAGGAGATAAGGCGGTTGACGCCAGAGTCATATTCGAGTAATTTTGAACGCAAATTTGGGAGGATATCTGATGATAACTGCTTGCCAAAGTCTACGCTCTGTATTGCACGACGCAGGTCTTCATGAGGGGAGGCCGAGAATCGACTATGAGTGTGAAGAGGAAACGGGCATTGACGCAAAGAACGATGGAACTGACGTCGTCTCTGGAAAAAGAGAAACGAGAGATCTCAATTAGCCTCGGCCTGGGCAGTTCTACGGTAAAAGCTCACACTGGGAAGGTGGTAGTAGGTGTTAGTGGTTCCATGAGGGCCCCTGTGCACCGCCACCATGTTTTGTAACGACATCATCCCTGAGGCCTGAACTCCCGATCTGGGCATCACCTCCTGCGATAAATTTATGACACTACAAAAATCGCCATTGGTATTGTTTGCTATATCCGTCTCGCAGGTCCCTTGGTCTCGGTTTTATCCTTCCTACAGTCGCCACAAGGATTCAGCCGTAGTGCCTGGGATGCCTGATTCCTAGACTAGCACCGAAAGCCGTACATCACGAAAGATCCTAAGCATATAACGGACTGCATGAGGAACGCTGATCCATACTGATTATGACCTTTTCATATCAGCTCCTCGTCAATGCCTATCTGATTAAATACTCATCTGAGCGAGATACCAATTACCTGGGAGATCCGGAATGCATCACTGCATGGCGTTGGGTTGGAATACAAAATTGAATATTGAAAAAAAAAAAAATGCGAGTCTGGACTGACCAAAGACTGACAAAGACAGATGAGAGTCTTCGGACCGAGACATCCATCTGTTGTGACGTCACTACCACGCCGTTAGCACGTGATGCAAAATTTCGAAAATCCTTGCTCTTCAACGGTGATGGGCGTTCTGGGTTTGACACCTTTTCTTCTGAAAACATGGTAATTTTAATATTTTATTTCCCTTATGGACCACCTACATCTTTATTTTCAGTCCTGAAGTCATTAAAACGCTTCCAAATCGACTCGAAGAACTCAAGGGTAAACGTATTGTTATGTGTGTCATTTTCGACTGTGGTCGAATTATCCTTGACGTACTCCTAGTGATGGAACGCTCATTACCCAGCGCCTGCACTTTGTCCCTATTCCGCATCCATATCGACATGTCTTGGGTTGGTATCGCATCGCCAGAGAATTGCAGGATAATGATATCGAAGCGGTCTGTGTATTTGACGGAAAGGAGCGAAACATAGCGAAAGCCCGAGAGGTGCGTGAATGTCGCGTTTATTCTAAAATTGATCTAATATCCTGGTCAAGTAGGCCCTTCACAGGAAAGAGATGAGAAGACGCGACATGGCACGCGAAGCCTTTGAAAATGAACGCCTGAAACGTTTGGATAGCCTCGGAAGTCTGTTGACAGACTTTACAAATGTACCTTTGGATTCAAGAAAACACCTTTTCGAAGTCATTCAAGAAACACCGCCGTTGGAAGGAGCCCAACCCCCAAAGCTCGAAATTGTTCAAGCAGGTCGGAGTTCCCCCGTCGATTCCTTCGTATTCGCTCATGCGTTGTAAGCATTACAGATGATACTGAAACTGAGTGGAACGATGCAGAGACATTTTCACCATCCATGACCTACGAAACTATTCCTCATGTAACGGAAACCACGCCGGAAGATACATCAGAGAGAACCGAAACATACTCTGCACCTGATATCACACCGGAGCCTCAACCTACGCCCGCTGATACGCGTCCATCGACGTCTGATCTTGGGGTTGTCCGCTCGGATAGTGCATCATCATCACCTGTGCAGGTCAGCGACTGCGCCACTGGAACTTCAGAAAGAAAGTGACTGACATTTTTTGCCATTAAGGATCCTAATGGATCATCAGCTAAATCACAGGGTGAAAGCGTCGCTGATTCCATGATATCACTCTTTCGCAACTTCCGGAATAGCATACCAAAGCTGGCCTCCCTTAACAGAGCTTCTCCTGAAGAGGCGCCGATCGATGAATCGGAAGAGCGGACTGAAGTTTTTATGACCAAGGGTCAGTACGAACTGACCCTTGAAGAAGGAAAAGTCTGGGGCAATCTGGTTGCTGATGAATGCAAAGAGGCCTCCATGCACGACGAGGTGTTCAAGATATATCAAAAGAGCACAGTGCTGTTTGAATCTTACGCACGGAGAACACGTCCACCGACGGCTCAAAATTACATAGAGTGCAGAGAAATTCTCGAAGCTATGGGCATTGCGTGTATCGAAAGCGAAGGTCCCTATGAGGCTGAAGCTCTTGCTTGCGCTCTGGTCTCTCATGGTTTCGCCGACTATGTCGCAAGCGAAGACACTGTATGTGTTCTACTCGTCTACATATGGGCATTTGTCTGATATTTGGTATAGGATGTCATCATCTACGAAGTACCTCTCATTCGAAATATCACCAACCAGGCAGGACCACTTATAGTAGTCTCTGGATCTGATGTCCGTAAAGGCCTACAGCTCTCTCGGACGAGTTTCGTCGATTTCGCTCTCCTCTTGGGTACAGACTTTTCCGAGCGCATCAAGAACATTGGGCCCGTGCGTGCCTACAAATTTATCAGGGAGCACGGTACGATCGAAGGAGTGGTTACAAACGAGACCAAGTACCGACATCGCCTAGAGCCCGATGCATACCTGGAGCAAGTCCGGGTGGCACGAGGTATTTTCGAGACGTTGCCGCCTATCCCCAAAAATGCGATGCTCAAGGGGAAAAGGGACGACAACAAGACGGTGGTCATATTGCAAAAATATAAACTGAGCCGCGAGATTGATCCAAATTGGAATTATTCGACCGCGCTGTCGGGGAATTTCTTCCAGGATAATCCGAGTGCGTTTTGAAGTTGCGGGCATGACTTTTCTGGACTATCTAGAGGTCACATACACTTACATTCCTGTGTCCATTAGATGTTGTACAGATTTGACGCGAAGTGCGTAATTCGTACAGCAGTCAATAAGTCACAAGGATATATTTTGAGAAAAGAAGCAACTGCAGCTCCTAAGGGAATCGTGTCCGTGACGTTAAATTGGCAGATGGCAAGCAACAAATCAGAAAATCAGAATGTGTTGATTACATAGCTGTGTTGCCATTCTGTGCGCTGGGCCTCTGGGAGCGGGGCAGGTTAGAAGCGATGCCGATGTGACCGATGTGTCGGCTCCGGACTCCGATGCATGGTGTGATACCCACCGGCACAGCATGCGATGCAACCTTTTTGCGAAACCACGAATAGGAACCGCAGCTTTCAGTGGCAGTGGGTATAGTCGTGTGACAACAGATAAATCAACCTGCTAAGTCCGTGAGTGAAAGGTCCTGGAAGAACTCGGTCGTACTCTATCTTTGTCCAATTGATGGACGACCGTTTTCCGTCGGCGTATGTATCTCAATCAGCTGACAGCGGTCGCGCCAGGAACCGAGGACGAGGTTATGTGTTTCACCAATGACGATAATCAGTCGGGGCAGTAAGGAGTTTTACGTGGTCCTGATGCTGTATCGACGTAAAGGAGGTAGCACTATGGATAAGTAAAGACTATTGTCTACTCACCGAGTCCGAATGAATGCGATAAAATTTCCGGGGCAATGCAAGCAAGCTGTACCAGTGGTGCCACAATCCTTATCCCGGGGCCACCACGAGAGCCCGTTGCTTTAATGCTAGGGGGCGGTGCTATATGAAATGCGGTGGAACTACGCTGTAGGCAGTTTGTTAAATCAGTCCGACGTCAGTTACAGTTTTGAAATTTATCCGAGTGCGAGCAGTGGTTGGACAGGATGCGGATTTTTTCCCCCGTTGGGCGGTGTTCGAAGAGCGACGGTGGATGATTATGATATGTCTTGAGTCGTCGAACAGTTAGATGCGACGGAGGAAGGACTCCGGTTCAAAATGAAGTCAAGGAGTCCATGGGCGGTGTAGTCTGGTGTAGTCCAATCTTCGATTCAGGTGACATCGGTGCCGGCGTTGCGGATTGAAGAGCCTGTCTTGCATATGATTGAAATCGTCTGTTGTCTAGTGTAGGCTAGGTATACAATTAATAGGTTTAATACAAAGTACATAACTTATACCAGATCATTAGTCTCGTTCCGCGATCGAAAATGGAAGATAGACCTCCAGGAGGAGACCTCTTTTTCGGTTGTAATTATCTCGAAGGCGAGCAGAGCAAGAAGCAGGACAATAGACACAATAACGCCAGAAATCAAACCAAAAAGACGGGAAACAATAATGATACAGTTGGCGACAAGCGCTCCTAGACCCCAAAAGTGTAGGGAAGTTGGAAGGGAATACATCAATGCGACAAGTTGAAATTGGTTCTTGGTAGAATGGACTGATTCGAGATACTGAGACTATTCAAATTGTTAGCGCGACAGTTGAAAGAGTAAATGATAGTTACTCACAGCCTGGTTGGCACTCGCTTTTTCCAGCTCTCTGTGGCGATGGATTAGGAGCATTGACGCTATGAGACTGGCGCTGAAGAATGCGATGGAAACGGCCGTCAACACCGGAAGACTTGGGCCCAAAGCAAGCGGGACGTGAAGACTGAAACGGAAACTTTGAGTGTCGTGCAGCTTGATCGCAGCGCTACGCTTACATGAATGTGGATGAAGTCTGGGTATCACGGAGTTTAATCAGTGGATGCCTTCTTTGAAGAATAAGAAATACATACAAAGAGAACAGCATCTTTCCATTCTTGTAAGCACTTCGACATGAAAGGCCGCCACTGGTCTACATAGACAAGGCGGTCTACGAATAAGTCATCCAGTCGCCTCGAGTAGGACGCCGAATTTCTCAGGGATAGGAAGGAAACCATGCGTTCGAGGAAAACTTTCCCCTCTGGATGGAAAAGAACGGCCTGGTCCCGAGATAGACGGGAAAATTCCTGGCCGTAGTACACCGAGAATCTATGATTACCTGAGACCAAAATCAAAAACAGGCTCTAATGGAGAACATGGTCACTCTTACAAACAATGCTCCAGAGTCGCGCAGTAACACAGGTTTGATGGCCGTCTTCATTATGATCTGTCATTCGGGGCGTCATGAAGGGAGCTCGATGTCAACGGTTTCGGTCCCACCTTTGCCAGACCGAAGAACTTTCAAAAAGGTCGCACATTCTCCTTGTGAGTAGAAAAAGGTGGAAACACTTGAGGTCATATGGTCTGCGTGAATTGTCGGTCCTGGTAATCTGCGCAACGACTACTACATGCTGCTTACCAGCAAGTCCATGGTTGAAGATACAAATGAGATCATCATAACTCTTCTTTGGGAGTCCTCCAATGTGCATGGGGAAATGTTCAACATGGGCCCAGTATAAGCCTTCTAGACAAATTCCTGTATACAACGATCAGACATGCAGTACGTCGACAGTCTTGAAAACCGTACTGAGATGAGATGGTGAGGCCACGTCAGGTAGCCCGAGGGCGTCTGTTTCGGTGGCATCCAACCAAAACTCTATTCTCGTGGCGTGGTCAACGAAATAGTAGGCACAGTCGTCTTCTTCAATCTTGATGAATAGTTCCATGCTGCTTGAGACTTTGATGTTCTTTTCGTCTAGGAGGCTCTCTATCCGCTTGACCCAGAAAGTGACTTTCGCCATGGTTTCTGCATGAAACAAATATGCCTCGGTGACCACAGAGAAAGGAGCAACCCGAAAAAAGTACAGTTGTCCTTCAGGGTGAACATGAGAGGTCCAATGAGGCGGGAGATATGTCGGTCTGTAAAAAGTAGTGGTGAGATAGCTGCATACATCAAGGATCTGAAAATGACATACTCAGGCTCGCGAAACCCTGGATTTATCAATGCTGGATTCAAGCTGACAGTTCTGCAAGAATGAATAGGTACCAGATACATTTCTTGTGAACAGTAATGCTTACATGCATTCGTTGTCGTATCTCCCGGTAGCATTTGAGGTGATGGGCCTCAGAGTGCCTTCTGGTAGGACGGATGAGACGACAAGATTCTTTTCGATACTGAAGAGGGTTGAGTCCATCGCTTAAGATCTTGAGAGCGTTAGGTTGACCGGTGAAGGGATGGTTTATATACACAGGGCGATGTATTTATTTACGTACAAAACAATGGATCAATTTGATCTTGTAAGAGGCACTGTTGCTGTGGAGAAAGAATTTTATCATGATGCCGTAGCGGGCCTGTCAGTGCAGTGCCGCCTGGGACCGAGACTAGAATCACACATTTTCGAGCTCCGTCGGCGTAAGATGCGGCTCGGATCGATCCCTCTGAGCATTAGCGAACTATGAGGTCCCGGGTTCTCCCGGCCGAGTCTAAGTTCCTATAGTCACGTGCATACCGCGAATTGCCGATCCCAAATCGGACTTGGCTCTTTACTGCTTTAGTGCTGAAATGTTACGGATTCATCAAAGGACGCCTTACTCCCATACCGCCTGCGAGTTCATTCTGCCAACTATTCTTGTCAATGGCTGCAGAAGATACGAAGTATGTCCTTTTCCCTGGTTATGCAACGGCTGTACTCCGACTGACACAGTTATCGTTAGAGAAGCGCCTAGCATTGACAGCCGTACTGGCGATTCTAAGGTCTCCGTACAGATGGAAGAGTGGGAGAAGGAAATACAGCTACCAAGAGATCTTCCCGATGATCAGACATCCCAAGAACTGCCTGTCAAAGGTGTCGATCGCGTTGCAGAGAACGATCCTGTGCCGAAAGAAGATAAGGACTCAGAGGAACAGCAGTCGCAAGACGACTCAGACGATCCATTGAGCCCCCCCATGCCCCCTGCGTAACTCCTTAATCTGATTCAGTCTTGAGCGTCACTCACTCGTATCAATAGCTTTGTGTTCAAAGGACGGCCGCTCGGACCCACCGCAGGCGGAGCAAGCCCTAAGCCCCGTCCAAAACCAGGCCCGAGATAGTCGTGACTATCTTATTCTCGATGTTATGGTCTTTCCGTTGTAAATTTGGCTCGTGTTTTGATATGGTCGCCTACAATAGACGCTTCATTGAAAAAAAATTTACCATCTGTAAGAGTCAACAGCTTTTCAATAACCGCGTCGCTGCTATCTTTTTTTCTTAATATTTTTTTATCGTGCGCACACTTGATGCTCTTATCGGTTTCTTTTTCGTCAGTGACACCAGTTCCTACGTCGCAATCGCATGTCGTTGGTAGACGCATTATGAACCTCGATGTGATTCTAGTTTGTTGGCAATCGCTTGGCGCAAAACAACTTCTGAAAAATTTGCAGTTTCTTTCCTATGGGGAAACAAAACAACACCGGCATGGCAATTAGTCCTTGAACCAAGTACACTTCAAACACTTAACATCACGTCAATCAGCAAGCGCTCATCAAGAAACCTGTTGACGCGGCAGTGAGATACCTTCACTATGAGTCCACAGTTAACGCTTTGCCGATGCTAGCGCTACACATTCGTGCGTAGAGTGCCGTCCATTTCTTTTTGAGCCTAACCCATTCGTTGGAATTGTACCGCGGATGTCTGCTGTTATCAAGGACCGCCTTCAACAGCCATAACATAGCTATATTTCTGCCTGTTAGTTATAAATCTAAGCGACTGGACACACACCCCAAATTCTTCCAGACATGGTCCCTAAAGCATTCTTCAAGTCTATCTGGTCTCTTGCCAAAAAGACCGCCATCGATACTCGTGATGACTTTTGGTTGGTGTCTTATTGCATGATTTGAGCCGCCGATCTTTATTTCATAGCAATACATTCATCAACAGGCAAGGATCACCCGTTGACCCCTTGAAACCAAGGTCTGTGTATACTTTTACGATTTAAAACATTTTTCATTGATTAGTATCCTCTTAGCTCTTCCTTCGACTCAGAGTAAGTGTTAAGAGCTGGGTAATTGTTTCAACTATTTTGAACAAGCGCCTGCAGAGAGTTTACTCCTCGCGGCAAGGAGGACAAGAAGTCTGACAGTGCCGTGCCAAAGAATAGTGGCAAGGGTTCCAAGAAGTCCCCTGACAGTACCATGCCAAAGAAGAGTTCCAAGGAGTCCTCTGGCAAGCCTAAGGTAGCAGGATCAGGCAAGAAATCCAATTCCACAAAGTTACCTACCAATGGTGGGCACTCAGCCTGATGTACCATCGAAGGGCGCTCCAATATGAAACATATACGGATTCCTATGCCATCCTCCTCATACACAAACAATCTATGATTTCTTCTTATACATACCCCTTTCTGACGGTGTTTAAATTAGTGTATGCATATAATCTAACCGCTTTCCCTACGTCGTGTTACATTATGGTTGGCATCTACCTTGGTTTTTGATTCATGAAGCGCCTCTGAGAATATGATGCGACGGCGCCAGGCTTCCCAATGCAGGATTCGCATTTCATTTTCATCAGAACACGATCGGGACTGAATAGGACCTCTGGATTTTCTTGATCGCCCTCTGACAGTCTACTTCTCACGCCCCAGTCGCAGTTTTTCAGGTCCTGGTTGCAGAATCGATTATGGTACTTCAGGAGCGTTCAAGCTAGGCATAGTATATGCATACGCACTCCTAGGTCTTTGGAATCTGTAAATTTTTCTTTGCATTAACGTTTCTGTTTCTTATAATACTTGAAAGTCCCACTTCCTTCGCCTCAAATATCTACACAGATCCGAATACGATAATCAGCACTTTCGAGTTCCTGAGACATTCCGTTATCTTGTTTGACCGTTCTCTCATGAATGCTTCCATTCGCAAAGAGCCGATCCGGCTAGATCGCTGCTTATGCTCAATTTAAGCGCCGGAAATGGAGATATAAACTACTGCTAAGCGCCAGTGTTGTATCCAGCTTCTCGCCTCCTACCACATCATAGTCTCCACCCAGACCTCAACTCCAGCCTAGTTCGAATGAGCCCAGCTGTAGATTCAAGGTATTATTCCTTCTATTCGTTGGCGGCAGAAACACATTAACTCACTTCCACTTGTAAGCCCCAGGGAAGAGCCAAAATCCACCGACGATCCCAATGTCGTCGCTCCCACGCAGGAGACACAGGCTGAGAAAGCTACCCAACCGTCCGATGATCTGCCTGTCAAGGAACCGGTTGAAGATAGTGGTGGAGCTCAAGGCCCACTCTTGAAGGATGAAAACTTCGAGTCGGACATGAAGCTCGAAAATGATACTATGTCTGACCCGGACGATTCGTTCGAACCACCTCCACTACCCGGGTAAACTTCTATCTTGTCTTGATCTTTTACGCATCTGCTGACTTCGGAAACTAGCATAATACCAAAGGGACCAGTAAGACCGCCAGTAGCTGGGTCCACGCGGCCCCCTACTGGGAGGCCTCGCCCTCGCTGAGCTACTCCTACACTAGTTATTGGCGTTGATAGACCGATATTAGTTAGAATCATCACTTTTCTTGGGAAAACGTTACTTACCTGCCTGTTGAAACGTTTGAATTAGGTCTTCTGATTAATGTATCCGGTATCCAAGTATATACACGGTCCCTGCATGATATTACCGGAGTTCTTACTTATCGTTGATTCTGGAGCCCCTCGTTATTTAACACTGCGTCCTTTTCAATACCACTGCTCCACCAATTTCAATTCCGTATTCACAGTACTTTTGAGTGTTTTCACTTCTTATTGGATCCGCGCCGATTCTGAATATACCTCTGTCAATGACTCGCTTCCAAGAATGGCCTCTGAAAGCATAGCTACCGTCGGGGATGGCCGTACAAGACCAGCATGGTATTGATATATTGGCGATGTTGGAAGAATAAGAACAGATCCCAGAGAGTAGCATCTAAATTATGGATCTCTACAGCGCCTGGAACAGCCAGGAGGCGGCGATGCTATGAAGTCCAGAAGAGTAAGCTGTGCGGCTGCTACTTAGGTATAGGAAGCCGTCCATTTGAACTTCGCTCATACTCAAAGACCATCTGAAAGCTGTGTGATCGAAGATTCAACTTCGATCGAATCCAATCGGAGTCACCGATCAGTATCGCAGTATCTCGTCTTGATCTCGTCTGTAAAACCGTCGTAGCGGAACCCGGTCGCAAGTCAATCGTCGTGATTCGTGCAAGATAATACTGAGCAGCTATTAGCAATAAGCATCACGAACAATATATACATGCACCCGTGTTCAGTCCTTCGCCTCTCGATTATACTTCAGATGCATTAACAGACGTTTTCTCTGGTTCCATCGAAGGCCTTCGGAGCGGCTAGTTTATGTTACCCAGTCTTTCCGCAATATTATAACACAATGATGCCGATCCCGGCTGGATCGCTTATGTTTCATGTAGGCGCTGGCGATGGAAATATAAAGTACTGCTAGACGCCAGCGTTGAGTTCCAGCTCTTGTCTCTTACCACATCATAGTCCCCACCCAGACCTCTTGCTCAAGCCCAGTTCGAATGAGCCCAGCTGTAAATTCAAGGTATTATTACTTCTATTCATTGGCAGTGGAAACACTTTAACTCACTTCTACTTGTAAGCGCCAGGGAAGCGTCAGAATTCACCGACGATCCCACCGTCGTCGTTCCCACGCAGACACAGTCAGAGAACGTTAATCAACCCTCTGAAAATCTGCCTGGCAAGGAAGCCGTTGAAGAAGGCGGAGGAACTCAAGACCCACCCCTGAAGGATGGAAACTCTGAGTCGGACATGAAGCACGAGGATGATGCTGAATTTGACCCAGATGATTCCTTCGGACCACCTCTGCCACCAAAGTGAGCTTCCGTCTTATTTTCATAATTTATGTCTGCTGATCTCGGAAAGCAGCATGGTGCCAAAGGGCCGGATAGGACCACCAGTAAGTGGTGGTGGAGGTGGAGACAAAAATGATAAAAAGCCTGGCCCTAAGTCTGACACTAAGTCTGACACTAGCCCTAAGCCCAAGCCTAAGCCTGACCCCAAGTCCGACACTAAGCCTGCGCCAGGCCCACGTCGTTGAGCTACTCCCCCATCGGATGTTGGCATAGCAGTCAAAAAAGGTTAGATAACATCTGTTGGACCTAGTGTTTAATTTACAGGAGGATGTTACTCAAGGGCGTTCAAACTGGGTCTTTTTGACTGGTTATCCGGTATTAGGTACAGAGAGAAAATATGCAGTACTGTTATTATTACTGGTTGATATCTGCTACACCGTTCCGTCCGACCGATTCCTTTTAAGTAGTGCTCCACCTCGCTTCACTTCCTTATTCGTAACAACTAATAAACTGTGAAACCAGTGATTCATTAACGAGAATAGCCATGGAATTACGTTAACTCGAGGGACAGCACAAATACCGTAAGGCGCCTTAAAATTGATATATTATTAGCAACGATATAGGAACTTCAAGTGGAATTCGAAGAACGAGAACAAGCTCGATGTCGGAATAGCCTCATCGTCCAGATAGGGTCGCTGCAGTGCCTAAAACAGCCAGAGGCGACAATATAGATCCTAAACTTATAAGCTGTACTTGAGCTGTACGTTTGCTAATAGGTCGTAAGTACAGTCGAACTCGAAGTCAAGGCCGCCGTTGGAAAGCGGTGTGTGATCGAAATTCAATCGAATCTAATCGATCGCCGTTGTCAGCCGATCAGCATGATTTAGACGGCTAGAAAACTATCGATACAGATGATATTAGTTATGCAGCACAGACAATACAATAACAATATATATACGAGTACCTGTCTTTGGTTCGTTATCCCTAAATCATACCTCAGATTTGTCAACAGCCGTCTTCTCCGAGTCCATCGAAGGCCTTCGGAACGGCCAATTTATGTTACTGAGTCTCTCCACGATATTCCAATGTACGGTCGGTGCAGGTAATCGATCCCAAACCTTGCCCAAAAACTCAAACATCAATCCTATACCAACGATGATCCGGCAGCTTGGTTTCCCATGACGTCATGATGCACCAGAGGATGAGAGCACCGATAGCTAACCAGGCGCTACCCACGAGCATTCGGACGGACAAGTTGGAAGCGGTAAGACACATAAGACTGAATGCGACCAGGAATAAGATCATACTAGGTTCGAGTCAGCGCACATTGAAGAAGATTGATTTTAAGAAATACTTACGCCCACATGAGGAGAGCATAAGGCAACCCATACAAGATAGCAAGCGTTTCCAGACCGGTCTTATTGTGCTTTTGTGAGCGAAGAAATCGCCACTAGAACGCATCAGAGAGGTTTTGGGAATGACAGATGTGAGAACTTACTGCATCCCCGGAGGAGTCACGCGCCTTGGAACGATTCTTTCGAATCAGGAGCAAGCCCAGAATGATGCTCCCGATACTTGCGATGATGGAGACATAACTCGATATTTGGGCGGGTGACCGTCCCGCGTTCTCACTGGATTCATCGACACTCTGAATGGCCAGGAAAGCGACGTTAGCGTTGAGTAAAACAGTAGACTGTAGATGCATTAGACAGGTTCTAGGGTCAAATAAATGTCACGCACATAGAGGATGAACTCCTGCCATTCGGTATTGAGCTTCTCGATGAATATAGTCCAGGATACTTTGCTGACGAGTCCGTCGCCCCAGATTTTTTCGAGGGAAGTGAGATGAATGTCGGGTGCAAAAAATAACAATGGCGATAGCAGGGCAACGAGGGGTGTACGTTTGGGTTTTCGTCCGTAAACTGACTTTTCGCGCTCAAGTCGAGCACCAGGCTGTCCATGGAAGTTGTAAAATCGTTGTTGGACTATGAAAATATAAGCCTTGCTTCGACAGTTATTATACTCCCACGGGCCTACCAAAAATGTACATGAAACGACCTGTAGAATAGTCAGTTCACAGAGAACTTGTTACGATGCATCATTGTCGTTCACCTATGCTGCACACTGAACCCGGGTGCCCTCTTTGTCCTTTTTTTACGGATTCTGCGATACACGTGAGTAGGTATTCTAGAGTAAAAACATACATCCTTACTCCTGATAGTATTCGCAAGAGTTAGCATTGGTTCTAGCTCTGTAACACCATATGGAGAGTTTGCCGTTGGTGAAGTCATGGTATCTGTCCAGTCTGGTCAAACATAGCCTATTAAAATTTAGTTGCGCAAAACGAACCTCCAAGACAATATATCAGGATATCCCTGAGTTCGTCAATGATATCTTCAGTCATCTCCAGACACGTGGGGAATAATTGACAATGATACCTAACTAACATGAGCTTCAAATCAACCATCTAAGCAGATACATACCAGTACTGCGCCTCTATTTCGTGACCAATATGAGACTGCTCGGTGACACCGTTGACTTCGTTGCATCTGTCGAGATAGATGGAGTTGAAGTCGTCCAGCCAAAAGATAGACCGATCATCGTGGCTTGCAAAGTAATATGCGCAACAAATATCGCCATTGTCTGGGTCTCGTCTAAGGTCGAACACAAGATCGACATTGGCATGTATGTTGATACCCTTTGCCCTAATGTAGTCCTCCATATCGACCATAAACTTCGTAATGAGTTCCAACTTGTCCGGATCGTAGAGGTTAATATCCGTGAATATCCTAGGTAACAAACATCCGGAGTATATCATGGCATCATGGTAGTTACCTGTGCATGGGGACACCTTCCTCTCGCAAACAAAGTAGCGAGCACCTTCAGGGTGCACATATGTTAACCAACTGTCAGGACAATGGTCGCTATGTTGGTAAATCAGATAAGATGCATGAGAGAGAAGGACGGCTAACATACGGACGAAAAGAAATTGTCAGAGGATCGATCCAGTAGTCTGTCCGACTAGGTGATCTGCGCCACACATGAGCAAAAGTAAGGAGATATACTAGAGGAACCACAGACACGAGTTCTCTTTCATATCTTTGAACTTGTTCCGGCGCCAGGGGCCAAAAGGCAGAATAGGCAGCACTCAACGTAGTGATGTTGCCCAGTATAGCACAATCCAGTGCATCGTACTGTGCAGCAGGCGTTGGCTGAGACTCAGTTACCGGAATTGCAGCACCAGGCTTGGGAGGCGATACTGTTACAAGCAATGAACTTGGTCGAGAGCTCGAGAGCTGAGGGAAAGATGGGGTTATAGGATGGGTATATGCAGCCAAATTGGATATCGAAGGGTTAATAATTTGAGACGACCGTGAAGCATTGGAGCAGGAGTAGGTACGTATAGATCCCTGGTCAGCTGGTGTCTGTGCAATGGACGAAGGTCGGGAACCATGGCGGGGTAGACGTCGAGTCGACAAATTTACGTGGGAGTAGTCTTCCAGATGTATCTGGGAGCGACTTGTCATGGGTGTATTAGGTCGCAGAATGGCAGCGCCTAGAGAGTGAAGTGAAGGGTTTTCGACAGAAATGCCAACCGGAGACTCTGGGCATGGGACGTGGCTACTACACACTACCCTCGAAACTGGTTCGTCGTCGTCCACCGTCATCATAGCGCAATTCTTGAGATCCTTGTAGGTGGATTGAAGCAAGGAGTGGTCGTCAATACCTCGTGGGCCTTTAAATGAGGCACTGTCGTGTCGAATACATAAAAAGCGCCGAAATGAGCGCACCAAGAATGACCAGAACACGAGGATGACCTTCAACGGAGAGCAACCAGCTGCACAAGTACGAAGGCGGTTTCGTAGTGCCTTCAGCAGCAGCCGAAATAGCGGCATGAATCTGCGACCAGTAACAGGGTCGTCGTACAAATGTAAGCTTCAAAGGGCATGGTTCAGGGTTGGAGTGGCTTGCCAGTGCCACGCTCCGATCAAGCGGTCATAAGCAGAAAAAATTCAGTAAGGAAGAAATTTGCTGCCATGGAAGTGCTTACGCCATCCGGCTGGAGATCCGTCTGGGTAGGCAGTCTAAGGACATCAGACATTTCCGACAGGTTGACCGAATCCTGGCGTTAGTATTCTCACCGACGCCCGAACCGCCTGTCTGTCGTGTTCTCAGGGCAAGGCAGGACAGTTTTCTTGGTGGTTTTTTATATATGTACTCCGCATTTGATTTTTTTTTCTGACCTCTGCATTTGATTGATCGCAACAAGTACACTATCTCCTACTAAGACGCAGTGGTAGAACTGCTGCTGAGGTCGCCTTCTTCCCTCTTGTACCTAGTCCTCCCATTCAACAATACAGTTCCTTCGGGTGTGTTGGCGTAGGGTGTCGAGTTTTCTCGGCGAATGACATGCACATAAATTCTCGTAACATAGACAACGATTGATACAGAGGGTAAATCTATCTATACAGCAAGGAAATCGCCATCGTAACATGGTATACACAATCACCTCTCAATCATGCAACCGTCTCCTCCAGATCTACCGCAGAGCCACGGGTTCTCGTCCAATTGAGGCTATTGATTATCTCCACAATATGCACGGACGGCGCACGGGGTAACCTTTCCCGAATCTTGGTTCCAAACGAAGAAAGCAACCTGTACCAATGGTAGTCGCTTTGCTTGCCCTCCCACGGAGACGCGCTGAAACAGATAAGAGCGGTTATCGTTAACCACATGGTACCCATGAGCATTCCTACGGCTACATCGGAAGCCGTGAAGCACATAAGGCTAAACGCCGACAGGAAAGCGATCATACTGAATAAAGGGTTAGAACATGGAGAAAATTGGGTGGAGACAGATACTCACGACCACATGAGTAGAGCATAGGGTATACTGTACATTATAGCCAGTCTCTCCAGATTAGTGTAATGTTGCTTCCGTGAATTAAGGAAGCGCTGCTAGAGCATGTCAGATGGGTTTAAGAAGTGACAAATGTGACAGCTTACTAGGCCCGTTTCGGTGGGTGAATTACTCGGCATCCACCGATTCCTCCGAATCAGAAACAAACCCAAAATGATACTGCCGATGCTTGCGATGATTGAGAGGTAACTTAATACCTGCACCGGGGACGGTCCCCCGTTAGCACTAGAATCATCGACACTCTGAATGGCAAGGAAGGAAACATTGGCGTTGAGCAAAACAGTAGACTGCAGATGTGCAGATGTCAGACGAGCGTGAAGTCCTATAATAGGATTCCCACATTTAGGATCAGGTCTTGCCATTCGGCCTTCAGTTTGTCAACAAAGACAGTCCAGGATGTTTTGGTGAGCATTCCGCCATCCCAGATCTTATGGAGGGAATCGAAATAAATATCAGGTGCAAAAAATAAGACTGGCGATAGTGGTATGCGTTTCGGTTTGATGCCGTCAATAGACTTGTCACAGTCAAATCCGTGGAAGTTGTAAAATCGTCGTTGGACTAGGAATCATAAGTCTTGGCTCCAGAATGATGTTCCTGTGCGCGTACCAAAGATGTGCATGAAACGACCTGTGAATCGGTCAACTCATGGGCCAGTCTACAAAACATAATTACAATTTACTTATACTGGACACTGAGCTTGGACTTTGGAAATCTCCGAAGAGGGAAGTTTCTATGCTTGGGATCAGGAATATGGGACTTGAGAGTTAATAATTTCTGACCCTTGATGCTATTCGTGAGGGAAAGAATTTGCTGTAAATCGCAAACGTCGTAAGGGCAGTTAGCCGTCTTTGAAGTCAAATCTTTCAAACACACCGGTCAATATTACATGCAACACAACTGCAAACTATACCTCCAATGCAGTGAATCAAGATATCTCTCAGTTCGTTGATTGTATTCATGTCCATTTCCCGGCACGTAGGGAAATGTTGGCAATGATGCCTGGCTGCCGTTAGTACGGATAATAATAAATGCCACGACAGAGATACTTACCAGTATTGCGACTCCACCTCACATCCAACTTGTGATGTAAAAGTTATACCTTTGTCGCCATCCCATCTATTAAAATAGGCGGCATTGAAGTCGTCCAGCCAAAAGACAGACCGATCATCATGGCTTGCGAAGTAATACACGCAACAAATATTGCCGTTGTCCGGGTCTCGTCTAAGGTCAAACACAAGATCAACATTGGGATGTATGTTGATGCCCTTTGCCCGAATGTAGTCTTTCATATCAACCATGAACTTCGTAATGAGGTCCAACTTGTCCGGATCGTAGAGGTTAATATCCGTGAATATCTTCGGTAGCAAACATCCAGAAGATATCATGGCATCATGATAGTTACCAGTGCATGGGGACACCTTCCACTCGTGAACAAAGTAGCGGGCACCCTCAGGATGTACATACGTAGCCCACTCATTAGGAACCAGGTCGCTTCACGAGATGCATGATTGACAAGCACGAAAGAAAAAAGACACTAACGCACGGTGGTTTAAATGAGGTTGTCAAAGGACTGATCCGGTAATCTGTTTCTTTCTGTTCCCTACACCATAAGTATAAACAGAAGCATGAAGGTACACTCAAGGGGATACAAACACAATCTCTCTTTCGTATCTTTTGACTCTTTTGACTTGTTCGGGGGCTATTGGCCAGAATAGAGGATACGCAGACATCAATGTAGTGACGTCGCCAGGGATGGTGACATCAGGACCATCGTGCGGTACATCGGAAGGAAGAGGTTGCACTATGACTGTCGATGTTTCGTTATTAAAACTGGGACATGACCGAGTCCCGATCATGGAAGTAGGTCGAAGACGAGAGGGTTGGTGAGAAAATGGGCTCTCGTGTGTATATGTCCCCAAGTTAGACATCGAATGGCGGACATTCTGAGACGACCGTGAAGTATCAGAGTAGGAATATGAATAGGGAGAATTTTGGCCAGTTGGAAGTTGCACGATGGATGAAGGCCGAGAGCCCTGGCGAGGTAGGCGGCGAGTCGACAGATTTACGTGGGCGTAGTCTGCCAAATTGACCTGAGATCGGCTTGCCATAGGTGTAGCGAACGTCGTGACAGTATCCAGTGAAGACCGTGAGCTATTCTCGACAGCAAAGCTGTATATGGAGTCCGAGTCATCAGGCGGAACGACGCTGCGGCACACCACTATCGAATCTGATGTCTCTTCGTCGACGGTGCCATCCACTCTCGTCACCGTGAAATCATTGGACGCATCACGAGGTACGCATGTGTCTCTGTCGTGAATGCGTCGTGCTCGGTCGTGTAGAATACAAGAATACCGCTCAAATTGGCGCCTGAAGAAAGACCAAAGAGCGAGGATGGCCTTCAGCGGTGAAAGGCCACCCATGTGGTACCGAATGAGTCTCTGCGTCGTCCTCAGTAGCCATTGCCATTGTGACGGCGACATAGGTTTTTGTTCGGTGACGAGGGTACCAAGCTAAATACAACTCGCAGGAGAAATGTTCGAAGCGATCATTGAAGTACAGCATTCTGCGAAAAAAGAAGCACAGGGTCGGTGGCTGGGTTGTCAGGTGGGTAAACCACAGTGGCGAGGTCCTGAGATCGAACCTTCGTTTGCGCAACATGCTAAGGATTTTGTTGGATCGGTCCCAATCCCGTAGTGGGGTTTAGTAGGTAGTGGAAAATTCCGAGTCCCACACTGTCCCGGCATGGCGATGCCGAGGTTTGTCCGTAAATGGATTCCCCACTTACCCTTGGTTAATCATCCCTGGAGACCAACAGGCACGTTGGAAGCGACTGTGTCACTGGACCGCCTCTGCTACAGCCTCCACCAATAAAAAAAAAGGAGGCACCGAATTCTGAATTATAACATCGTGTGAAATTCACGGGGGTTCGGGCATAGGCAACTCGGCAATGACCTGTCCCGCCAGCTCCCGTCAGTCCGTTATCGAAAGTCGAAGAGTATTTTTATTGAGGAAATGCAATACGCGTGTAGGGAACTTCCGTGAATTGGTCAGAACTAAGCTGATGTCACACTTCGCCACGTCACTTTCAACTTATCCACTGCTTTGCGATCGTACATTATTTTGTAGGTAGTGATATGACTGAATGTGGTTCTCTAGAGTTCTCTCCGGCTCGACGGTCACGCACAGTCGGAAACATCATGTGTTCTGGTCCCCAATGAGCAAAGGAGTCTAATAAGCGAACGTATCTGAAGCATGCATCCACAAAATGACACAAACAAAGTAAGAGAGAAGGATGGTATTAAAGGATAGCTGGCGACTCTGAGGCAGAGTGTACTGTAGCTGTGCTAGCTCAGCTACTTGTGGCTGAGGTTACTATAAGATTTACTGTACCAAGTTATTTTGACTTCAAGATATCTGACCATACTTTACCCGATCTTCCGGTTAACGTCCTTCAAGTTGTTGCTGATGGAGAATCCCCCTTCACTTATTGTGATCGATCCCTTAGTTCGTTGTGCTGACCTCGTGAAATTCTAGTCAAGCTTGTCGAGGAAATGTTTACGCTACCCTTCAAAAAGTTGTCTATAAATCCATAAGAGACGTACGAGAAAGCTTCACTGATAGGTGGCTTCTAGACTCGTCACTTCATGTCTACTAGAGTGACTGAATCCCGAGGTAATTGCTCTCACCGGCGCCCCAACTGCTCTTAGGCCATCCTCTGCCCGTAGACCTTTCTTGGTAGATGTACACGTGTCACGTCAAGGTACATACACTCTCGCAAGATAGATAACTATTGATACATGAGATAAATCTATACGTACAGCAAAGAGTTCATCATCGCAACATGGTATACACAATCACATACACAATCGCCTCTCAATCATACACCCACAGCCGTCTCCTCTGAATCCACAGAGCCCCTGGTTTTCGTCCAATTGAGGCTGCTGAATTTCTCCACAACATGCACAGACGGCGCCCGGGGTAATCTTTCCCGAACCTTGGTTCCAAACGAAGAAAGTAGCCTGTACCAGTGGTAGTCGCTTCGCTTGCCCTCCCACGATGTCGTGATGCACCAGAAGATAAGAACGGTTACCGCCAACCATGCGCTACCCACGAGCATTCGTACGGCAACGTCAGAAGCCGTGAAGCACATAAGGCTGAACGCCGACAAGAATGTAATCATACTAAATATCGGGTTAGTAAAACACAAGATTAGGCGACGAGACGGATACCCACGCCCACATGAGTAGAGCATACGGTAAACTATACATAATAGCTAGTGTCTCATGACCAGTGTAAGTTCCCCTTTGTGAATGAAGGAATTGCCACTAGAGCGCATCAGGTGGGCTTGAGCAGTCACGGAAGAGACACTCACTGCTTCCGTAGAGGAGTCACTCGCCTTGTTACGGTTCTTCCGAATCAGAAGCAAGCCCAATATGATACTGCCGATGCTTGCGATTATGGAAATGTAACTTGATATCTGCGCCGGGGATCGTCCCGCTTATCACTAGAGTCATCGACACTCTGAATGGCAAGAAAGGCGACGTTGGCGTTGAGCAAAACAGTAGACTGTACATGTGTCAGACGAGCTGGAAAATCTGTCATAGGGTGCTTACATTGATGATCAGGTCATGCCATTCATTATTGAGTTTGTCAATGAAGGCAGCCCATGTTGTTTTACAGACTAGCCCATCACCCCAGATCCTGTTTAGGGAAGCGAGATGAATATCGGGCGCATAAAATAAGAGTGGCGATAGCAAGATGACAAGTGGTGTGCGTTTCGGTTTGATACCGTAAACAGACTTGTCAGACTCAAGCCGGGCAGCAGGCTGTCCGTGGAAGTTGAAAAATCGCTGTTGGACTAGGAATCATAAGCCTTAGCACTAGAATCATGTTCTTGTGCGCATACCAAAGATGTACATGAAACGACCTGTGAATTCGTCAATTCATGGGCCAGTCGACAAAGAATAATTGCAATTTACTTATACTGGACACTGAGCTTGGACTTTGAGAATCTCCGGAAAGGGCAGTTTCTAGACTTGAGATCAGAAATATGGGACTTGAAGTTGTTAATTTTCTTACCCTTGATGCTATTCGTGAGGGAAAGCATTTGTTGTAGATCGGTAACGCCGTAAGGGCAGTTAGCCGTGTCTGAAGACATCAAGTCTTTCAAACACACTGGTCAATACATGCAACTACAACTGCGGTCACAAACCATACCTCCAATGCAATGAATCAAGATATCTCTCAGTTCGTTAATTGTATACACGTCCATTTCCCGGCACGTAGGGAACTGTTGGCAATGATACCTGGCTGTCATCAGTACAGAGATAAAATGCCACGACAGAAATTCTTACCAGTATTGCGACTCAACTTCATACCCAACTTGTGATGTAGCAGTTACACCTTTGACGCCATCCCATCTATTAAAATAGGTGGCATTGAAGTCGTCCAGCCAAAAGATAGACCGATCATCATGGCTTGCGAAGTAATAAGCGCAACAAATATCGCCGTTGTCTGGGTCTCGTCTAAGGTCGAACACAAGATCGACATTGGGATATATATTGATGCCTTTTGCCCGAATGTAGTCCTCCATATCGACCATAAACTTCGTAATGAGTTCCAACTTGTCCGAATCGTAGAGGTTAATATCCGTGAATATCTTCGGTAGCAAACATCCGGAGTATATCATGGCGTCATGATAGTTACCAGTGCATGGGGACACCTTCCTCTCGCGAACAAAGTAGCGGGCACCCTCAGGATGTACATACGTAGCCCACTCATTAGGAACCGGGTCGCTTCACGAAATGCATGATTGACATGCACAAAGAAAAAGACACCAACGTACGGTTCAAATGAAGTTGTCAAAGGACTGATCCAGTAATCTGTGTCTTTCCGTTCCCTATACCATAGGTATGAGCAGAAGCATAAAGGTACACACAAAGGGACACAAACACAAACTCTCTTTCATATCTTTCCACTTGTTCTGGCGCTATTGGCCAGAATACAGGATACGCAGTCATTAATGTAGTGACGTCGCCGGGGATGGCGACATCAGGACCATCGTGTGGTACAACGGGAGGAAGAGGTTGTGCTATGCCTGTCGATGTTTCGCTATTGACACTGGGACATGGCGGTGTCACAATCACGGAAGTGGGTCGAAGACGAGAGGGTTGGTGAGAGAATGGGTTCTCGTGTGTATAATTGCCCAAGTTAGGCATCGAATGGCGGACATTCTGAGACGACCGCGAAGTATCAGAGTAGGAATATGGATGTAGAGAAATTTGGTCAGTTGGAAGTTGCAGAGTGGACGAAGGTCGGGAGCGAGGACGAGGTAGGCGGCGAGTCGACAGATTTACGTGGGCGTAGTCCGCCAAATTAACCTGAGATCGGCTTGTCATAGGTGAAGCCAAAGTCGTGACAGAGTTCAGCGAAGATTGTGAAGCATTCTCAACAGCAAAGCTGTATATGGAATCATCAGGCGGAACGACACTGCGACACACAACCATTGAGACTGGTGCCTCCAACCCGTCGTCAACGTCGTCCACCATCGTCATCGTGAAATCATTGGGCGAATTACGGGGAGGTGTGTATGTGTCTCGGTCGTGAATGTATCGTGAGCCTTTCGCAGTGGTTCTGTCGTATAGAATACAAGAATATCGCTGAAATTGACGCCTGAAGAAAGACCAGAGGGCGAGGATGGTCTTCAACGGCAAGCAGCCACCTACGTGGTCACGAATGAGTCTTTGAAGCGCCCTCAGCATCCACTGTAGCAGTGACATAAGGTTCTGCCCAGCGACAAGGTGAAGGTGCAGAAGCAAGTCAATGCTGTATAGTCATGGTAGACCCTGTACGGCAGCACTGCCACAGAGCGGTGAAACTTTTTGAAGCGATCGTTGAAAAAAAAGCCACCGCGGATCGATAAATGTCTACATGGAATAATCGCACAGCTAATGCTACAAATTTACGAGAAATTTTCTTTGACAGACGGCGAAGTAATTGATTTATGATGTAAGTGCCTCGCCCTGTTCCTGCTTCGCCTTCTTCATCATTTTTTCTGCCAGAGCGACCCAATCCTGAGGTCCATTCTCACCAACACCTCGAACCCAGTCATCAGCCACACCTTCTTTCACAAGGTCAAACCAGACCTTCTTCAGCGTCAACTTGTTGTCGTACATGTCTTTCTCCCACTGCGGAACCACTATTGGGTCTCCTCCGAAGCTCGGAGCTGTATATGCGTACAATTTATCGCGGTAATCGAACTGTTCTGAGCCCTGGAATATGTGCCAGGCCTTCGCAATTGCCAACAGATCTTCGGTACGGAGCTCGGCTCGGATCTGCTCATACCGCGTCACGATATCAGTGGCCTCTTCAGCCAAGTCTAGTTCGAGCGGATGGGCAAATACATGAAGCGCTACCCGTGCTTGGGCTTCAACGATTGGGAACGGGGCTACTTTTAACAAAAGTCCCAAGAAAGCAATCGTGGTTGCAGGAAAGCGGGATTGCAAAGGGAATAGATGCTGTGCCAAGGGGAAAATGTGGTACGTAGAATTGTACAACTCTCGCGGAAGTGGAGGCACTGCTGGCGGGAGTCGGAGTACAAGATCTTCGTCTGAAAAGAACGGAAGAGACATCTCGAACCCCGTAGCGAGGATGCAGTGGTCGATACCAACCTCTTTGGATCCGTCTTCGAAGAGGACGCTTCCGTCAGCTTCGTAACGTACAACATGAGGCCGTACTATCAGATTGCCGTCTTCTTCTCCCGCTCCACCCGTTATGGAGTGTATAAGGATTTTTACATGCCTGCTAAGCTCAGCAGAGATATCGATTCCACTGGGTCCGTTCCCAACAACCAGAATCTTGTCTCCACTGACGTTCTGTGGACGTCGATACCACGATGAATGAGAGGCCCGCTTTTCTTGCAGCCATTTCGAGAGACCGGGAGTGCCAGGATAACGGGGCTTGCTATAATGGCCATTACATACGATGACCCAATTGAAGTCGTGCGTCTCTCCAGTGGATAACATGACCTTCCACTTAGAACTCTCCGAGTCGAACTGCAGTGAAACGACTGTAGTTCGTAGACGGATATGAGTATTAAGACCAAAGTGCTTGGCATATGTTTGGAGATAATCCTCAACTACACGAGCGACAGGATATAGCGGGGTTGAAGGGGGAAATGGGAGACTTGTAAACGACATCGCGGGGTGAGGGAGATTGGTCGTCAAAGAATCATAAATGGCCGAAAGGGGAGGTTGACCGTCCACAGGCTCCGAGGGTTCCCTTTCAGTTCCTATTCGTCACAATGTGGAATCTTGGGGCCATAATGAAGAACTTGCCATATGCCGCCGACTTGATCTCGAGCTTCGAATACTGTGGGCTTGTAGCTCCCGGACTTGTACTGCTCGGTATCTAAGACCGTTTTCAGTGCGGCAAGACCTGAAGGACCTGCACCAATGATGCAGATGGTCTTATCGTCGCGCGCTGAAGTGAACCTAGAAGCTCATTGCCATGAACAGGAGGTGACCGTAAGCATGAAGGACTAACCTGGGAGACCCATAATAATATTTAAATGTCTAATCAGTCGACACGAAAAGAGAAAGGAAGGACTCAAGGCCCTAAAGACCTAGAGGCTCGTCTTATAAGGAGCGGAACGGAAGAATTCAAAAATGACTCTCAACGACCCAAATCGAGGGTGGCCGGTAGTCGGTCCGAAACGCTGCAGCCCTCGGCCGATCGAATCGTGATGTTGCGCCAGTTCGACACAAAATCGCGTCTCACAGGGGATGCAGAATGAGAATTTTCCAGAGTCAAAGGCTGGTTAGTCGAAATGGTCATTACATAAACAAATTCAGCCTCATCTCAGTGGTGAGACTTCACAGAGAGGTCGTAATATATGCTGACGGTTTGAGAATAAAGAGGATCTTGCGGCAGCCTACACCTCAGCTTTGATAAATCAATGAAGCCTCAAATACTGGAAGGAAAATCGTACCTTCCCTGCACCTCCAACTAGTACAGTTTCAGGTGGTTCATTTCTTTAAGATACTACTTTTGAGCGTGAGCAGAGAAATTGCCTACAAATACGAGCAAGGCGACTTTTGCAGTAGGCGTCCAGTGCCCGACAGGTCCGTACACGAGATGGTTGAGTGTAATTATTCAAGATTATTTAAGGCAATTGACAGGAAGCGGCTGTCCGAAAAACTGCGGTTCGGCAGTTTCCGAATGTTCTTCATCTTTGCCGCCGTTGCCAAGCTTCTTCTATATCTCACGCTCTTACAGTCAATGCTCTTTGGTTCTAGCTCTAGCTCGATGTGTACAGCTACTTACCTAATGGACAGTCGCTTGCCTAAGTCTTGGGATAAGTACGAACTGGAGCATGATAGTGACATAAACGTGACTAGAGTTGTACTAAACCACTTCATGCTTTGGAGGCTTTGTATCAGTTTTATCACCCTCAGGGAATTCTTGCCGAATTATACACGGTCTACTGGGATATGCCAATGGAATAATAAGGTCTTGGCCAAATTCACAGCCTCCCGGACTGAGACGGCAAACACGTCTTGGCGTCCATTTATCTACCTTTGTTATTACCGAAGATCCCATCCGGTGCACTGCAACTAGTATAAAAGTATCGCCTCAACGTATGCATGTGATCACTGCGGTTTCGTCATAAAGCCCCTTCTCGGACGGCGGACGCTGGTTTTCTTTCCATCCCTATGACCCACACTCAATGGCTAATTACCCCCCTCCTGCCGGTGCGTCTCTGCTAGAAGATATCTCCCTTTTTCTTTTCTAATACGAGACTATCAGGCCCTCCGCCCAACTTTCAAGGCGGCTATTATCCTCAGGTTTGTGCTTTTACGTCCAAATGGTGTTGTCTACCAGAGGTTAATGCAGAGGATAGCAACCTCCAGTCATATCACGACGATTACACAGACAAGGGGCAGTATTATGGGCCACCTCAGGGATACCAGGGGTATCAGGGGTACCAGCCTCAGCCTCAGTATGCCCCGCAACCCCAGCCACAGACTATCGTAGTGTAGGACATTCTTTATCTACTCGTCCTCCAAGACCTCATTGTCCTCGATAGTTCTCAATAAGAGCGACGGAATGACGATGGTTGTATGGGTGTTTGCTTGGCCTGCTTATCGGGTATGGCATGTTTTTGTTGTTTAGACGGTACGTCTTCGCATATCTAGGTTGAACCTTGCAATAGCTATATTTTGATTTACCACTTATATCCTGCGTAATATATTAAAAAATTGCAAATCTACGTTTTAGTCCTTCACCAGGTAGGAAGCAAAGAGAGCTTTATCTGCTTCTTGCCTAGGCATCGATATATACGGCATATCCGCATTGACGTCAACTATTATCCTCCCTCCTGTCCGTCAATATTCTCTGAAGCCGAAAATGACATTCCCTCCAGTGTACCCGGGACAACGGCTGTCTTAGTCTCTCGACACAGGCCTTCCTGGCAAACACGGACGATAGATGTGATAATTTGGAAGATATTGCGGGTAGCAAATAGTGCACATCAGATTGCCTAGAAGACACGAAATTCCGCGTTTACCATGCGTGGAAGCATGAAAATTCCCTTGGCAGTCCTCAGTAGCATCGATGCAGCACGATAGCTATATGAATACCTGCTTGGATTATCTACCTTGTTTTGTCTCTTGGACGGTATGTCTTGGTATGTTTAAGTCGAGGCCGTGTTAACATCGCATCGCCTCTCGTGCTGTAGCTATATTTCGACATCATCCCCTTCGTGCTTGGAAGATCCAGCGAATATCCTCATACCCCCCTTCGGGAAGATAAATATGCATTTATCGGGTACAAGTTATCATCAACAGCAATCCTTGTCAACCCTGAACTCAAACTTCGGTTTCTGATTTGCTGCAATGTGTACGAGTGAAGACTCGCCGAAACTATGCTTTTCTCGACTGCATTATTCATTGTAACTGTCCAATTGCCTCTTGAATAACGTGGCGACCGTCCGTCCTAAACACGGGGGAAGGTCAGCTCGAAAAGGTATGTAATGAGAAGAAAAAATATTGCCTCGTCACTGGACTGTGGCTGTAGATGACTAGATCTGTCATGAAAAACATGGAGCCCAAATGTCGGAGCCTAGCGAGTTCGACCAGGTTCGAGAGTTTGGAAGACAGTAATGAAAGGTAGAATACGCGGCTGTCAGCTCAGATGCTCCCTCTAATCATCAAGGTGATAAGAACTGGGTATTGAAACTGCACTACCGAATGCCTACCAAGTACCTCAACGGCACTTGATTGGCGTACAATGTGTATGTATAGTACTTAGCGAATAATTTTTGTTCAAGGTAAGAGACCCTAAAGAGAATTACACAAGTATACAGCTGAGAAATATATTTGCCTTGATGGAGGAGAGAACTAAGTAATACACATGCCACCCAACCGTAGAGCATAGATTGTAAGTAACGGGAATGTCCTAACACCCAACAGATTTGATGCAAAGAAAAAGTTCGTCCGTCTACGAAGGAAGGACCATCACGCCAGGACGCGAAAATGTCCCATCTTCCCCTTCGGAATTCAACGATATTGAATTCCCTCGTATACTCCATCGCTGAAATGTTCCGACGCGTACACTGGGAAAGCGTACTCTGAAATATAGTTTGGCGAAGGCTGCACTGAGGAAGTCGGCATCCAGTATTGTTGGTTTTGGACTGCAGATAGTGCATTATTCACGGGTTGCGGCATGCCCGTGTTTAACGCATTCCAAGACGCCGCTTGATAGGTTTGGTACGATTCAGGATAAATGCCAGAGGGAACCGAGTATTGCAAAGGTGCCGTCGTGACGAGCTCGGGTTGGTATTGGTATCCTGAGGGACCAGCAGCATTGTAGGCGGGAAACGGTGTGTTGAGCGTGTTTGCGTTCATCATTGAATCCACGAGACCGGGGCAACTGTAGGCGGGTATGGAACGCGGCAGTGGCGCAGAATAAACTTGCTGGGGATCTTGTTGGTATCCGAGAGAATTAGCTGGCACATGAACAGGAGTGGGTACATTGAACGTGTTCGATATCGCCGGTACGTCCACGATCGAGCCATCGTCTATGATGCCAGTGTGGGAAGACGAAACTGCGCCAAAAGAGTCGTCGACACCTGCTGGGAAGCATTCTCCTTGCGAAAAAATGGGGTCTGATTCGATATCCAAAGGAGGGCCAGCCTTCACTGCGGGATATAGGATTTTCGCTTCTGGTAATATATGCTTGTCGTCGTGTTGCAAGCCACTTGCAGAAGGAGTACTACGGAACTGTTCCGCATCGGTGGATACTGCCTGCGAATACGCTGATACTGTGAGAGGAGCCGGACCTATGTCGAGTGGCGGAGGGTTTGGAAAGGAGGAGTCTTCTAACCGTGTCTCATTGATGTTGGTGGCAAGGGAGTCTGAAGTATACGACGGCGACGAGCCGGAGGATTCCAGTGGCACCGTGCTTTCGAGTTCGTGAGCAGGTTTCTCGAATGTAATCACCGTATCCCACGTTGAGGCTGTCACACCCTTGTGGAACCTATTTTGATGAGCGGTGATGGCACCTTGTGTGTTAGCGCCAAATGTACAACATGGATCCGAGCATTTATACTTTTCTTTTCCAGAGCTGAGAGATCGTGTGATTCAGTCAACAGCTAATATAAGAGATGGAGGGCGTACTGATGCCCCTTGCGGTGCTTTTCTAAATTGCTGGACTGTAACGTCGTAAAGGGGCACTTGCCGCAGTGCAGAATGCTAGCAAAATCCATTGGCACAGTTAAGAAGACAGAGTATAGTTGACTCACTCCTCTTTATCCCTTTTGTGAGTTTTGAGATGACGCTCGATGTCTGCGTCCCGCGAGGTTGTCTTGGTACACGAGGAAAGAGGGCAGCGTGTGCGCACATTCCATCTGGCCATTGCAGCAGAAGGGGATTTCAAAGTGTATAAGTGCGGGGAAGAGGCATGGGACGCGTTCTTCTATCAGCGAGGGAGTGGGATAAAGAAAAGTGGGGGGCTGAACATGGGGGCCTTTTATAGCCCCCCCGGCTGATGGATTGGTTGGGAGAGCCACGTCGTTTTTCGCCATATAAGCCAACTGTGTGGTGTAGTGGCAACCAATTCGCAGTAATAGCCGTTATGGGAAGGTGCTCAATTGGTTTTGGTTCGACCAATTTGACTACCGCTCAAAAAAGAAACAAGATCGCGCCGGACATAGGCGAGGTGCACAGCAATCTACAGGAGTAATACCTCGTAGTTTTTTTTTACCTAGTAAGGTAGGTTCTGTCACCCAGGAGAGTTTGCGAAAAGTAAGTAGCACCTCAGGCTTGGTGGAGAAGACTTTTTACTCGCAGACCGAAAATTCGTGATTTTCAAGTCAGTGCCCAGCGCTTGTCATCATAAAAGCATAGGATAGTGAATTCCCAGAAGCGGGCTCCAGGCCGGCAGTTTCCAGCAATCTGAGAAGAAACAAACCAAGGAAACAAGAACGATCGGTGAATGCCGTATCGAGGGCGTTACATAAGGAGCGCGACGCGTTGTTTGGCATATTCGTCCAGTCCAAATTTCCTCCTGTTTGTTTACTCCCATTACTACTGAGCAGAGGTTTGAAGACCACAAGGCTAATCGGACCACGATACTCCCGTTAATTGGAATTTTCAAACCCTGAATGCAATAGCCAGGAAGCCGACTATCTGCTGTGCACCCGCGGTGCCATTTCCTGTCTATTTTGGACTTGTTTGCGGAGCGAACCCCCTACGTATTCGACAGTAACAAAACGGCCGGGTTCCTTCAGTAACTATAAGCAGTTTGCCAGCTAGAGACGGAAATTGGAGGTGATAGTGGTATATGCGTAAGTGAACATTCGTACTTGTCTTCCCTTTTGCTGATGGGGATAGAGAGCTGGATAGAGTCATTGCAGAAATCGAGCGATGATGATTTGGCAGTAATATATAAAAAGACCCGAGGCTTATCAAAATCAGCGACGAGGACGGGAATGATGCTGTTCAATTACGGACGATAACGACATTTGGGGTCAAGTAGAGGCACGTTTTCACAACTCTATCTTCTTCCCATTCTTCTACTTACCTTCTCTATAGATGAATACCTCCCGCAAACGAATATGTATAATTGGCGCGGGTCCGTCGGGACTAGCAGCGCTGAAGGTTATTCGCGATACAGAAGAGTTCGAGTCAGGAATATGGCTTCCAACCATTTTCGAAGCTCGAGACAAGATTGGCGGAATATGGTGAGTTCATGCCTTCGCAAGCGCTGTGGCCTTCACCTAATCGCATATGCAAGGTGTCCCGCACTTCCCATCGATAACCCTCCTCTGACGCCTCTGTATGACTCTATGACCACAAATATCCCTCATCCCGGTTTGTTTCCTCTTCTTGTCCTCGCTGATAGTTTTGATCATTTTATTACCCAGTCATGGCTTATCCCAGCTTCCCCTTTCCGCCATCCACCCCCGTATTTCCTCCCGCTGCAACTGTTGAGACTTACCTACACGATTACGCCACTCACTTTCAGCTCATTCAAAATATTCGGCTAAACGCATGTGTTGAACATGTCGAATGGAACCATGCAACGTGGTGTTGGAATATCACCGTGAAAGGCGAAACACTTGACTTTGATTTAGTCGTCGTTTCGAACGGACACTTTCGTGTACCTCGATATCCGAACATTCCTGGTTTGACGGAATGGTTGAAGAACGGGAGGGCCTCTCATTCAGCTTGGTACAGAAACCCAGGAAGCGTAAGGGACACCTCCACGGTTGCTGTAGTAGGCTCTGGCCCGAGCGGTCTTGACATAACTGCAGAACTACATGCTTCCGGAATAAAGATTGTGCATTCCGTGAATAATTGCGTTCCGGAAACAACGGCAACTTTCAAGAAACGAGGAGCTATCACGCATTTTGGCGATGGAGTAACGTTCGCTGATGGTACTGTTGAGCGCAACATAGATCATTGCATCCTAGCCACCGGATACCAGATGTGTTATCCCTTCTTCTCTCCTGCTACCCTGCAGAATGAGTCCCCTCCCTTATCACCGTCGAAGTTATACAACTCCTCATACCACGTTTTCCCTCTTGCCAAACACATCTTTCCCCTTCGAGGAGACTTCCCACATACCAGTCTCGCTTTTACTGGCCTCATACTCCGAGGAACTCCATTCTCGTTGTTCGAAGCACAGGCATATGCCATTACGCGGGTGTTCCGGGATCCAAGCAGCACCGACGAGAACAAGGAGATGTCAGAACTTCTCGAACGCCAGTTAATAATACCTGCTCAGGATTGGCATAGGCCAACGGAAGCTGAAGCGTTTGACTACCGCGATGAGCTATACGAGTTTGGAGGAGTTGGTGTTAGGGTGGAGAAATGGGAGAAAAGGATGTGGGAGTATAAAGTGGAGTTGAGGCGAGAGTGGGTGAAACTTGTGCGGTCGGGAGAAGCTTTTTCCTTGGTTCAGGATGTTGGCCAAAATGGAAATCATGAATGGGTGGCGCTTCTTGAAAGCATTCTTCAACGAGCATCAGCTGGAGTGTAGAAGACATGCGGACTTTTTATCTCAACATAGTTTCCCGTGTTAGTCCCAGAAATGATGATCACTATCAAGTGCCAAATACAAACTCCAACGTGTTCTTCGCGGGTACAAATACACTGGACGCCGTCATCAATCCTTGAGCCTATTGAAGTTCCCAGAAGCAATCAAGCCCTTCACGTATTCTTCCCCATTCATGTCCTCTCTGTCCGTCGAACGTGATACATGACCCCACTTCTGTCCCTCCGATATCGTCTTCTGCGCCTGCGTTTTGACCAGGAAAAGAGACTCAGTTCCGAACTGGATTCGCAGCGGCAACTCTGGTTCATCCGCCAACTTGTACAACGCTTGTCCCATACGAGCAGCGCTCCCCAGAACTGGACGGTCGCTTTCATGGATTTTGCGGAACATGTGGCACGGATTTGTGTCGTCCGTATACGCAGGATGTGGCGGGATATGGTAGGCCGAAGTACCCTTCCATTCGCTATCGAAACCTCCAGGCTCGATGATAGTGCCTTTTATATTCCACTTGGGGTCCATCTCTTTCAGGAAGGACTCGGTGAAAGCTTCCAGCGCTGAAGTAACATGAATAAGTGAAGCCCTGCAGCTTTTGCATAAATCATACTTACCGAATTTACTGGAGCTGTAATATGCGAGAGTAGGATTGGCCATATAACCACCTACGCTGCTGACATTGAATATCCGTCCACCTTCTCCCTTGGGATTCACTTCTCGGAATACTTTAACAGCCTAGAGTACCTTTCAGCGATCAGTCCACGCAGAACAAGTCGCAACTTACCTCTTTCATGATATGTACTGGCCCCCAGAACTGAACCTCGAACTGTTTACGTGCATCCTCGTCTGGAATCCCCTCTATTTCTCCAAAGACAGCGTATCCGGCATTATTCACCACAACATCCAGCCTACCAAATTGCTTCACGGTCCTCTCGAATGCAGATTTGATCTGCACCTCATTCGTTACGTCCAATGGCAGTATGAGGAGTTGAGTCGTGGGGAATTTATCCTTAAGATGATCAAGAACCTCTGGTTTACGAGCGGTTGCAACGACGCGCTCGCCGGCCGCAAGGATTACTTCTACAGTGGCTTTACCAAGCCCGCTGGAAGTACCGGTGATGAACCAGACACGAGATGTGTTAGACATGATTTGCAAGGAGAGCTGTAGGTGTGTATACTCAAAGAAAACTTATATAGGAAACAAGCTCGGCGGGACGCGTCAGCGTACGGATACTTTCCTTCCCGCGTCATACTTGCGTGGTCATGGCATTGAATAATTTGCCGATGGCGGCGTGGAGAGTCTAATGTTAGCACCCTCCTGGTTACACTTTCGGCTTCCTACGTAGCGTAAAAAATTAAATTAACCAGTGGAAGTAGAATTATAGCAATTTTGAAAAATGATGAGATTCCTGAAAAGAATCAAAAAGTTTTGGCCACGCTAAAAGACCTCCGAACCCGCACCCAGAGGCTTATGACGATCGACGTCATAGGTTGTCTCAGATGGCGCGCGCGGCTGGTATTTGATAGTTTTGGTCGCGCCAAAACTTTTTTATTTTATTTTGAGAATCTCATCATTTTTCGAAATAGCAATAAATCTGCAACGCACGCAACTCATTGGATAGCCTGGGGATCCTTAGGATAATCTTTGCTCCTCTTACAACTGTTTCACTGAATGACGCGTCCTTGCCGGTACTTCATGCCGATAATGATATAAGCTGATTGATCCTGTCTACCATTTGCATGCCTAATTTTCAGGGTGCTAACGTCGCGTCGTTGGTACTGCCCGGGAACAAAGCCTGCTACGTTCAACCATATTATATTGTATGGTACGTTATGAAGGTTTACGAAACTGCGCGAATGTCTTTAGGGCTTTTTGGTATAGGGCGTCTAGTTCCAAAGCAAACGTCATCCATGCTTCTGGTTCCTCACGGGCAGAGTCTCGCTCAGCTGTTATCTTTGCTACCAGCCTTTTGCAAGCATCATTCTGGCACTCCTCCAGCAGCTTCTCGTCCTCGTCATGGTCTGGATGACCGTGAGGCCTCGTAGAGTTCATGTCGGGTTTTCCCCTATGGAAAAACTCGTTTGCTAGGGTTGGGAATGATTGCTCTGGAGGATCTTCCGGTGACGGTGTAGGTGATCCGTGTATGGTCAACGATTTGTTGTTGAATGCAGGTAGAGGGTTGGTAATCATGGACGTGTTCTTCAAGTTTGTTGTCGGTTCGACATCGCTGTTTCTGTCCAGAGTCACTCTGTGCTCAGGCGGTGAAGCTGTGAGCGGAGTTTTGTCTGGCACCACTTGTTCACGTTCCGAAGTTGATGCTCCGAGATTAAAGAAAGGTGGTGCTGGAGGGTGAGAGGAAAGTCCGGGCTTCAGAGGAACTTTTATCAGGGAAGGCGGCTTTGGTGTACTTGATCTCGTCCCCACCGATTTCACAGAGTCTGCGACCTTCTGCAAGTTCAATGTCGATCTGTGGTATGTTGCCGTGTTTGAGGTTTCTGTGGGTTGCTGGAGGATTTCGTCTTGTGAAAAGCCATCTTCATCTTCATCCATATCCGTATTCATATCCACCTCGAGGTGGCGTCTTCGTACTGTCACTGGAGACTTCGAACTTCGTTTTCGTTTCCGCCCCTTTTTCGTATCCTCGCCGCCAAATGTACAGCGCTTAGCTTGCAAATGGCACTCCCGGCATTTTGAATGGTCTTCAGAGTTGGGCCATTGCACGCAAGTTTGTGGCCGCAGGTTTTGCACTTGGGAAAGGGAGCATCAGCTATTTGACATCTCATCTGGATATCTGAACACTCACTGGTGCTTCTGCTTCTGTAGGAATCAAATCCCAATTTGAGATGTCAATTTTTGATACTTTGGTCTTCGATAGCGTGCGAGACTGGCCACGATGTACATTCAAGAAAACCAGCTGGCACCAAAGTTCACGCCCGAGTTTCGTTATAACCTTGTCTCTGTTAGCGGGGCCCAGGTCGATGACCAAGTCTCGTAATTCGGAAAGCCATTCAACAGACGGCTGTTCTGGTGGGGTAGAGTAAGATAAAAACTGTAGACACTTCATTAGCTCAATCACATTGATCGCTTATCGACTCACCTTCTTCCACAATTCATTCTCATTCGCCTTCTTTTTGACCTTAGGAGGGCCAAAGCGTAGCGGTCCCTACAAAATGAATAAGTGATTTAATGCCGGCGAAAAAGGAAGGGCATGAAACTTAACTGCTTTGGATCTGGTACTCTGCACGCCCTTCGTGCTTCCTGTCTGTGTAGATCCTGTTGACGGTCTCTTTCCCACACCAGGTTCAATGCTTTGAATAACATCCGTGTTTGAATCGGCGCCAGGAGTTTGTATGTGTACGAGTTCGGGGGACTCGGAAGGCACGTCCCAGAGAGCATGTCCCTGCACCACACGAACTGCATCTAAACATCGTACTGCCTCCGTGACTACATTGTTCTTGATGTGATGTTTCAATCGATGGCTAGCCTCGGAGCTTCGAAATTTACCTGAACAGCAGTGACCAACTCCCATTGTGCCAATGATCTATTTGATTCCAGTTCCATCCTTTTTTCAACGTAGTCCTTGATGGCGTCGTTGATCCTGTCAATATCACTGGACTTCGTGTCACGCTTACGCAAACCTCGTATCATAAGTTCATCCGGTCCAGCCACAACCGAAGGTTTGGAGTTCCACCGCGTTTTCAACGACGTCGGCGAGAGTAGACATGGTGGTTAGGAGTGAGCCGCCGCATTTGTTATGTTGTCGGAAAATAATAGGACCGCTTTGACTTCGACGCCATGATCCGTGCTGTCACGAACGACGGGCCTCGAACGACTGCATGTCCAGTGCTTGCGATCAGAGATAAATTACGAGAGGCTGATACACTTGCTGGGAAAATGCCTGAAAATCAACACCATCTCCACCCATTGAGAGAATGTCACCCTTACATAAACTCACCAGGATTCGAAGAAAGATACTCTGTGAAATTGTCACCGCTGGTTGCCTAGAACGACATAGTAGCGAAAGTCAAGAGTTAAATAAGTCACCTTCCCACCCACTAGATCGCGTATTTATCATACTATCACTTTTACGCAGATATGCCGATAATCATAATCAGCGTCAGTTCACGTTCCACACCGGTTGTGAATCAAAACTCGTTAGCGCATGTACAGTCACAATTGGCTACGGCACACGTCGCATGAAATTGACCCCCATCCTCTCCAAAGAACCAATTAAGAATATGTGAGGCATGACCACCATGCCTGCACGTCTGACACATAACAATAGCATCATCGATAGTATCTGCCCAACTAGATGAGTCCACATTCCAGGTTAGCCAGCGTATACACACACCTATATATTGAGTCTGCGAACGCGCAAGCTCCACATCCCGAGCGCCATCGGGAATAACGCTCAGAGTCATCAGACAAACAGAGCATCGGGGCAAGGACCGTCCACAATGAGGACACGTAGCCTACAACAAAAAAGGTTGTCAGTCCCAACACACGCGCCTCTTGAGAAAAAACAATAACCTTCCCGCGTCGGGCACTCTCAGGTCCCTCGTCACTGAGGTGCTTATTACAATAATTACACCTAATCAAAATTTGCCTAGGCACCCATTCACGAGGAGGTATACACCCATCCTCAATCGCCCCTTGGATAATCTGCCCACGGAGGATATCAAAATCCACCCGATGGTGGAAGAGCTTGAACCCGTCCAGAAGATCGCGGTACGCATCCAACCACCGATCAACCCGTGCGTCAGAAAACTTGGTCGGGCAGACATAAGATGCCATGATAGCAGCAGTCTGTATATCGCCGGACTTGTCCACATAAGCTTGGAGGAGATCTATCCCGGCTTTCGTCAACCCAGTGACGATCATAGCGTCGATGTCTCCACGGACCCTCCGTTCTTTCACTCGTCGCAAGTACGAAGTTAAAGTCTTGTCATCGAGAAACTGGAAAGCGATGGCTAGACGTTCTCGGAAGGGCAGGACCTCCTCGTCGAGAACCTCGCGCCAGTCACCCAACGTCAAGTGAACGAGCATAGCTCTGAAATAGGGATCCTGCAGCTTGACGATTACACGTTCTCGCAGCTCTGAATGTCTCAAAGCAGCAGACGATCCATGTGGTGTTAGAGCCGCGAGAATTCCGGACATCATATGGTGACTCTCATCTATGTATCATAAGCATGGTGCTCGTGAACCAACAAATGAACCCAGCACCAACCTTCACTTCGCAAAAGCAGTTCTACTGCCTTGGCATAATGTTTGGTGAAGACCAGCCAACACGCTGCTCGCGATATCTTTCCGTCACCCTCCCACCTGCATACAAGTCAAAAAAAAGGGGGAAGACCGAAGAGCAAGAAGACAACACCTCTTAATATCCGCCATAAGTTCCTCCTCCCTAAGACTCCAGCCCGTCAACTGAAGAGCTACTTGTCGTTGCAACAACTTGGAAGTCATCACCACAGGCTTCCACCTGACCAAGTCTAGATCACTACGGTCCAACAACTCCGAGAGAGCAGCGAAGAAATTCCCTTGTAAATCGACTGCTGGAGAAGCAGTACGACGACCTTGATAAGAATCCGAAGCTTCAGCGACGTTCAATGTATTGCTATAAGCCGGAGCGCCCTCATATGATGATGTGTGCATAAACGCCGGGAACCCTTCCCAAATGCTGAGTAGCCCCTCGTAGCTGAAATCAAAACCGTGAAGCTTTGATGTAGGTACGCATAGAATTTCACGACTATCTGTATCAAAAGGGTTAGGCAAATCCTGCGCGGTTCTACGAAGAGGATTATTTACATGATATCCACTTCCACACATCGGAAAGCATTTGAGATGAACCATCATACGGGTCATGGTCGTCCTGGGCTACAAGGGAATTGTGATCAGGCTGCAGAAACAATAAGCGATGTAAGCTTTAGATGCAAATAGGATTACTGACTCTACTGAGGCCGTACCCGTCGATTGCCCGTCGCCGCATCACCATAGAAATATCAGCCTGAATCACCGCCGCTACGCTCTTCAGAGGTTGTTTCTTCCCTCTGCTCAAGCTGCGACCAATAGGATACGCACGACCAGTGGCGGGGGCGGCCAACTTGTCCGAGGTTCCCCCAATATCATTCCGCGGTCTCGATAACGAACGTTTCAATGGTCCACTATTTGCTTCCAAGTGCTGATCATGAGCTCTCAAGGACGCCGGACTAAACGATCGCTTTTCAGGTCGGGTCGCGGCTATATTGGCTGCGGCCTTTGTAGCAGTTATACCTCCTGAAAGTGGGGGGAAACCATCTTCATCTCCACGGCCGAACAACGGTGGGGTAGCACTAGATTTTTCAGGATCAGGCGGTATGGTTCTCTCTCTACCCCGGCGGGATTGCGAGCGCGAGGGAGGGTTACTCTTTATGTGTCCTTCAGCATCATCCTTGAGGATATCCCAAGGTTCCGGAGGGGTTTCGACGTCGTTGACCGCCGACAGAACGCGATAGGAAAGCCCTGCAGCCTATAACAAGATCCCCACGAGCACTCCAGGACGTTTGCTTCGGTGTATCGTACACGGCGTGAAGCTCCAAGGTCTCCTTCCTTGTTGACAACCATGAATGTTGGATGAAAGAGGATGCGCAGAAGTCGAAGGAACCAAAGCAAAGGACGCCAACGGTCGATCAAATGACTTGGCTTTGCCAGAAATAAGACGAATGACGGCTGAAATGCTAACGAAGGACGACTCACTTTGGTGGGTATCATACAAAATTACGTTCGCCTGAGACACTGGTTCTCTTCCTGATGGTACAGCCGCGTCTGTAGCTGCCGTACCACCCCACGGTAAATTAGGGCCACGATCGCTTCGTCACCCGGCTCGAGAGTGCCGAATCTCGCGATTTCTCTCCATCGGAGGATCCGTCATTCGTTGTTTGGGCTTGGGCCTCCATGATATCCCACGTTCTGACTCTCAAAGCGTTTCTCTCCAATGTAGCCAGGGTCCCCCGTCTTGTCGAGGAGAACTCTATGGTGTTATAGGGTTGAGGGTAATCCCTAACGGCACCGTCAGCCCCGGACGCATCCCTCTCAGTGAATGTGAGGAGGGGCTGGTTAAACTTTCTCGTGTCCCACACAGACACGAGACCTGTCCCCAAAAGTGGCGATGCGTCTTGGCTCGAAAGGATCTGTTGCGATACCGTAAACCTTTGGATGCAACGTTTGTCGTCGCAGGAGTAGGCGAGCGCAAGTCGAACAGCCGCAACCACCGTGACGATATGCTAGCAAGGAGGAGAGTGGTGGAATTCGGTAGAAACGAGAGGGCAGACACGATTTCAGCGGGGCGTGCTGTTGCAGGACGCGCGCGTCGGTACGAGGTCCAAGCTCCTGGACGAGGAATCTGCGGTTGGGGTCCTGGGCGCAGAACTAGACAGGTTCTACTGGATCCATAGGCAGAGCCAGGCTAGGGAGGCTGCTAGCGATGTCAGTAAATAACGAGACTGCAGTCTCCACGAGCTTTATCCAGACCAGACAGCGAGATAATTAGGGATCCGCCGAACAAAATGACAGCGCGTTGCATGACCGGGCGTTCCTCAGCGGGAAAGAGATGGTCGGGCCCGTTGAAAGGACATTGTTCCGGCGCGCGTATTTCGATGCTTCCAGTCGAAAAAGGTCGACACGGCCAGAGCTGTTACCGAACAGCCTACGAGATCGTCGAAAATACGGGTCTGGAGACCAGGCAAAGCACTAAAGAGGATTACTCGACTGATATCGGGCGACCAAGTGACCTACCTTCATGTATTGGAAGATCATGCTGCGACGTGATATGTCGGATTTCAGGATATTCTTCCGTCCACTTCGTACAGTGTTATCTGGGATCCTCCTCCGACAATAAACTTATTTCCCTGTCGCGGATTCCATAACAGACGCTTTTCGGACTGCCAGTTTGAAGTGACCATGAGATAGGATGTTCTATATGGTGTAGGGCCCGCATCAAGGCGAAGCTGGGGCACAATAGCCGGAAATACAGATGAAAGGAGCACTCGGCAGTTGAGAATGTTTGTTTGGTTCTGTCTGTCTGCGATTGCCGACCAGAAATACATTGTACAATTTCTCCTCAACCGTCCGACGCGCTCAACACCGGCAGGCTCTGATCATAAGTCTCTCGACAACAAGGGTTGTTAGTTGCTGCTACTAAATTTCTGCGTGTTCTTGCATTATCTTTTCTCTCTCTCTCTCTCTCTCTCTTTTTTAGTATAAAAGTCGTACTTGCCGCATCCCGTTTGGTCATTCATAGAAGTAGTTGGTAACGATAAGAGCATGGGCGACTCAGAGCAAATAATTTGCCGAGCTGCAGCCCTTCTGCGCCTACCACATAAAAAAACCCTTCATGTCCTGAGGTTTCGTAATAGCAAAAATATATAGGACGCGTTTCTGATCATCATGTACTTCAACTGTGTAGCAATTGACTAGTGTCCAATAGTCCATCCACCCGCTCAGTGGGGCGAGATAACTCTCAGACACTGAGACCAAACATTATAGCTATGAGATTGGCGCTCTAGCGGACTGAGCCAGGTCCCCGCCCTCGGGCACGGGCCTCCCGACGGGTATAAAAAGGAGCCGTCTTTCCGAGCCGTTCGCCCCTTTCTTTCCTTCCTTCCCGCCATGATCCAACGCCAGGGTCATCATAACGCGACGCATCAGGCTTGCAATGTGATGCAGGATGGACGTGTTTGTGTGCATCAGCCTTTTTTCACCAATAACGCCAGCAATGGTAGGACAATTCGCTAGCACTGTTCATTGACTACTACTATACCTATATATCAGATACAAATTTCTGTGACTATTACTGACCACCAACCAAGAATTCTTCCGGCCCCGACGTTCCCACCAGAGTAGAAACGACAACATCCATTCCTTCGTCTCTCAAAACGCACATCCGCCTACACAACGCATCCAGCACACTGGCATTCTTGTATCCCTGCAGCTCCCAACCTCAACCTCCTCAGCCTCACCCCGCCCCAAAACCCCCACCTCCGCTCCGCCATATGCACAAGCTCCTCACCCAAATACCGCACCTCGAACGTATTCCGCATCTCCAGCTCCTCCAACCGCCCCACGAACCCCATATCCAACATCTTCACCAGCATCGCCATAGTCGCCTCCATCTCTGCTGACCACGAGTCTCCAAAGGTCAGCACAAGGCAGGCCAAGTTGGGGAGAGACACGAGCATATCTATGAGTGCCTGGTTGGGGATGGCGTACTCGAGCACAAGACGCGTGATCCCGTCGAAACAGCGCGAGTGGCGCAGCATATCGTCGAGGGCGGGAAGCAGGGCGGTGCTGTACCGACGACCCGGGGTGCCACGCCCGTGCTCTGGAGGCCCGATGTGGACGTCACGCAGGGCAGGAAGGACGATGTTATTCAGTATAGTGGGGTTGAACGTTCGTAGGGTGTCCACAAAGGGGAACGTGATCCGCTCGCCAATGGAGAGCGGGTGTTCGCGGCGGTACAGAGAGGAGAAGGAGAGCGTCTGGAGGACAGTGGGCTCGAGCGACGCGAGGTACCGAAGTGCGTAATCCTGGGAGAGGGTGGGCACGTTATCGTACATCTGGACGGACACGTGAGAGAGCGAATTCCAAGGCACAGACATGCATGTCGGTGGAATCCCAACAAGACTGAGCGAAGTTAGACGGGGACACCACAGGGAGATATCGGGCCCATTGTACGCTTGTTGCGCCCACCGCTGTTTCGTTTGGAGTCGGAGGGATTCGAGGGCGGGCAAAGGAGGAGGTGGGTATAGCAAATCTACCACAGCACCTGGCGGAATCGATAAATTGGCGCTGAGCCACCGAGGAGATTCATTGAAGAGCATCTTAATAGCGTCCCAGTTGCGCGTCTGTGAGAGCATCTTCCTCACTGATACCATCACCATGTGTCAGCTCGAGCGTGAGCGAAACATCGAGCAGTCTGTTTCCAGCACGTTCAAGCACTTTTTGCAACAGGACCGGGAGGTGTTGGCCATTCTTGGTATTGTGATCTGAAATGCCAACTGGAGATCGTAGACCACAGCTCTCTACACGCCAATGCCACGACCCGCCAGCTGTGGCAGACGCTGCCGAGCGTCCCAGGCTGCTTCCTTCACCACACTCTCCCTCCACCTCCGAGGCGCGAGCCACATTCTTGAAAATATCCATGAGGATCTCTGATGGCATGGCACGTACGGGAGAAAGAAAGTTCTGAAATGTTTTCGCCATTGACGTGATCTCGTCTCTTTTTCTCTGAACGGCGTCGAGCCTCCCACTTAGATAGTCAATCTCTGTGTCCAGCAGGCATGCATCAGCATGCAGTGCCGGGAGAATATCTGAACGAATGAAAGACTTGGTAGAGGGAGAGAGGTTATCATTTGCTGAACAGAACTCCGACAAGAGGGTGCAGTAGGGAGTACTGCTATGGCTGTTACACGGCGGCCCTTCACGGACGGTCCTGGCAAAATGAATGAGATATGGTACTTGCTTGAGCTAGCATACTCACATTGCTACTGGAGTCAATCCCAGAGTCAAATTACGCGACCGCGACGCGATGAGTAGTGGTGGTTGAACTTTCAGGGTCGCGACGCGACGACAGGTAAATACTGTGGGAACACCGGACCGATCTCCCCCCAACTTCGGTATTGCTCCCTTTCTCGCGAGAAAGGTAAAGATTACAACTGGTGTGGTATGTATGTATCTGTCACAGAGAGAAAATCTAAGTATCTCTAAAAAAAAAACACCCAATGAAACGAATGAACAACTATTAGCGTCTGGCCTTGCTCGGCACGAATATCCAAGACAAAGTGATCAGCACCCGGATGCCTGTGCCAATTCCAAGAGCTGCTGGAGCACCGATAGCACCCAAGATAGCCCGCCCGGCGAATGCACCAACGAACAAAGACGACGCCGCAATGAGTTTGTGGTCGCGCGACTTTATCATCTTTCGGAAATTGAACAGCTGGGGGTCCGTCACCAATTCCACCCAGACCGTTGTCAGCACGACTACAAGAGAGAGTTAACACCAACGACCATATATGCAAACTCCCACAAAACTCACTCGTCGTCGTGAACTGCGTATTCAGCCTCTTGCCCAAGATACCCTGCACACCAAGACTAGCGCTCATAAACGCTATACACGCAAACGCCAAAACATTCGTCCACGAAGGGTCCGCCCTCTCATCCGCGATACTCCGCATATTACTCTTATATATCGTCGCCGACGCCGCCATCGTAAGCAGCGCCTGGAGGAAGGTCCCAAAGATGAGCCACACTCGCTTATGGGGCCCTATCCGGTCGCCCAGCCTCCCGACGAGAGCTCCGAGGTTGAACGCGATGAGAGAGGTGAGAGCTTGCTTGTCGGGCATGTGGAACGAGGTATCGTGCCCGCTTCCCTCGGGTCGGGTTTCGAATAAGCGGGCTAGGGCGATAGCGAGCTAGGATGGGATGATGTCAGAGGACCCTTTAGAAGACGAAGAAGAAAAGAGAAGAGCGCACCTGAGCAAAGTTGCCTGTTTGGAACCCACACCATACGAATATCGCAGAAAAAGATATCACGTCGCTGCGAGGCAGATTAGATACGCCGCCAGGTATATGTGTATATCGCAGCACGTACATATAACCCGTCATGAAACAAAATGCCGCTAGAGGTCCAACAGACTGACTGGGATCCACCTCTTCATTCAAGTGCGTCCAAAACGTACTGGGACTCGTCGCCTTGGGTGTTGCTATCCCCCCTTCAGCATCGACGGTCGAGAACGTCCCCGCCTTGTGCATGGGGGCGCCCGTGGAGTCCTGAGAAGCCATGTCTGGGAAAATGAGAGACTGCAGGTGAGAGAGTAAGACAGGGCAGGTAAGGGCAGAGTAAACGAACCGGTTGGCAGCTTTTCAAGTGGAATGCCAGCTATCTTGGCGTCATTCTCTGTGTCGGATTTCCGCTCTCACTTATTACGGCCGAGATCGGAAAGACCGGGGTCTCTTGGCGTAATCACGTTCTCTGCTGCTCAAAGTTTTGCCCTTTGCTTTTTCCTTTCTTCAAAGGCACATTGCTGCACCGTTTTCTGGGCAGAAATGGTCTCGTGGTGGGGCTTTCTCACCACTATCTGACTGCAATTTCCTTGGGTGGCGCATGGATCCAAGCCGGTTATCCCCGCACTAACAGCGCTCTCATACGTGTGCTGGCGTGACAGACTGCCTGGAGCTATCTTGGCCTTCACCGAAAGGAAAGGGCTGAGAGTTCACTCAAGAGCGCCCAGGATCCAGCTGCTCTGCAAACTCGTCCTTAATATCCGTCCCGTACGGAAGGACGTAAACGCCAATGGCCAAAATAAAAAAATTAATTTCTGTATCGACAAACAAATAAACGCGATCCATCCACCCTTTGAGCCGAATGTTTACCAAGGAGCAGGCAACCCAGAAGCAGCCGCCCCAATCTCCGTAAGTTGCGTAAGAGGGTCCAGTTTACCCTTAAACTGCGGTAGGTACGCTGCGTCTGTGTACGGGCACCGAACCGACGGTGATCCCTTATATATGGGCGTGTACGTCGCAGCACAAATCTCGAACGGTGTGAACTCGTCATAGGTAATCTCGACCGCATTTCGAGGATTCCGGTCCGCGGCAGCAATACGTTGTCGAGCCTGGGAAGCCCATCAGTTCCTCGGAACAACAAGGAGCCAAAAGAAAAAGCATGTACGTACCTGCGCAACAATCTTGGGGTCAGGCTTGAGTTCTAACAAGCGCTTCGCAAACCGGGCCGCGGCGGCCTGGTTGTTGGCCTTGGAGAACACTCCAATGGCACTCCGCAACGCAATTTGCAGATGGGGAGGTTGGAGCTGACATTGCGTGAAATAGGCTGCTAATTCTAGGTTCCTCCGCAGATTGCCCGGTTCTTCTTCTGCGATGCGACGTCGCTCGAGCTCGATGGAAACAGCAAGGAGGTATTCACGAGTAGCCGTCACGGTCTCTCTCCACTAGAAATATCATCCCATTAGATAAATATGGAAAGAACAGACACAGACACGTACAAGTTTAGCCTCGTTATCAGAAGTGAGGGCAATCAATAGAAGTGACTGAAGGACGGAACGGAAAGCAGTCCGAGCTTCCGCAAGCTTGTTCCCAGACACAAATCGGTAGCCCTCAGAGAGTTCCGTGTGCACAGATTTCAAGGAAAGGACGGCAACAGGTAATACACGACCAGGTGATGTCTCCGTGGGGTTCCGTCGGATGTGCAGCTGTAAAGGCGGTAATGACGCAACCGGTGAAAGGTACGTATGAGATGAACGGTAGATAGAGAGGAATAGTGGCTTGAGCTGGGCAAAATTGACAATACCAAGTTGACGGTTGAGCAACTACAATAAGCATCAAGTCAGCCCTCTAGAATTCTGGATCTTGCCTGCACGATCAACCTACCTGCATAGCAGTCTCAAATGATCCGGCCGCAACATGGTCAGCAGCCAAGGGCGAGTTTCGTACCCACAGTTCAGTCTCATCGACTCCCGGGTTGGCACCAGCCCCGAGATCCTCATCTTCAGGAACCTCGACACCATTAACGTCTGCTGAAGGCTCTTCCTCCTCAGCATCTGCATCGAGCTCCCACCCGCCCTCCTCCGGACCAAGGTCTGCGTCTGCTTCTTCCTGGGCCCAAGCATCCAAAGCTGAAGAGCCACCGGCAGCGGCATCTCCATTGGTGTACGAGGACTCGATCCCTTCCAGACTTCCACTAGCCAGGGCACGGTCGAAGAAGTTTTCACCAGCAGAAACGACGGGCCAGACGAGGTCGGTTGTCTGCGTCACAACAGGTGGAGGTTTCAAAGTCGAAGGCCCAAACGTAGGTACATCATCTACGTCATCAGTTGTCAGTCCAGCCGCCTCAAGGATTTCTTCTGCGAGTTCCTCCAGGCCGTTGGTTTTAGCCGTGAGGTAGGCTAGTGGATCTGTAACAAAATGAATGGTATGTCTTGTTACGAGATTAGCACCAACTTACGCATTCCAACGTCCCGAAGAACAGCTATCCTTCCAGAAACGTCTCCCGCATACAGTGCATTATGGAATCGCGACATGGGATCCCCTCTAGCGTCGGCAATCTTTTGCATTTTCGACAGCTTCTCGGTACCTTCCTGTGGCCAGATACAAGAAAGACAATTTGTCAAAGTTTTTCGTTTGCTGATACGCTTTCTCGACAATCTACATCACCTTGTCAATTGGAATCTCAAAAACATGGAAAAGGCTGCACACCTTGTGATTACCCTGCTTTAAAGCTTGTTGCGCCAGACGTTCCCAACATTCAGGTCGATCAATAGTCCTAGCGGTTTCCATTGCCACCTCCAGATTTCCGCATTCAATGGCCAACTCAAATCGAGTGTTCGTATCCTGCACGAAATGAAGTGCGATCTAGACAACAATCAATATCTGTTCCTGCATGTGAAAAGCTTCGCATCATACCTCAGGGAAACCTTTTTGTTGCAAATATCCGATAATGCTCTGCCCTATCAAAGTTGAGGTCTTGATGATGTACAACATCTCTTCGTAGTTGTTTCTCAGCAGGGCAAGCTTGAATCGGTACTCCGTAGGATCGAACGTAATGGTGCGAGGACGAGCTGAACGGTCGAGACAATGCACAGTCTTTCCCTTAACGCGAGTGAGATATACAGGGTTATCCAGAGTGCATATAACGCCGTGGTCACTAGTAAACATCAACCTTTTACCGAGATAGTCACGGTGCGATGGACATACCCCTGATATAGACAGTACTTGACGTGGTTGAGTGTGGAGTAGATGAAGACCCCAGAGTCATCCCAAGCACCAGACTTGATACGAATAGTCTCGTGGATGAGACTACTCTGTGTAAAGTTCCGGTTGGCGATGGTAATTGCTACGATCACATCAGCGAAATATCTCACCAAGACAATCTGATCAGGGCTTACTATGCTTGCTCATTAGAGCAACCATTGAATTGTCTGCACTCCAGGACACATATTTGACGGGAGGACTGTTGATCTCAGCTATAGTCTTCTGTTGTTGGAGGTCGAATAGGACAACGGATGATGTAGAACTGAGGATGATACTAGAGGTTCCTCCATAGAAGATCTCGTTCGTTTGTACCGGTGGTTTGACAGTTTTCACAACGGTGTTCGACAAATCCCGGACTTCAATGATCTCACATACAAACATAAGCTGCGAAGCATTTCCCGTACAGACAAACATACCTGTGACGCCTTGTTTAACACTGCAAATCTATTGCGAGCGACAAAGATGGCGCTTTGCCCAGAACCCCTCTTGCCATCCACACTGGAGTCTTTAACCTCGGCCTGCGACTGTTGAGGTAGCGTGGTAAGCTCGAATATTCCATTGTCCGATGAGATTGTCGTTATGACGGCCTTCTCTGAAGGATTAAAGCTCAAGGTTCTCGGAGGGACGTAGGGGCTGCCGAACTTCCGCACGCTCAGGAGGCCAATATCCGAGCCAGTGTTGAAGTCATACGAGCGGACATATTTATCGCGGATATAGTAGAGCGTGTCACCATTCACAGCAAATGCAGGGTCGCTCGCGTTCTAGTTTGAAGACGATGAGACCGCTATCGTGTCCGGCTGCAAATAGATTCAAGTTCGGGTGAGAAGCGAGAACCCAGAATCGATCATGTTCCCGTCTGAAGGTCTGTATCGCCGTCCTCTTAGCCAAGTCCCACACACGCACGGTCTTATCTTCACCGCATGAGACGATGAGTTCGTATTTCGGATGGAATAAAGCGCTCGAGACGTTGTTGAAGTGCCCGCGACATGAATCAACCTCCCATGCCTTGGTCTCGCTCATTCTCCATATTTTGATGGTACGGTCGTCGGCAGCTGACAGGATTAAAGGTAAGGTGGGATGGAAAACGGCGTAGTTGACACCGCGGTCGTGGCCTTCGAGAACGTATTTGACCGTGGAAAAGGTGTCGAATGTTTCGAAGCCACCGGGCCCAGTGTTCGGAGAGCCCTTCCTCAGGCCAGAAATGTCCCAGACGCGCACTGTCTGGTCCATGGACGCGGAAACGACAAGGTCATCTTTGGGATGAAAGAACGCGGACATCACATAATGAGAATGACCGGTGAGGACGGCGATGCAGTTGCGAGATGTACTGTTCCATATGCGTATCGTTTGGTCATCAGAAGTCGAGATCTAGTGAAGAAATATTGGGACACCGCAGCTGATGAAATACCTAAAGACTCACAATCCAGGGCATTTCGTGATGGAACTGAACTGTTCGGACATAGTCAAGATGACCATGGAGAGTGAAAAGACATCGCCTGTTTTGTGGACGTATGTCTGTATATGCAATAATTAGTGCCGAGGAACCGTTATTGAGGGAAAAGGCGCCGCACCCCAGACTTTGATTTTGTAGTCGTCTCCTCCTGTTACCAGCAGCGCTCGGCTCAGATGAAAATCGACGCCTCGAACAGGTCCTGTATACAGATCAGCATGCAGACCGATCCTGTAGAAAACGACGAGCCTTCATGCTCCTCGAATCTGTCCACCAACACTCCCATTCTGTAATTCCAGAGCTGTACACTCCCATTATGAAGCGCTGCCGCTAGAAGAGGTTGCGTAGGATGAAATGCAAGCCCTGTTCAAAGTGAGCTACCGCAGGGTATTCGCGAGAGAAATTGATACCTTTGACGCGGTTGCTTTTAGACTCGAACTTGGTGAGCATAACAGACATGCTCGATACCGTCTACTCCCGCCAAATTATCAGAGAAAATAAAGAAAGAAGTGGCAAGAAGTGAAATAAGGACACCGCGGTATGGTGGACTCTGAAATTAAGACGTGGCCCTGTACGTCGTCGTGACTGCGATTTTGCGTGACGGTTACTGTCACTGCTCTACACAGCCACACATTCTCCTTTTCACTGTCGGACGACGGAAACCTCCAAAAACACGTAGAAACTTGCCTACGATCACGCATCACTCGCTATGCTTTCTCTCACACTCCCTCCCCCATCCCTCTGGCAATACAGGTGCAACCATAAGCCACTGTATGCTGATATTCGCATTATCGCCTCCGTGCATGAAATCTATCTCTTTTCTCGGATGAAAGATTTCTGTTCGAATCGCGGAGGAAAAGCTAAGGGAGGAACAATCTACTCTAACCACGGTGGTTCATCGGTTCCATGCTTTTTATATTTTTCTTCCGCCACATCATCACCCATCTTTCCCAACGCTCGTCTTCTAGATCGTCGCAATCAGGCCAATAAACTCCCGAATATATATCACGAGGCGGCGGTCCATGCGCGTATGAGAAAACTTCTCTTTTTTCTCTTCTTTCGAGGGGCGGGCTGTTCTTCTGTCTACGTACCACGCGGCATCTCTTCTGCTAAAGTGCCTGGCTGTCCATCTGTACATGCCAAATTCAATCTTGATTTCAGTGTATTTTATCAGCATCAACCAGAATCGCCGACTCAAGTGCATGTAGCAAACTATCATTAACTCCGCCACATCGCGAAGGAGAAGCCTTATAAGCTCCTTATCGTATTATTATGTCCCCTTATATATCAAGGTTTGCAGCATACGGACTTTCCAGTCCTCTCCAGGATGTTCTCCCACTGGCTCCCAAAGTGCCTAATCCCAGCACTACTGTGTACTGCAACTATCGCAGGCCCTGTCCAGAAGGCAGGTCTGACGCTTCCCGGAGACGCGTCTGTTCATCGTGCCGCCGTCAAGGAAATATTCCAGGAGAGCTATGCGGCTTATAAGTATGGCATATAACAACTGCATATCCCAAATTCTCGTGTTTGACGAAACCTTGTCAGGGAATACGCGTTTGGTCACGATGATCTATCGCCTGTGAGCAAGAGCTTCTCAGATGGACGTAACGGGTGGGGCGCATCAATTGTCGACGCGATGTCCACCATGGTACGTTTTCACAGCTAAAATCTGCCCTGACGGAATTCATTCACGTTCCTGTGCAGAAAATCATGGGTCTAAATGTATGCTTAGACTTCATATGGTTGTCAACCTATCATAATTGAGGCTAATAGTAACCCATAGGATTTGTTCTCCGAGGCTGTCGATTTTGCTAGCAAAATCGACTTCAATCATTCACAAACTGCTGATACTGTTAGTGTATTTGAAACGACGATACGATATGTCGGTGGTCTTCTCAGTGCATATGAACTCGGTGGCAAGAAGGATGCAGTCCTAGTTGCGAAGGCCAAACAAGTCGCGGATAAATTGTCATTAGGGTGGCTTCTCGAGGTAAGTGCGATGAATCCTCGGCTATGCACAGACTGAACTGGTCATTAGAACCAAACTATACCGTTTGGCTTCATTGATTTTACAGCTGACTCGCCAGTCATCGCTACCGTACGTGTACACCTGATAATTCAGTGCCTATGCAGCTGATCCTAGAGTTATTCATAGTCCAATATTGCCGAGGCTGGAACGGTAAGGTTTGGAGGCGCGCTGCCTTTGATCTTGCTGACGGCCTTTGTAGCTGGTCCTGGAATGGGAGACGTTGAGCAAGTACACCGGAAATAATACATACACCCAATTGACCGAGGGTGCCGTCCGCCATATCGCGAATCTTGTAGGTTCTCACCATTAGAATCTAGCTGTTTCTCACCATCAATTTCCAGCCGGCTCCTCTTCCAGGTACTTTGCCTCGCCATAAGTTAGGCGTATAAACTTAACTTTACCAGGTTTAGCCGCTCAAGGCATCGACCCCACGACAGGCGCTTTTGTCGGGGGTTACGTTGTAAGTTTTCCTGCCTTGTGGTTGTAACCTAAGCTACAATGATGTTTAACAGACATGGGGCGGCGGATCTGACAGTTACTTTGAATATTTGATAAAGCATGCTCGACTATCTAATACTGATGACCCGCTTTTCGTTGAGACATGGTTCACCGCTGTCTCGTCATCGATTCAAACTCTCCTCAGGGTATGTCACTGCACATCTATCGTCAGTCCTCCTCTCATTGAAAATTACGAAATGCAGACCTCAACTGTCGGAAACCATGTTTATCTCGCTGATTTCGACTCTTCGCAGACTATTCGTCATGTTGGCTCTCACCTGGCATGCTTTTATGGCGGTAATTGGCTGTTTGGTTCGTCTGTTCTACCCATGTTTGACTGTTTGAATACTACAACTGAATTGGCCCATGAACAGGTGGCAAGCTATTGAACAACCAAACCATCGTGGACATCGGGTTGCAGCTCGTTGATGCATGCTGGAACACATACGCCAGTACCGCGTAAGTCCGATTTCCATGCCATCTACTTATAATCTTCGTCTGACTATTCCCAGCACTGGTATCGGCCCCGAAACGTTTGCTTATATCTCAAGCGACGGCAATTTCACCGGCGGGGGTACCATCAGCGCAGATCAGTTATCTTTCTACCAACAACATGGATTCTACATCACAGGCTCAGATTACATTCAAAGACCGGAAGTCTTAGAATCAAATTTCTACGCCTGGCGTGTCACCGGTGATACCAAGTACCTGGACCGCGCAGCGAGTGCTATCAAGAGCTTTAGGACTTTCCTCCCGACTACGGTTGCGTTCGCAGGCATAAACGATGTCAACAATAAAAATTCCACAAAGATAGATGACATGGAAAGCTTTTGGTTCGCGGAAGTGCTTAAGTACTTGTAAGCATCAATCTTCTCTACGTCCTGAGAGTCTCTTATTCGACCTTCTGGTAGATATCTGACTTTTGACGACCCGAACCATATCAGTCTCGACGAATGTAGGCTCATTTTTTCTCTTCTTCAAGCACTGCTGTAAATCTCATGGTATTGTGCAGACGTTTTCAATACAGAGGCACATCCATTTGAGGCACCTAAGGCCAAGGATGTGTATGGAAACGGTGAACTGAAGGTGACTACAGCATCGGCACCGTTCGTACTCCAACAAGGTCCGCCGTTACCCCAGATTAGCCCAGATCCACATCTCCCGATTCCCCTCAAGAGTCTTATTAACCCAGAGTAGTTTGTAACTCGCATTACTCGTTCTGTAGATTATCTCAATCCTTTTTGATGAAATGTTAATAATGATGTTCGAATTCGGCAAAAGCCGGTCCTCACTCTGCGCTGCGCGCCGTTCACGAACTCACTCGAAGACTTTCGTCACCGCAAGCAAATTGCAAGGGTCAGTAACAATATTGCAAAAGCGTCGCGGTCTGGTGGCTCAGTCTCCTTTCAGTAGAAACTATGGTTATTCCTCAAGAATTGATCGACTTGATCGTTGACTTCAATCACGACGACAGTAAGGCATTGCGAGCATGCGCTCTTGTCTCTCGTGCCTTTGTCGCGTCGAGTCAATTGCATCTTTTCTCTCGAATCAAGCTTATCCTATCGAATTCTTCCACCCGTGAGGCCATACCTTGGAAGTTATCTGGTCATACCTTCCCAAGATTCCACAGTATGATTTCCATATCATCTCACATCGCTCCTCTCGTCACTACATTGGAGGTATATTTCGACATCACCTACTGTCAGCGCTCGATAGTTGATACAACGACTTTTGTCGCCGTCTTAAAATCCCTCACATCCTTGAAACGATATGTTTTATCAGCCGGTTTCGATTCCATAGACTTCAGAGGCTGCAAAGACGAGTCTCTTACCAAAGCCATTTTCAACGATGTCCTTTCCGCCGGCCTTGTGGAACTATGCCTTGATGGAGTAGAGGCTATTCCGGATGTTGATATCTTTTCAACGTCGGAGAAATGGCCTTCGCTCAAAAGACTTTCCATGCTATGGTCAAGTTTTCAGCAACAAAACATTGCATGGGATCTTGCATCGTTAGAATCTCTGAATATCGGGGGCCTTAACTCCTTCATCT